GCAAGGAAAAAAAAAAGAAAAAAAAAAACAAGACAAAAAAAGAGAAAGAAAAAGAAAAAAGGAAAAAAAAATCCAGATTTTAAAGTTTATTACTGAATTTAAAACTATTTTAGAAGTTTTGTATTGGTGGTGTTTTAATATTTTACAGAAAATGAAATATGTACATATTGATTAGAAAAATATAACAAGCAAAACTTCCTGCTAACCCCAAATGTTTTGTCTTTGTAATCAAAATGTGTAGTGATTATACTTGAACTCTGTACTTAGTGTTTGTCTAATTCTTAAACGTTCCTGGGGATGGAAGTGTTGTATCCTTTGTATTTAAACCAAAATGAATTGATTCATGTTGGAATGTATGTGATATAATGCAATGGTTAGAGCTCATCACTGTAGCACTGAGAGAGGAGTAGAGCTTCACGAGAGGAAAGGATACCTTGGATTTGTTTTGCACAGGTATGTGTGATGAAGAGTTGTTTGGTGTGTCCCCTTATTGTAGTGCCTTAAATGATGATGTAGTGTGACTAGAGTTTACAGTGAGCTTGCCTTACGAGGGACCAGCAAGCCCCCGTCGAATTGAAGCAATTCACCCACCCAGCTCCCCCAGCCAGAGCAGCAGGATGGTGCAGAGCCCTCTCCCTGTCACCGCTCTCATCCCGGCTCCGTTCTTGTTCCCGGTGAAGCGACGTCCCCTTGAAGCTTTCCCTTGAAATGGCACATGTACTGTTAGTGTCTGTCAGTGCATTTCGGATAAGGTAGTGCTGGGAATGCATTGGAATGTTTTAGTCTAATATTGCAGAAGTGATTAAATACGTGCAATCACTTTTATTAGGTTTAGTGTAGCGTTACCTTCCCCCACAGGAATAGCAGATGTGTCGTGTAAAATATTGCTAGCTTGGTGATAGAATATTTATACCAAAGAGAGCCTGCTGTAAAGCACATAATACCATTAAAAAGTTTTATAATGCTACTGCTAACGTGGAGTTGTTGGGAAGGTCTGTCAGCTGTAGCCCTAGTTAGTGTTCAGAGGAAATACTCACTTTGGATAATCAGTGCAGGTTTTGGACTACACTTTGTTTTCTTGGCTCCCTTGTACTAGGAATTGTTTCTCACCTAACACATAAAGTATCTTGTCCAAAAGGATGATGCTGTAAACTGGTTCGAGCGGTCGCGGTACCGCAGCAATAAGAGGTTTGCTAACCTTGAACCCCAGTTTATGTTCCGTCCCAGTGGGAAGGAGGCCAGTCCTGACCTGGCTGTGGCAAGAAATGCCCAAGCCATTTCTACAAGCCCACTTTCCTGCTAGAAGGAAGCCTGGACTGGCCTGAGGTGGAGGGGCTAGGGAGGGATGGAGGGCTGTGGGCGGTAGCATTAGCCCCCGTTGATGTTCAGTGTGTTTGTAGTCAGAGAACCAACCTTGCTGTGCCACATCGTTGCTGCAAACGATGCTGTTTGTTGCTGTAGGCACTTTGTTGCTTTTTTTGACATTGCTTGTGTTCAGTACTTGCCTTGAGATACCTCTTGGGTACAGAGTTGTGCCTTTCCACCAAAAGGCAAACCAAGCTCCAACTCCCTGTTTCACAAATAGGACTTCATGGAAAACACTTCACTAACAGGAAAAGAAAAAAAGAAAAAAGACCTCTAGCAAAATCTGCTAATAATTTTGAGAACTTGCCCGCTTTCCCTTAAAAACAGCAGCTTGTAATGTCCATTTAGAGGACCTTGTGACACAACTAATCCCAATCAAATGTATTCCCAAAGCACGGTGTCATCTCCTCCGCTGCCCGAGTTCCCAGAAGTGTTGGAACAGGGAGGATGAGATGGAAATGATGTAGGTAAAACCAAACGTGCTCCATTTGGAACAAGCTGTCAAATAATACCCCAGAACTCCTCTGTGATACACAGCAAACCCCAGCCCAGCAGGGCCAGGGCCTCCCAGTCTGGCCCCAGTACTTGATGCCCAATTTAGGTGTATTGTGTTCTGCTCTAAGGAGACACATCCCTTCTTCCCTTGCATATCCAGCCTCAAATTGGGTTCAAGAATTGACTCTCCTCATTGTCAGAGCCTGCTACACATTTTTGGAGAGAAGTCTGCTATCTCTGGATAGGAATTGGCATCCTTTAATTTTCTTCACAGCTAGTTTGGGATTCACCTTTGGAATATTTGATAGCCAGCTAGTGGTCCCAGCTAGGTTTGTCTGTGTGATTCTTGAGCTGTTCAATCAGTTTTCTCTTACCTGACCTGTATTTGCAGCTGTGATAGCCCCTGCAGAGGCAACTCCTGAGGCTTTCCTGCTTAGCACCTAATTGATGGGATGCAGTAATTTACCTCTGACTCAGCAATTTCTTTTAGTACATGAAACTAAATTGCTTCTAAATGACAGGATTGGCACAGCCCTGCTTTCTTTTTTTTTAATTTTATTTAAACTTCTGAATGGTGCCGCATGTCCACATGGTTGTTTGTTGCTAAACTTTATATAATGTGTGATTTCAGATTCAGCTTGAACTATATCTATCTCACTACATGTAGCAGTACATTATATGTAATGTTAGTATTTCTGCTTGAATCCTTGATATTGCAATGGAATTCCTACTTTATTAAATGTATTTGATATGCTAGTTACTGTGTAAAATTTAACTTTCTTTTATGGTTGTGCTCTTCCTTTTTACAAGCCGCTAGATACAGGTAGTTTCTGACAATTACTGATCTATGTTTGTATTGCTGATGTACTTAGGGGGTATGTAAAAATCATTTTAACAAAAGAAATAGATATTTAAAAATTTAATACTAACTATATGGGAGAAGGGTCCATTGTGAAAACATAGTTTATCTTTGGATTCAATGTTTGTCTTTGGTTTTACAAAGTAGCTTGTATTTTAAGTATTTTCTACATAATATGGTAAAAATGTAGAACAATTGCAATGCATCAATAAAAAGGGTTAATTTTCTGTACTCTATTCATCTGGTCACTTGGTCTGTTAAGGGGAGTGGGAAAGGGCTTTGGGGGTATCCAGAACGAGGAGCTGAGAGGGGTTTGGGGTATCCAGAATGAGGAGCCGAGAGGGGTTTGGGGTATCCAGAATGAGGAGCCGAGAGGGGTTTGGGGTATCCAGAATGAGGAGCCGAGAGGGGTTTGGGGTATCCAGAATGAGGAGCCGAGAGGGGTTTGGGGTATCCAGAATGAGGAGCCGAGAGGGGTTTGGGGTATCCAGAATGAGGAGCTGAGAGGGGTTTGGGGTATCCAGAATGAGGAGGCGATAGGGGTTTGGGGTATCCAGAATGAGGTGTCAATGGTGCGGGATGCAGGTCCAGGGTAGGGATGCGGGATGTGGATCCGGGATGTGGATTCAGGATGTGGATCCGGGATGCAGGTTTGGGATGCAGCAGCACTAGGTGGCACACTTGCTCTGCTGCAGTACCACAGCCCTGGCTCCGATCAGACCCTGCTGGGATCGTCCCTGCCCACGGCCCAGGAGCCCACGCCCAAAGAACCGCCCGGCTCGGCTGCATCCAGGGCATGGAGCTGCAGTGTCTGTCTGTCATCCATCCATCCATCATCCATCCATCCATCCATCATCCATACATCCATCCGTCATCCATCCATCCATCCATCATCCATCCATGGCATCCATCCATCCATCCATCCATCCATCCATCCATCCATCCATCCATCCATCCATCCATCCATCCATCCATCCATCCATCCATCCATCCATCCATCCCACCAGTGCTGGCCCTGTCCCGGGGCTGTGGGAGCTGCCCCACACCATCTCTTGGGCCACCTTGGCCAAGCGGTGCCAAGGCCAGCGGGCAGCCCCGGCTGAGGGCAGTGACCAACGTGCCATGTCCCACCCCTGGCAGCGATGGCTCTGCCCAGGGGAGCTGTCACTGAGGGCCAGGCAGGAGCTGCTGGGTCAGCAGCTAGAAAATGAAATATGTACATATGGGCTTGGGGCTGTACCCGTGGTGCTGGTACTGCCCTGGCACTGTCCCTGTCCAGGGGACAAGCCCACTGCTCTGGCACTGTCCCTGTCCCCAAGGGACAAACCCCTGCCCTGGCACTGTCCCTGTCCCAGGGGACAAAACCTGCACTGGCACTGTCCCTGTCCCAGGGAACAAACCCACTGCCCTGGCACTGTCCCTGTCCCCAGGGAACAAACCCACTGCACTGGCACTGTCCCTGTCCCAGGGGACAAACCCGCTGCTCTGGCACTGTCCCTGTCCCCAAGGGACAAACCCACTGCTCTGGCACTGTCCCTGTTCCCAGGGGACACACCCACTGCCCTGGCACTGTCTCTGTCCAGGGGACAAACCTCTGCCCTGGCACTGTCCCTGTCCAGGGGACAAACCCCTGCTCTGGCACTGTCCCTGCCCAGGGGACAAACCCACTGCCCTGGCACTGTCCCTGTCCCCAGGGGACAAACCCACTGCCCTGGCACTGTCCCTGCCCAGGGGACAAACCCACTTTCTGGCTAATGTCACAGGGGACATGTCACAGGGTTAATGAGATGTGGCTGCTCGCAGCCGTTCCTCATTACCAGGAGTCAGGCAACCAAAGGAAAATACAGCGAACGAGAAGGAAAATGCTTTTGTTTGCTTCACTGACAGTGCTGACAGCAGATCTGTGGTGCATCACCTGCCAGCAAATAACTGAGGAGGTGTTTCCCACCCTGCACGCAGCTTGGAGCTGGAACGGGGATTTTCTTCTCTGGGAATGCAGTTTTGGAAAAACTCAGCTGGTCAGTGCTCCCTGCCAGCCTCAGAAGAAAATAACAAAGTGACACAAATAAGAACTTGGGGCAGGAGGACCAGGAGGCTCTCCCCGAGCCTGGGAGTGACAGTTTTCCCCAGCCTGGCTGCTCTCCGTGTTCCTGACGGAGATTTCAGCTCCGTGGGTGTCCTGGGGAGGTTTCCACAGCTCCAGAGGTTTGGTGGAGCCTGCAGTGCATCCCCTCCCAGCCCTGGCAGGCAGCGGGGCTGCACAGAGGAGCACAGCACTGCAATGAAGGCTGGAGCACCAGGATGGGGGGGACCCCCCGACCCCCCGAGCTGTGGGGTGGTCTCTGGCCAGCCCGTGCTGCTCCTGGCCGTGCTGGGGCTCCTCAGCATTCCTGGGGCTCGTGGTGAGTACAGGGAATGGGAAGGAGCAGGGACACCTGCCTGGATCCCACCTGGCTGCTCCGGGGCTGGGCTGGGGGTGCCACACTTTGGATCTGGGGGTCAGTGCTGTCCCAGAGCCAGCCCTGCCTGGTGCCTTTCCCAGGGGAGCCCTGGGCCATGCCAAGCACCCTCCTGGGGCAGGGAAGGGGCCAGTGAAGGGGCTCCTCACCTGAGGACATGTTCTCCTGCCGCAGGTGACTGCGGGCCCCCTCCTGCCATGACCTATTCCAGGCCCTCCAGCAGCTCCAGCAGCTTCCCGGTGGGATCCAGGGTCACGTTCACCTGCTCGGAGGGAGCCCGCAGGATCCCGGAGCTGCCGGACACCGTGGAGTGCCTGCCCGGCCACATCTGGTCCAGGCTGGCCGAGCCCTGCGGCCGTAAATACCTTCCTTTCTATCTTTATACCTTCCTGTAGATCACCTTTCTTTATACCTTCATTATATCTGAAACGGCCCCGGGGCAGCATCCCTGTCCCTCCTGCTGGCTGGCACCTTCCCCTCCCCAGGGACAAACCCTCTGTGCTGCTCTGTCACCATCCACAGGGACAAACCCTCTGCCCTGCCCTGCTGCCCCTCGCAGTCTCTGGTGGCCGCAGGGGCTGGCAGAGGGCTCAGTCAGGGGTGGGCTGGGGGCTCCTGTGTCCCCCCAGCCCGTGCATGTTCTCCCCATGTCCTGCTGACCCCTCCCCGGGCTCCTAACCCCCTCCATGCCCGCTCTGGAGCCCGCAGCAGGTTGGCAGCCTGGAAAGGAGCCCCAGTTCTCCTGCCACCAGCACCAGGAGCTCCCCAGGAGCATCCCCACGGTCCCGGGGAGAATTTGGGCAGCTGCTGGTGGGCAGCTCTGTCAGGCTGCCTCTCCTTGGCTGCCAGGGAGCTGCGCTGCCCCAACCAGGCTGAGGTTTGCTGCCCTGTCCAAGGAGGATGAGAGGAGGAATTTCTTCCCTGTTGGCACCAACGTGAGCTATGTCTGCCGGCCCGGCTACGAGAACTCCTCGGAGAGCTCCCCCTCCAGCACCTGCCTGGAGACCCTGACGTGGTCTCAGCCTGCTGAGCTGTGCACCAGTGAGTATTTCTGCTGCCCCCACACCCCCCCAGAAAAGCAGTCCTGGCTGCTCCCAACGTGCATCCCAAAACACAGCCTGGTCATCATCTCCCAACAGCTCCATTAACAGGAAATTGGGGATATTCCTTGTCAGTCCTATTTAAGACTGAACAGCAGAAGTATCACTGATGTTCTTTTTGGGTTTTTTTTTCTGCTGGCATAAAGAGGTCTGGCTTGATTTTCATGCTAGGGAATGTTTGGTTGGACTCGGTGATCTCAGAGGTCTTTTCCAACCGTTTTGTGTCCTAAAGAAGTTTTCACTGGGACACGGCACAGGCAGGGCACAAATCCCAATTTGCTGTTCTAGCACTGAACTTCAAGACGAAGGCAAAGCATTCCCTTGGTGGCCCTCATGGAATGTTGAGGCTGGTGATGGGACAGAAATATTTTTTCACAGTCGAGTGCCTTGTTCCTAACACACTGAATGGAAACCCCTCTGTGGGTGTGGGGAGCATTTTGGGATCCCCACCTCGCCCTACAGCTGAGTCTGGCTCCTCCCAGCCCAGCTGTGATGCCCATGGAGTAAAATGCTCTGGAACCTGTGGGAATTCCCCCCCAAGCCTGTGCCTGTGTCTCATTCAGCCTTTTTTGTGTCCCCAGGGAGGTCCTGTGGCACCCCGGGGGCGCTGCCCGGGGGGAGGACGGGGCCCCTCCGGGACCTGCAGCTGGGAGCACGAGTGGAAGTGTCCTGTGAGGATGGGTGAGTGCTGGGACACAGCTCCAGAGTGGAAGTGTCCTGTGAGGATGGGGGAGTGCTGGGACACAGCTCCAGAGTGGAAGTGTCCTGTGAGGATGGGTGAGTGCTGGGACACAGCTCCAGAGCAGCACTCGGCTGCAGGGAGGGCACCAGGGAGGATTCAGGGCCACCTTTTCCTCCAGGTGCCACCCAGGGGAGCTCTGAGTGTCCACCCCAAAAGGAGCAGCTGGTTGTGTTTGCAGTTGATAACTGCAGACTTCAATACAAGTGATTTGAAATATTTTGGCTTAAGGATACTGAAAAAAAAAAAAGGGTTACATTGGGATGTTTAAAATCCATTAAAGTTCAGCTGGAAAAGTGCAGTGAAACACAATTTCCACAGTCAGGAGCTGACTCATGGCTGCTGCCTGCTTTCAATCAGGGCCCAAATGCAGCAGACAGGCCCAAAATTCTAATTTCTTGCCACTCCAGCCAGCGTTCCTCCTCCCAGCAGGAAGCAGCTGGCATCCTCTGGCTGGTGCTGCCCAGCTCCAGGGGCAGCAGAGGGGTTGTGTCTCTCCCTTGGGATGCAATTGAAGGGAATGAGAGCGTGTCCCACCCTGCTGGGGCTGAGCTCAACTCTGGAAATCCACTTCAGGGCGGAGGGAGGATGCTGCTCGTCTTAGATCAGACATTATCCATCCTGGCCAGATGCTCAGGGTTTCTGCACAGGAGGGTGATTCAGAATGGGGAAGGTGCAGCTGTCCCTGAGCTTCCACAAACCAGAGCAGGAACCACTTTAATTAACGTGGATCAATCCCTGCTGCCCCTCACTGTCCTGGAGTGAATGGGGGATTTATCTGAATCCCAAACTGGATTGGGTGGGAACAGACCTTAAAACTCATCAAGTGCCACCCCTGCCATGGCAGGGACACCTTCCACTGTCCCAGGTGTCACCCCTGAGGTGACAGCAGCATGGGAAAGGCCCTGGATGGGGACAGGACCAACCCCAGCACTGCTCTGGGCCAGGAGCAGGCAAGGATGGAGCCCCTGATTCAGCAAATCCGTGTGGGAATCCAGCCCTCAGCTCAGCCCTGTCTGGCATTCCCAGAGAATTCTGCCAGCCTCAGCTCCAAATTCTCCCTTCCCTGCCACGGAAAATGCAGAGTCAGAGCAGAGAACCTCCAAAAATAGATGAACACAGATGCTGGCAGGAGTTCTGCTCCCCAGCAGTGTCAGCATCGCTGCCTCTCCTGCACTCCTGATCATGTGCTGGACGAGGGTGGGAAGTGCTCCCCGCTTTTGGATGGTTACTCTGATTTTCTCTTGTGTATTTTAGGTACAAACTAGTCGGGAATAATTTCATCTGGTGCCAGCTGAAAGGAAACGACGTCGAATGGAGCAAACTTCCCACTTGTGAATGTGAGATTCATCCTAAATTGTGAGACTGAATCTTTTTACTTCGCTCCAGCAGGTCCTGCATCCCGACGCCCAGTCCAAAGCTCTCTTGGGATTGTTTTTGTTGATACTCTGTGGCTGATCTGTCCCCAAAAGCACAGCTGAGAAATGCCCATTCTGCTGCTATTTCAGCAGCTTTGTTCCCACAAAATCAGCATTTTTGCTGTGACTGAAGGCGATGGGCTGAGATTTCCAGGAACCCTGAGCACAGCAAGCTGCTGTTTATTCGTTGTGGCAAATAAAGAGAGGGAGAAGAGAGGGAGAGGGAGAAAATCCTGGGCTGAGATTTCCAGGAACCCTGAGCGTGGCAGGCTGCTGTTTATTTGTTGTGGCAAATAAAAAGAGGGAGAGGGAGAGGAGAAACACTTGGGGAACAAAGCAGAGAGAAGAACTGGGGCAGGCAGCAGAGCTTTACTCACCTGGTGCTGGTCACCTACTCTGTCCAAAGTTCATCCTCAAGAACCTCGGGCAGACTCAAACTCTTGGGATTTTTTATTAAAACCAAAGCTTTAGCAAGCACATTGTCCTTCTCTCCTGCAGTAATTACCTGCTCTCCACCTCCTCCAATCAGCCACGGGAGACACGATGGGGAAGGCATGGAGATTTTTGCTTTGAACTCCACGGTGACCTACAGCTGTGAGCCCAACTTCCAGCTGGAGGGGAATGGGAGCATCCGGTGTGGGAGCAGGGACAAAAGCAGCGGGGTCTGGAGTGGAGCCATGCCCCAGTGCAAAGGTGGCTTCATCCCATTCAGGGGCTGAAATTACTTATTATTTATTTATTATTTATTATTTATTTATTATGTAATATTTATTATTTATTATTTATAGCTTATTATTTAGTATAATTACTTATTATTTATTATTATTAATGATTTATCTTTTATTATCTATTATATATTATACATTATAATATAATTTAATTTCTAATATTTATAATTAATTATTTATTAATTGTTATATATTATTATTAATTATTAATTATTAATGATGATGCAATAATAATTTTAACTGTTTTTTATTCTTCATTATTAATTAATGATAAATTATTATTAATTATTTAGTATTTCTTGTATAATATTTACTATTTAGTATTTCATGTTATTTAGTATTATTTAGTATTTAGTATTTATTAGTTAGTATTTAGTGTTTATTAATTAGTATTTATTACTTAGTATTTAGTATTTAGTACTCAGTATTTAGTATTAGTTTTTTATTCAGGGTGAGTCATATTAAAATATCGTGGGTATGAAGTGCAGGAGGGGTCAAACGTAAGGAAATTTTAAAGGAAATTTTGAAGGAAAATTTTGAAGGAAATGGTAAGGAAATTTTAAAGGGGAAAATTTTAAAGGAAATATTAAGGAAATTTTAAAGGGGAAAAGGCTGGAGCAAGGGCTGGGAGGGCTCTGAAGGAAGGAGGAGTGCTCTGGGCAATGCTCCCTCTGTGTCCCCAGAGAAAAGCTCAGCTGTCAGCCTTGGAGCAAAGGGCACGGAGGGGAGAGCTCCTCCCAAAAGTGAGTTGAAATCACTCGACGTCCAATCAAGCCCCATTTATTATTTTTCCCCTTCATCACATTTCTAGGAAAGGCCACCCGGCGAGTTTCACCCCGTGAATTCCATTTCCTCAGGTCCCCAGGCAAAGGGAGCCCAGCCCTCTGAGAAGGGTCTCGCGTGGGAGAGGAAGCTCAGCCTCTACAAAAAGTCTCTCCAAAACAGCATCTCCCCCTCCCAACCCTCTTTCTTCAGGAAACCAGGTCAGTCCTGGAGGGACAACGGCATTGTGAGCACCTCCTGGTCACTCCCATCCCTAAAAGCTGGAGTTTTCATTTTTTTCTCCCATATTTCTCTTCAGTGAGCAGGAACTGGGCTGCCTCTGAGTTCAGATTTGTTCTACCTTTGTACAAATCCCCAAAATCTTATTCTGGGTCCAGCAAAGGATTCATGTGTCCTCCGAAGTACCTGGGGATCCTTCCCCCACCTGGCTGCTTTCAGAAGTTAAAACAGCCCAGATTTCCATCATTTTGTGGAAGTGAGTGGGTTTTTTGTCATGTTCTTTTCTTCTGTAAGTTTTCTCTGTATAATTTATATTTTTTGCTGGTTGGGCATCTGAGTCACAGCTCAGCTTTGACTGCACTGACCTCCAATTCTCATAAAAAGCTTTGCTTTGTCTGGAATACATTTTAATTTATTGAATATTTCCTTGCCCTCACCTTATTACAGATTTTTTTTTTTAAACTCATTTTCTGGGCATTTTGAAGAGCAAGAGAGAACTTTGTAGCCCTGAGAGTGCCAGGGCTCCGAGGTGCTGATGCCAGCCTTGTTCCCCACAGGGAGGTCGTGCACAGCCAGGAGAAGCTGGACGTGGTGGAAGTTCTGGTCCTCCAAATTCCCCACCCGCTGCAGAGGATAATTTTTACCCACGAAAAGGAGTTTTGGCTTTGTGGGAAGTGTTTGTGTCACTGTGAGTGGGGAAGACACAACAGCCACTGGAGGATCTCAGCACCCAGCTGGGGGATGCTGAAAAGGGTTCCTCTGGTGTCGGGGTCCAGCTGAGTTTGCCCATCCCTGAGTTTTGTCTTTTGGGTCAAAACCAGAAAATCTTTTACTGTTCCTGACCTGTTCCAAAAGTGCCCCATGCAATGGTCACACTTTTTTTTTTTTTTCACCTTGCTTTAAGATAAAGGATGACCTAAATCAGGTTTGTCCCACCTATAAAATGTAATTTTTAAATGATGATGTTTGAGCATTCCAAGAAATCCATGGAAAATTATTCCCAAAAGAACTGGCTGATTTCCGTATTTGCTCCTCCCACCCGAGTTTTCCTCTCGGTGACTGCCTCCCCGCATCCCGATCCAGCTGTGATCCCTGCTGATCCCAGCAGGGTTTTGCCTCCCCGCATCCCGATCCAGCTGTGATCCCTGCCGATCCCAGCAGGGTTCCAGAGGCTGGGAACCCCCGGAGTTCTGCAGAGCTCCCCCGGGGCCGGGCCGTGTCCCGCCCAGCCTGACGCGGATGTTTCCAGAGCCGCAGGTTTTCTGCTCGCTGGCAACACCACAACAAACCCTAAACACAGCCCAGCCGCCCTGGGCAGGGAGCTGCTCCCTCATCCTCCCAGGAATTCCCGGCTGCAGCTGATCCAGCTGCGGATCCAGCTGCCAGCAGGGAAAAGCAAAGCGCGGACCTCCCTGTCCCGCAGAGTTTTAGCTCATTTCTTTTAGGAAACCATTGTACTTGGGATATTGCACCGTTTAATCTTTATATCTTGAGTGGTTTAAGCCCTTTCTTCAGCAAAGCTTCTTCTTGTATCAGCCCGAAGTTCCTTGCAGTTTTTATTTCCACCACAGGAAGATAAAGCCACACGAGGGCCGGGCATCTCTGATCTCATAACGTAAAGGAGCCACTTCTGCTTTCCAGAGGGAGGGAGCAGCTCAGTCCAGCTGTGAGCACATCAACCACACACAGACACTGAAATACAACTCCTAAATATCCTCCCCAGGGTTGCCACCCTGCAGCAGAGGGACTGGAAATGTCATGAGTGTTCTTTAGGCTGCCTACCCCAATTTTGTCCTGTAAAGACCTAAAACTCCCAAAGCCTTTCTGGGTTTTTATTTCTATTTAGTAATAAATGGTAATTGTTTATACAGGGCACTCTGTGAATTCAGCTCCCTGCTGTTTTTTTGGTCATATTTTATTCTCTTTTTCAAGAAGGAATCAGCTTTAAGGTATATCCTGGCAATGATCAGATTCTATATTCTGTCAGTTCTTTATCACTCTGAACATTTATTTTCTAAATGCCACCCATGGCAAGTCAAACTTGGTTGCATATTCTAAAAAAAGTAGTAAAGGAGGAAAGCAGGAATGTGTTTCTGGGAAGTGGTCTGGAAAAGACAGCTGGAGTTACACCTCCCCTAATCCTGCCCAGACACCCTGGGACTGAAACCTGCAGCCCCTGACCCAGGCTCAGCTCAGGCAGACCCAGGCTCAGCTCAGGCAGACCCAGGCTGAGCTCAAGCAGACCCAGGCTCAGCTCAGGCAGACCCAGGCCCAGCTCAAGCAGATCCAGGCTCAGCCCAAGCAGACCCAGGGCTCAGCTCAGGCAGACCCAGGCTCAGCTCAAGCAGACCCAGGCCCAGGTCAGGCAGACCTAGGCTCAGCTCAAGCAGATCCAGGCCCAGCTCAGACAGACCCAGGCTCAGCTCAAGCAGACCCAGGCTCAGCTTAAGCAGATGTCAGGCCCAGCTCAGACAGACCTAGGCTCAGCTCAAGCAGATCCAGGCCCAGCTCAGACAGACCCAGGCTCAGCTCAGGCAGACCCAGGTTCAGCTCCCAGGCCCAGTTCAGACAGACCCAGGCTCAGCTCAAGCAGACCCAGGCTCAGCTCAAGCAGACCCAGGCTCAGCTCAAGCAGACCCAGGCTCAGCTCAAGCAGACCCAGGCTCAGCTCAAGCAGACCCAGGCTCAGCTCAAGCAGACCCAGGCTCAGCTCAAGCAGACCCAGGCTCAGCTCACGCAGACCCAGGCTCAGATCAAGCAGACCCAGGCCCAGCAGGTTTTGGAGCTCAGGCTGAATTCCTGCGGCAATCCCGGGCAGCTCCAGCGCTGGTTTTGCTGCCGGCTTTTGCCACCCCCCGTGCGTGCCCCCGCAGCTGCCCGGGCTGATCCCTGAGCTGCGGGGACGCCTGGCAGGGCCAGATAAAGCAGGTGGCCCTCGGTGGCCGGGCAGGGACAGCGCTGCTATCGTGGGGCTCAGCCACGGCCCGGGAGGAGCCGCTGCTCCCGAGGCTCCTGCGGCAAAACGGGGCAAAAAAGGGCAAAAAGGGGCAAAAAGGGCAAAACCGGGCAAAAAGGGGCAAAAAGGGGCAAAACCGGGCAAAACGGGGCAGCGAATGCGGGTGCAGAGGGCAGGGGGGCTCAGCCACGGCCCGGGAGGAGCCACTGCTCCCGAGGCTCCTGTGGCAAAACGGGGCAAAAAGGGGCAAAAAAGGGCAAAAAGGGGCAAAAAGGGCAAAACCGGGCAAAAAGGGGCAAAAAGGGGCAAAACCGGGCAAAACGGGGCAGCGAATGCGGGTGCAGAGGGCAGGGCTGAGCCCGGGCAGGGGCACAGATCTCTCCTGTTCTCTCCTCAAGCAGAAAACAGCCGGTTTTCTGGGGTTTTCTGGCGTTTTCTGGGGTTTTCTGGGGTTTTCTGGGGTTCAGCCTGCGAGCAAGGGCATTTCACCGAGCTGGAGCTGCAGCTCTCGGCTCAGTGAGTGCAGCCACTCCCTGCGGGGGCTCAGCGTCGAGCGGAGCCTTTGCCAAATACTTTTCAGCATCTTCCTGCCCCGTGCCAAGGTCACTGCCCTAAGCTAATAGAGGAGAATTCCCCAGAATTCAAAGGTGGCTCGTTTTATTTCCTGCTAACAGATTCCTCTTGCCTTCTGCAGCCACCATCCCCATTCAGGGCAGTGAGCTGTAAAAATGCAGCCAAGATCTCTCCGTGGAATTTGTCATCGTGTTTACAGGGAAGTGTTTTATAGGAACACGTTATCCAAGGTGCTGGATTCCTTCCCTTAGGAAACCACCTCTGTGTCTCATCGCAAATGCCTTTGTTACATCCGATTGGAACTTAAATTGTATAGGAAAGGAAAATAAAGTGTAAATTAAAAAAATAAATAAATAAAAGAGGTAAGTTGGTAAGTTCGAGCAGTGGAAACATCGCTGTTTCCTGGATAACAAAGGGAAACAGGAAGGTGCAGGTCGGCTGCTGCCTGCCCTCTCCTCGGACTGGGAGGACACATTCCCCTTCCTGCCCTTTTTGGTTTGGGTGTTTTCTTTTCGTTTGGGACTTGGCAGCTTTGGAGGGAGGGGGGATTTTCCTGGCGGGTGCAGAGCAAGGCAGAGAAGCAGAGGCAGAGGCAGCGGGTTCCCTGGAAGCTGCTCCTTGGGATGCCAGGCGTGCCTGGCACCGCGCACCCCGCGCGTTCCACACCCAGCCCCGCTCCCCACCGCGCTCCCGGCTTTCGTCAGAGCCTTCCCGGAGCTGAGCTGAGCTCAGCTGAGCTGGGCTGGCCGGGAGGGGCGGGCGGGGGCTCCGCGGAGCTCGGAGCAGCCCCGCGGGAGCGGCTCCGCTGCCCGGGCAGTGCCGGGGGACCCGCGATGGGCTGCGGCCGCCGCTGCTCGCTCCTGCTCCTGCTGCTGCTGCTGCTGCTGCTGCCCGCGGCGTGGGGTGAGCCCCTGCAGGGGAGGGGGCTGCGGGGAGCCGGGCACTCCGGGCTGGGAGCTCCGTGCGTGCGGGAGCGCTCTCTGCGCCCGCGCGTGTGCGAGTGTAGGACCCGTGGGTTATCCACGGGAGTGTGGGGTATCCATGGGAGTGTGGGTTATCCACGGGACTGTGGGGTATCCATGGGAGTGTGGGTTATCCATGGGAGTGTGGGGTATCTATTGGAGTGTGGGGTATCTATGGGAGTGTGGGGTATCCACGGGAGTGTGGGTTATCCATGGCAGTGTGGGTTATCCATGGCAGTGTGGGGTATCTATGGCAGTGTGGGGTATCCACGGGAGTGTGGGTTATCCATGGGAGTGTGGGGTATCCACGGGAGTGTGGGTTATCATGGCAGTGTGGGGTATCCATGGCAGTGTGGGGTATCTATGGCAGTGTGGGTTATCCATGGGAGTGTGGGTTATCCATGGCAGTGTGGGGTATCTATTGGAGTGTGGGTTATCCATGGGAATGTGTGCTCCATGTCTTATCCATGTGAATGTGATTCGTGTGCGTGTGTTCCCTGTACACGTGCTCCATGTGCTCCGTGTGTGTTTTCTGTGTGCTCTGTGTGTTATGTGTGTCAGTGGGTGTTATCCATGTGCTGCTCCCTGTGTGTTTGTGCTCCTTGTGTGCTTTGTGGCTGTGTGTGTGCTCTGTGTTCTCTGTGTGTGTGCGCCCTGTATCCCTGTCCCTGAGTGTTCTCCCTGTGCCCCCCTTTCCCACCGGCTCTGTGTGTGCCCCCCGCCCTGCCCGGGGTACAAAAGCAGCAGAAGGAGCCGCGCTAAATCCCCGTTTATTTCCCCACAGGGGACTGCGGGCCGCTGCCAAATATCAGCCACGCCGAGCCGCGGGGGGACACCAAACACCAGCAGAGCTTCAGTGTGGGCTCCACAGTGACCTTCGGCTGCGTCCCGGGTTACACCAAGCTCCCTTTTCTCTCCGACACCATCCGCTGCCTGCCGAACTCCCGCTGGTCCAGCCTGCCCGAGTTCTGCGGCCGTGAGTGTTTCCCTTTCTCTGACACAAGCAGGGCGCGGGCTGCTTGTGGGAACACCCACAGCTTTGGCAATCGCTGCCTCAGGGCTTTCCTCATCACACAGGATGAAGTGGTCTGGCCACCTCTCTTGCTGCCCCTTTTTCCTACACTCCATCGAGTAGCTGGAGCCACTTGTGTGGCACTTGTGTGCTAATGAAACTAGAGGAACAGCTTGGGAAGCACATGGGAAAGGGGAAGGAATGCAGGGGCAGAGCACTGAGTGACCAAAGGGTTAATCAGGCTGGGAGGTTTGGTTTTGGGCATTTGGAAGCTTCTCCAGTGAGAACTGGCTGCACTTCCCCACCTCAGACAATTCCCTGGTGGAAGTGGCCAGGGAGGAGGGCACTGTTTGGGATCCATGTTCTTAGTGAGGCTCACTCGGATTTCTGTTTACAAAATGTTATTTTTGCTCTGTAACCCGACATTTGGGTGTCTCTGTGGTGGCCAGGCAGCTGTCCCAGACCCAGATCTGTGTCATTTGCTGCGATATCACCAGAAGACAAAATGCAGAATTTTTACGCCGTTAACACCACGGTGAGGTACATTTGTCGCCAAGGTTTTGAAAACACCACAGCCCAGCCCCCCACCAGCACCTGTTTGGACAACTTAACGTGGACAGAAGTTCCTAAACTGTGTCAGAGTGAGTGTCCCCCTGTAATTTCATTTCCACCAACCCTGTGTTCCAAGTGCCACGCATGTATTTTAAAATTGCTCTTTTCTAATGACATTTAACATGAAATACCATTAACTGCCTGATTTGACATTGCCATACTGCCACGAAAACTAAGCTTTGTGGGGTTTTCCCCAGCCTCATGGTGTCCTAAGGACAATCTTACCCTTTTTTAGAGAAATCCTGTGGTATTCCAGCCAATCCAGAACACGGCCAAGTTATCCTAAAAGAACATCAGCTGGGTGCAACAGCCAGAGTGGTTTGTGACCGTGGGTGAGTGTGAAGCCAGTGTCCTCTGCATCCCAGTTGCCTGGCCAGAGTCACTGGGGTGTGAATGGGACATGGGGCCCTGCCCCTGCAGAGTCCTCAGCACCTCTGTGGTGGCACATTCTCGGTTGGTGGCAACCAGCTGATTTTGGGATGTGCCTTTTGCCCCCGCAGGTACAGATTAAAGGGAGCATCACCTTCCGTCATTTGCCTCCTACAGGGAGACAAAGCTGTCTGGAGTCCTCTTCCAGCTTGTCAGGGTGAGTGAAGTTGTCCAGTGCTTGGCTGGAAAAACCAAATGTTCCAACCCAGAAATGCTGAATTTTTGGTTTACTTCGCTAAGCGAAGTCAGGCGAGCATCTCTGCAAGGGGACAGCTGCTGTCACAAGCAGGGAGTCCCCAGGAGCATCCCTGGCTCCTGTGACAGCCTGACAGGAGCAGTGCCTGCTGAGAAGAGCACCCCAGGGGTCACCTCCTGACTTCTTCCATTTGTCCCGCAGTGATTTCCTGTCCCCCTCCTCCAGCCATCCCCCGCGGGCAGCACAGCGGGAGCAGCTCGGGGGAGTTCGTGCTGGGCTCTGTCACAACCTACACGTGCGAGCCGGGGCTGGAGCTGGTGGGAGAGGACACGCTGCGCTGCACCGGCGACACGGGGGACAGCGGCGACAGCGGCACCTGGAGCGGGGCCCCGCCCGCCTGCCGCGGTGAGAGCCATCCCCTGCTCACAGCCGCCCCTTCCCCGCAGTTTGCTCCTGCTGGGCTGCAAATCGCTGCTGATTCCACCCTGCCTGGCACTTTGTTCGCAAGGTGCCAGGCTCTGCTGAGCAGCACCGGGAGCAGAACCAGTCGTGGTTTTATGTTTTCCCTTCGAGAGGATCAGGCAGAAATGTAATGGTCAGTGTGGGGAATTATCAGTGACTGCAAAGCTGCTGGAGGGAACTTAGAAAGGATTTATTTATCAACAACACCCAGGCAATAAAGCCGAGTGGAACAGCAGAATCCCCTCGGTCCTTAAGGCCTGGAGGGGCACAAGAGGTCCCTGTCACAGCCTGAGATGCACAAGTCACCTGCCCATGTGATGTTCACTCCTCTCTGAACTATTTTATATATTTTGTACAAGCTGAGCACCATATAAAACAGCATTTTGAGTGCTTTTCCTTTGTCTCTCCCCAGTTAAAACCACAGCAGAGACAAACCAAACCAAACCCTCAGAAGAGAATCCTTACTGGCTGGGTAAGAGCTCCATTGCTTAGAAGTCCTGTTAATTGCTGTAATTGCACCACGTTTTGGCTTTCATATCTTTAACAACTCTTTCATTATTTTCCTCCCCAGCAAGCATCCTCATTCCCAGTTGCATTGGTAAGTAGCTTAAAATTGAAAATGTATTTTCCTACCCCAAAGCTGTTTGCTGTTAAATACCTGGAGTCAGTGGTTGATTTCACTCTCCCTTTCCCTTCTTTGTCAGTTCCTCCAGTAGCCCTTGGAATTCTAGCTGGGATCATCATGAGACGGAAAGAGAGTGAAAAGCAGTAAGCTGCCCCTTGAAAATCAGAACTTTCCCTGGGGATAAGTGGATTTTTCCTTTCAAGCCCCATACCTTCAGTATATTTGCATGGTTAGCATGATTTTTCCATGTTGTGAAGCTTCTTTTTATTCTACAATTTCCCCCCTTTCTGTCTCTCCAGCTCTTATAATGTGAATTTACAAAAGCAGGAGATGAAGGGAAGGGATGCAGCGATGCATCCAGAGGTTACAGATGAGAAGAAGCACCCCAAGCCCTGGAATTCCTATTTTTGGTAGGTTTGCTTGTTCACCTGCCCAAAAACTTGTGCCAGACTTCTGACTACAGCCAGGGGTCTCACTGCTGCTGAGCTCACCTGTGCAGAAGATCTTTGAGCAGTTCTTGATTTCAAACACCACGGTGAGCACCCTGCTGTCCAGAGGGGGCTTCGGGAGGGTCTGGGCTTTGCTGGCTGCTCTCTGGGTGGATTTCCCCCGTCTCTCTCACCCACAGCCACACAGGGAACTGCCACGTGTGTCCCAGCTGTGAGGAGCAGCTCCACAGTGACCTGGCCCCTCTCTCAGAGCCCCCACACCACGGCTGTGCCACCTGCCAGGACTGGCTGAGCTCCCAAAAACCCCGCAGCTACTCTGTCCCCAGCATCGGTGCTGGGGACAGCCAGAGCCCAGCAGGGACCAGGTACAGATCCAGCAGGGGCTTGCTCTGCTGCCCTGGCGAGGAGGAGGCAGAACAAAGGGGAAGGGGGAGGAAGCATGTGGATAAAGTGAGTTTTGCAGCTAGGATTCGTGTGGTTCCTGTTTCAGCAGGAGCAAGGGTTTGATGTTTAGGGAGCAGTGGCTGTGTTGGCAGCAGGTGTTTTTGGGAAGCCTCACACTCAGGTTATCTTCTCTCTCTCTGTGTTCAGCTCTCCTGCCAAAGCTGTGGATGTGCTGAGGGCAGATGGCACAGGAGAAGCTGCTCCATGGTGGAGTGAGGCAGAGCAGCCCATGGACCACCAAAGGTCAGTCTTCCACCTAAAAATACCTAAAAATACCCAGGTGCCACTGTGGGCATGGACAAAAATCAGCGAATTTCAGAAGAGAGTAGAAATGTGTTTATCAGAGAATCCCTGAATGGTTTGGGTTGGAAGGGACCTTAAAGCTCATCTCATCCCACCCCCTCACCTCCCACTACCCCAGGCTGTTCCAAGCCCCAGGGCCACGCTCTGGAAGGCCCATCCCTGCCCTCAGTGCCCACCCTCAATGGTTCTTCTCCACAGTGACCACATCTGTCCCATCTGTGAGAGCTGGCTCCGTGCCCACGCTGGTGACAGCAGTGCTGTGACACCGGGGGAGTGGCAGGACAAGGGGTGAGTGTGGCCAGGGCAGGCAGCTCCTCTCAGCACTGCAGCGCCCTCCAAGCTGAGAGCTCACTGCTTAACCCAGAATAAAAGCACCTGGCAGGGTGTGAGGGTTGGCTGCTCCTGTTGTGCCAGGGTAAAGTGTGGTGCCTCTCCACGAGAGAGATGTGGAACTGGGTCAGGTTCACTCAGATGATGCTTGTGGGGTTTTCCTGGGCGTCTCTGGAGCAGCCTGAGCTCTCAGCTGTGCCCACCTGGCTCGGCCTCGTGTTCTTTGGGGCTCTGCTTTTGGTGGAGCAGCAAAAGCTCAGGTGAGACCCTGCAGTGGGAGCCTCTTGTCAGCCACTGCCCAGGGCTTTTCCCACCTGTGGGTGTGCTTCCTTTGCTTGTGGCAGGGTAAGGTTTTGACCCAGAGAAGTGATGAGGTGAAGCTGTTTGCTCAGTTTATTTATTTATTTCTGACACTCATCCATGTGAGTCTGGTGCTCTCTCAGGCTGACAAAGCTTCCTTAACAGAATCACCATTGACAGAGGCAAATTCACATGAAAAACCAGACAAACATGGCTGGGCACGTGCATCTGCTTGCTTTGGCTTTGGGAAGTGTGAACTCCTTGCTGCTGCTTTTGCTCCGGGGTTTTTCCATTTATTCCTGTGAGTGCCTGTTCCACTGGCTGGGAGCTGCAGTTGTGGGGGAGCTGCAGCTCTGCCTTCTTGAATCACTGCCTGTTGGAATTTAAAAAGGGAAAATGTGAAGGAAAGCAGCTTTTGTGGGTGCAGGGTGGTTTGGAGAGGGGCAGGCGCTGTCACGACCCCGCTGGGACTCACCTCACCTCTCTCCCCACAGCCCCCAGGGCCCCGTCTGCCCCCCCTGCACGGACAGACAGCTCCTGTCCCTTGTCCACGGGGACACAGCCAGCAGCCCCGTGTGTCCCCTGGCCGGGGAGGGGACCCCAGCCCACCTGGTCCCTTGGCACAGCCCCGGCTGCCACCTCTGCCCCGTGTGCTCGGAGCCCACCCACGCTCACCTGTGCCAGCCCCAGCGCCTGGCACCTGATGGTAGGAGATGCACGGGGCACCCCAAAAAACACCCCGGGGTCCCTGGGGAGGGGCACAGGGCTCAGACTCCCCCTGATTCCTGCTTGTTTCCCATGCCAGGATAAATCCAGGAGCTGAGGAGGGAGCTCAGCACCGATCCCAGGCAGGGATTCAGCTCTCAGTGCAATAAAGGGACCTCACATCAAGGCTCTGACTCCACCTGAGCTGGCAAAGAAGCAGAAAAACCAAACACACTTCAAACCCACCTCTGTGTTGGTTTAATGCCCACTTTTTTTTGTTTATTTTTGTATGAAAAAGTGTTTTTGCAGCTCTTAAAGCGAGACTTTAAAGAGACAGTAAACATTTCTTTGCGCTAGGAAAATAATTTCCTCTTTGCACAATCTTACAAGATTTATTTGTATTTCCTTAATGACTTCTTTTTAACTGAGGTTCTTTTCCTAGTGTGCAGACAAAAGTGCAAAATTTACAGTATTTATAGTAAAACTGTTTTGTAAATAAAATGAAGATAAAATAAAATAAAATAACTGATGTCCTGGCTCTGGGGTTTATTTCATATTTACTAATCAAGTCTTCCTTTGAGTGGCTCAAACGATTTTGCAGTCTCATTCTTTGCTGGATGTAATCAAGTTCATTAATTGCTTCTGCTCAATTAATTGCTGTTGTTGCACTGGTGTCCAGTGCCTGAGTTTTCCTGGGAATTGTGAGGAGGGAGGTGGGGCAGTGCTCTGCCTTTCCCTCCTGACAGAGTGACTGCCAGGAAACCCTGGCACTGCTCTGTGGGACTGGAGTGCTTTGGAAGCCACCTGGAATGCTGCTCAGAACGTCTGGAATACTGGAATTCCACCTGGAATGCTGCTCAGAACTTCTCAGAACTTCTGCTCAGAACTTCTGGAATGTTGCTCAGAACTTCTGCTCAGAACTTTTGCTCAGAACTTCTGGAATGCTGCTCAGAACTTCTGCTCAGAACTTCTGGAATGCTGCTCAGGACTCAAGGGCAGCTCTTCCCGGGTGATGCCACGGAGATGCCATAGACCTTTGTCCTGGGAGCAGGACACCAACCCCACAGCTTTTGGGCACTTTGTTTCATCCTGTGTGCCCTGAGTGGCCGTGCTGAGGATGTGTGTGAGCTTAGAGAGAGCTGAGGGAGGGACCACGTGGCAAAATGCCCTGGATTTCTCTGGCTGATGGCAAGGCTGGTGTCCTTTCCTGGCTGTCACTCAGCCTGGCTAAAGATCACTGGACAAGCTGCCATAAAATGGAGTTAAGATTGGAAGGTTTCCTGTTTAGAAGGGCAACACCACTGTGGTGGAATTTTGACTGCCTAAGCCTGAGACGCTCAGACTTTTAGCTGCTGGTAAAGCAAAATGTTGATGTTTGGGGTTTTGTCTGCTGCAGAGGTAAATCACCCATCTGGGAGCTTCTCATGATGCACACTGGGAACAGGAACTGTCCAAAATGTGTCTACTACAGACCTTTGGTTTCTCATTTTCCCCTGCTAGCAGGAACATGCCTTTCATAAGAAGGAAACCCACAAATAACCATTTCCATCCACACTTCAGCCTTGTTCCAGACAGACCCCCAAGTTCTCCCTCCCCAGCAGGGCACTGTCCTGCTCAGGGGCACTGCAGATCCTGTTTTTTCAGCCTTGCAGAACAAGCACTTGCACATTGCTGGTTATTTTTTTATTTCTATTTTACCATAAGCTATGTGAGTGACTAAATGGACAAAATACAACCTAAAGCCTTGCAGCTCTGGGTTGTGTTTGGTTTTGCTGTTTTAATCTCAAGCACATTTATTCATACTGCATAGTCCAAAGTGATTTTTTTTCCCAAATTATTTAACATAGGATTTGGGGATCAGCTAGGAATTATCTCCCCACAATCAGATGAAAGGAATTGTGAATGCTGCAACATTGTTTACAGGTGTGGTCACAAAAATTTACCACTGGAGAGGGTTTATTTACTGTATTTGTAATCAGTTGCACATCATTTCTCTTTATAATCTGAGTGCAGATGACCAAGTGCAATTCTGAAGCGTGAACATTGGATTTGTAAGTATTGGAAGCTGAATAAAAGATTTCTTCAATAAAAGAAATAAAAGGATTTGAGCAGTTCATGTCCTGCTGCCTGCTTTAGGCTCAGGAAGTGTCACCTGCGTGAGGTGGGCAGCTGGAGCTGCTGGGGCTGCTCCTCACCCAAAAGTCCTGTCTGGGGGTTTATTCCTCCTGCCAGTGGGGAGGGATGAGCCCAGGGTCGGGTCAGGAGGATTTGTGTCCCCACTGGTCCCATTTTTATGGAATGCCTCGTTCTGCCTGCCCCACCCCTGGGAAGGTGAACTGTGCCGTGCCCCTTAGGTGCCACCACCACCCCCTGGGGCTCTGGGACAGAGCCTGGGCCACTTCCCCAAGGTGGGGGACACTCTGCACCATGGGCACAGTGCACCTCTGCCTGCACCCTGCCCTTTGTCACCCCTCTTTCCACATCCCCCCGTGCCAAAACCAGCAGCAGCAGCAGCAGCCTGGGGCACCTGCAGCCTCCTGGGGGTGCTGGCTGTGCCTGCACGTCCTGGGGAGCCCACAGGTTCCTGTCCCACAGTCCTGGGAAGTCCCCCAGCAGCATCTCCTTCCTCCCACGGGGGCACTGGGGGGAACTGGGGTGCTCATATCTGCCCTGTGCCCCCAGGAGCTGCTGTCTGTGCCAGGGATGGTGCCCACCTTCACCCTCTGCCTGCTGGGCAGCTCCGCTCTGCTCCTCAGCACCACGCCCGGGGCTCAAGGTAAGGCAGGGCAGCAGCTCTGCTCCTCTGGGGCCTTCCTCCCACTGCCCTCCTGCTCCTCATCCCTGCTCTGTCCTCGCTGATCCCTGCGCCCTTCCCTGCTGAGGGAAATGGGAGCTCTGCACTGGTCCCAGGTGGACCTTGGCATCACAGAGCCCTGAGCTCCTCTGCTGATGGCAGAGACCCTCGGGGGTCATCAGAGCCACAGCTGGCACATCATCAGAGCCACAGCTGGCACCCCCAGCCCAGGCTGGGCACCCCCAGCCCCCTGGCACAGCACAGATCCCTGGGTGCCTTTGGCTCAGTCCCGGGCTGCCCTGTCAGGGTTTTCCTGGGTGGGATTGGGCCCTCAGGAGGGGCTTCAGAGCCTGCAGAAAGGCCAGGAAAGGCTCTTGACACTGCTGGGCGTTGACATGAAATCCTGGACATGCAGATTGTGTCAGCTGAGGTGGCAGCGGGGTCCCCGAGGAGCACAGGGAGGGTCCTGCAGCCCAGGGACCCCCACCCCAGCTGCAGCCCCCAGTGCTCAGGGCGCAGACCCCTCAGCACGGCGGGATCCCCGCAGCTCTGCAGGTCAGCACGTCCCTTCTCTCCCTCCCAGCTGCCCGGTGCCGGTTCCCCCGGGTGCTGAACGGGAGCGTGTCCCCTCGTCGCTCTTCCTACTGGACACGGGACACCGTGAGTGTCACCTGCAACCCCGGCTACGCCCTGAAGGGCCCCGGCAGCAGCACCTGCAGGGCCACCTCCAGGTGGGACCCCTCTCTGCCGGAGTGCAAAAAGGGTGAGTGTCACCTGAGTGTCCCATGAGTGTCCCATGAGTGTTCCCTTAGTGTCCCGAGTGTCCCATGAGTGTCCCCTTAGTGTAACCTGAGTGCCTCCTGAGTGTCCCATGAGTGTCCCAGTGCTGGCCATGGGGAAAGCTCCTCTTGTGTCCTCCCAAATTCGCTGGGAAGGCAAAGCCAGGCTGGATCTGTCCTGGCTGCCCTTCCCAAGCTCGGCTGGCAGCTCCAGAGGGACATGCTGGAGGGGGGACATGGGGAGGGCTGTGCCCTGTCTGGGGCTCCGAGAGGGATGGGGAGAGGCTAACCCCGAGGGATGGCAGGGTCTGAATGCCAGGGGAATTCTGACACTGCTTCTGGGCAGATGTGGGGCAATTTCACCTTCACTGTGGAGTGGAGAGTAATCACAACTTCTCACTGCTCTTGCTGCTTCCACATCAGTCTGGACCCCTTAGTGTAACCTGAGTGCCTCCTGAGTGTCCCATGAGTGTCCCAGTGCTGGCCATGGGGAAAGCTCCTCTTGTGTCCTCCCAAATTCGCTGGGAAGGCAAAGCCAGGCTGGATCTGTCCTGGCTGCCCTTCCCAAGCTCGCCTGGCAGCTCCAGAGGGACATACTGGGGGGGGACATGGGGAGGACTGTGCCCTGTCTGGGGCTCCGAGAGGGATGGGGAGAGGCTAACCCCGAGGGATGGCAGGGTCTGAATGCCAGGGGAATTCTGACACTGCTTCTGGGCAGATGTGGGGCAATTTCACCTTCACTGTGGAGTGGAGAGTAATCACAACTTCTCACTGCTCTTGCTGCTTCCACATCAGTGTGGATCCCCCCCAAACCCTGTGATGAACCTGCAGTCCTGTCAGGACTGCTGTTACTGCCAGTGATTTCTTCCAGGTGCAGCTGCACCTTGAGTGAACGAAAGCCTTGATCCAGCAAATGAACCCAGAGCAGAACTCAGGAGATCTCCCTGCTGCTCCCCGAGCTGTGCCAGCAGCACACAAACCAGCACAGAGCAGACCCACGGGACGCTTTCTCTCCCTCTGCAGAGGTGACATGTCCTCGGCCACCGAGCATCGCCAATGGGCTGCACAGCGGCCACTCCAGGGACAGCTTCTCCCGGGGGGTGACCGTGTCCTACAGCTGCAGGGAGGGCTTTGAGCTGCTCGGCAACGCGTCCATCACCTGCACGGACTCCGGCCTCTGGAGCCGGCCCCTGCCCCGCTGCGAAGGTCTCTGGGGGTCTCTCTCCTGGGGTGGGGAGGCAGGAGGGGTGCTGGGTGTGCTGGAGGGTCAGAGCAGGCGGGGTTGTGGCTCGGAGGGGAGCAGAGGGCTCTGTGTGTGCACATCCAGCTCCCCATGCAGTGAAGTTTAAAGCTCGCTGTCTCTGTTCCCTCAGCGATCGGCTGTCAGGTACCCGAGGTGCAGAATGGGAAGGTCCACAACGTGCAGAGCACCTACAGAGCTGGAGACACTCTGCACTTTGATTGTCACCCCGGTTATGCAGCAGAGGACTCCGATGAGGCTCGGTGCCAGCCCGGGGGTGTCTGGGACCCGCCACTCCTTGTGTGCCAGAAGGGTGAGTGCTGCTCAGGAACAGGGGGTGCAGGCAGGGATTTAACCCATCCGTGCACATCCTCGCTCCTCATTCCCTCGCTGAGATAAATTTCTCATCTCCCTCCCGCAGTCCGGCCGTGCCCGATGCCTCCGGAGGTCGCCAATGGCAATCACAACGGGCGGAGCATAGCAGGATTCACCATGGGAATGTCTGTCAAGTACAGCTGCAATCCTGGCTACTACCTGGTTGGAAATGCCGCTGTGTCCTGCAGAGCATCGGGGAACTGGAGCCAGCCTCACCCTCGCTGCCAAGGTGAGTCTGGGCTCTGTCCCCTCAGGGACAAACTCAGTGTGGCCCTGAGCACAGGGGACACCCTCACCAAATCCACTGAAACCTTCAGTGAGAGACTAAATTCCATTTTAATGAAATATACGGGTTTATAACATATAAAGAACAGGCTGAAATCCACGAGTCCAGAGCCAGCACCCTCCTCCCTGTGCTCCAGCATATCCAGGAATGGTGACAGTGCTGAGAGCAGGCATGGGCAGAGGGGGGCACTCAGCTTTGAGGGGGAGACCAGCTGAGTTTAAATGAATACTTTCAATACTCTTTGTCCACAAAAATTGGAGGAGAGACAGGAGACCCAAAGGCTGCTGGCAGGATGCATCTGGCAGTACCTGGGATTTGACCCCTCTGTCCTCCCAAAGTCTGACATGCGGGAGGTGGGGCTGACCTGGCTCCCCAAAATCACCTTTCCCAAACTCTGATGAGGTTTCCCCTCCCTCTGCAGAGGTGACATGTCCTCGGCCACCGAGCATCGCCAATGGGCTGCACAGCGGCCACTCCAGGGACAGCTTCTCCCGGGGGGTGACCGTGTCCTACAGCTGCAGGGAGGGCTTTGAGCTGCTCGGCAACGCGTCCATCACCTGCACGGACTCCGGCCTCTGGAGCCGGCCCCTGCCCCGCTGCGAAGGTCTCTGGGGGTCTCTCTCCTGGGGTGGGGAGGCAGGAGGGGTGCTGGGTGTGCTGGAGGGTCAGAGCAGGCGGGGTTGTGGCTCGGAGGGGAGCAGAGGGCTCTGTGTGTGCACATCCAGCTCCCCATGCAGTGAAGTTTAAAGCTCGCTGTCTCTGTTCCCTCAGCGATCGGCTGTCAGGTACCCGAGGTGCAGAATGGGAAGGTCCACAACGTGCAGAGCACCTACAGAGCTGGAGACACTCTGCACTTTGGCTGTGATTCTGGGTACACCACAGAGGACTCTGATGAGGCTCGGTGCCAGCCCGGGGGTGTCTGGGACCCGCCACTCCTTGTGTGCCAGAGAGGTGAGTGCTGCTCAGGAACAGGGGTGCAGGCAGGGATTTGATCCATCCGTGATTTAACCCATCCGTGCACATCCTCCCTTCTCATTCTCTCGCTGAGTTAAATTTCCCATGTCCCTCCCGCAGTCCGGCCGTGCCCGATGCCTCCGGAGGTCGCCAATGGCAATCACAACGGGCGGGACAAAGCGTTTTTTACCGCTGGGATGTTTGTGAGGTACAGCTGCAATCCTGGCTACTACCTGGTTGGAAATGCCGCTGTGTCCTGCAGAGCATCGGGGAACTGGAGCCAGCCTCACCCTCGCTGCCAAGGTGAGTCTGGGCTCTGTCCCCTCAGGGACAAACTCAGTGTGGCCCTGAGCACAGGGGACACCCTCACCAGTGCAAACAGATCCTCCAAGAGGGTTAATTCCATGTAAAGTGTACCATGGAATCAATTAATGCCAGGCCTTCCCGTGGCTGGGGAGGTTTGTGTGGACACCACGCTGATTCTGTGGTTCCAGCACCAACAGCCTGTGCTTTTGTGTTTTCTGTCGCTCCAACTTCTCCTGCACACCCTCATTTCCAGGGACTGTCTGCATCAATCCAATCGTAGCCAACGGAAGGCAAGTTGGTGGCCACGGGCTTCTGTCTGCCCCCGGGCAAACGGTGACATTTCGGTGCCACGATGGTTACAGCCTGCAGGGCAGTGCCAGCGTGTCCTGCCAGCAGGATGGCAGCTGGCAGCCCCCTGCTCCTGTGTGTGACAGAGCACTGCCTCACCACAACTCCTTCACCAGGTCTCCAGGTACCTGAAAAACTGCTATTTTATGTCCCTTTATCCTGTTTAAAAAATGCTGTTAAACCCTTTGGGGATGATTTAAGCCTGTCCTGGGAATAAGAACCTAATCTTCTGCAAGCCTTTGGGAAAATGTCTTTATTAATGGCTATATTAATCAAAATGAACATTTTTGCAAGGCAAACCAAACCCCTTTCCTCCTAACAGTGCTCTTTGTGTGCTTGCCCCCATGTGCCTGTCCTGCCTGCTCCTCACATCTCTTTTCTCTCTCACTAGGTGCTTGTGGTGCTCCCACAAGGTTACAATTTGCTGAGCTAAATGAGGAGCATAGAAATGCCTTTGATTTTCCTGTTGGGAAGACTGTGCAATACACTTGCCTCCCTGGATATGCTAAAGTGCCAGGATTGTCACCTACTATGACATGCCTTAAGAGTGGAGTGTGGTCAGAAGCACTAGAGTTCTGTAAAAGTGAATAGCTCCTTGATTTGGTGTCTGTTGTTGCTGGAGGAACAGGTCTCAGGTTCTGCCCATGCTGCCAAAACCTTGATGTTACTCTGAATATGTGACTAGTAAAGCCATGTAACCCTTTGAAATTGGAAACCCGTGTTGGGGGGAACTGGGAATGTGGGCAGGGGACTGGAGGAATAATTGAATATTTTGTACTGTGATGTAGAGAGGCAGGATATAAGGGTGTTTTCCTTCCCCAGGGAAACAGTGCAGTCACCCAGGTGAGCCTGTGAACGGCAAGATTATTTCCCTGACAAATCTCCAGCTTGGGTCTACAGTGGTTTACAGCTGTGAGGAAGGGTAAGTCCTGCTCTGGAGGTGGATTGGGTAAGTGTCCCCCTTTTTAACCCCTGCTCATTCACTCCCAGTAAATGGATTCTGTACAGAAGCCCCTGTAGAGGGTTCTGTACTTATTGTGACTATACACTACAGTGTGTGTATATATATATTTATTTTTTAATATATACATATATTAAATATATATATATTTAATATATCCATATATATCCATATCCCCTATAAATGCTGGGAAATGGGTTGGCCAGAGCAAGGAAGGAACCTCCCCTTCAGGGCCACAGCTGTGCTGCCAGCAGGGCTGATCCCACGTCCCAGGTGGTTGGGAGGAACAATAACTCCAACTGAAGTGGCTTGGGGTGAATGACCGACCCTTTTAACACCAGGCACAGGTTAATTGGACAATCCAGCAGACGCTGTGAGATCTCTGGGGGACGAGTTGCATGGACTGGTCACACTCCCCTCTGCCAGCGTAAGTAGCTCATGGCTCTGGGGGTTTGCAAGGATCTGGGGAATATTTTCCAGCAGAGACTGCCACATCTTTCCAATCAAAGCTTTCCCAGGCAATTTCTCCCCACTGTGGGCAGGAAAATTACCAGAAGGTTTGGAAGTTGTAAGAAAGCAATCTGGGGAAAAGTACAAGATCCCAAAGCTGAAGAGATTATGGAAAGCAACAGCTCAGACACCTCAGCTGGAGCTTTTCCAGCAGTGCTTGTGTCCTGCTCTGACTGACACCAGGAGCCCACTGCAGGAGAGGAAGGGAAAACATGTTGAGCTTAGGGGGTGTTTTGTTAGACCCAGAGAGAACAAGGGTCAGTCCTAAGGAGAGACAGAGCACTGAGCCAGGGCCAGCAGCGAATCCCAAAATCCCAGATGTGGGTTTGCTCCCTCTCTCCGCCGCTGGTGAGTGCCCAAGAGCTGCTGTGCTGCTCCTCAGCAACTCTAGCTGGGCCTTTCTCTGCTGATCAGAGCCATTTCATACGAAGAAAGAAACGTTTGCTGGTACATTCTGGGGTTTTAAAGCATTTCCCAGGTTCTCCAGGTGGGTGTGAACCACAGGTGGCACACAGACTGTGCCTATTGCACAACCTGGCACCAGGATTTTATCCCAGTGATGCTAAATAAGTATTCGATTTCTTATTTCTTAAAAAGTAGAAAATGCAAAGCATGCAGGTGTTTCCTCCACAGAGCTTTGATTACTGCTATGCTTTCTGTAGAAGTGCCAGGGTGGGTGGGATCCTCTTCCCAGGCTCTCACCTGGGAGGTCACTTCATCCCACCTTTAGAAGAAGTGTTTGTGCCTCACAGTCCCAGGGGTTCGGTGCTGCTGTTGAATTGAGGCTCTGCACCCCTGCAGGCATCCCCTGCGAGCCACCCCCGGACATCCCCAACGGGCAGCACTCGGGCGAGCTGCTGAGCGAGTTCCACTACGGCACGGCCGTCACCTACACCTGCAACCGCGGCTTCCCCCTGCACGGGCAGCCCTCCATCCACTGCACCACCCACGACGGCCGCAACGGCGTCTGGAGCGAGCCCCTGCCCGCCTGCGGAGGTGGGCTGGGCAGCCTGAGGGTGCAGGGACCCCCAGCAATCCTCCCAGCATCGCTGCTCCGTGTTGGGAATGACTGGGAAACTGCAGCCAGCTGGGATTTTTGCCCCAGCATAATCCAGCATTATCCAGAGCAGGGGGGGGGTTGGAGTGCCACCCTGCTGTCCCAGGGTCCCCTTTGCCCTTGGAGATGTTTGATATTGTAGGATGCAGGCACAACATCTTCTCTAGGGAAAATGATTTTCAGCCTTGTGTCTTAAAATTGCAACAACCCTTGGTGGCTCCACAGCTGCCCAGCTCTGCCTGAGGGCCCGTTCTGAGCACCTGCACCTCTTTCTTTTCCAGAGGCGAATTGTCCTGTCCCACAGATCCAGCACGGGAGGATCGTGGCTGCCAGGTCTGCCTATGCACACAGGGACACCGTGACCTTGGAATGTGACCCAGGCTATGTCATTCATGGCCACAGAGAGATCCAGTGCCAGCCAAACAACACCTGGGAGCCGCCTGTGCCCGTCTGCGAGCAGGGCAAGTGTCCCAACAGGGCTTAACCTTCCCCTACTCTCCCAAATCCACCTTTTGTGGCTCTTTAACATCCAGGCTGTTCTCTCCCCTGGCAGCTGGCTGCAGAGCCCCTGCCAGGCTGGGCTTTGCCGAGCTGAAGGAGCCCTACAGGAACCAGACGGTGTTTCCCGAGGGGAGCAGGGTGGAATTCGTGTGCCAGCCTGGCTACAGCCAGCTCCCGGGGGTGTCAGCAGCCATCACCTGCCTCAGGAACCAGACGTGGTCTGCAGCGCTGGAGTTCTGTCAAAGTACGTCCTGCAAGTGCTGAAAGCCCCAAGTGTGAGCTTGGCTGGTTTCCATTTTCCCCAGCTCCGTGGGTGTCTCTGCCTGCTGTCTGTGGTGACATTCCTGCTGGGATGTGGGCACAGCCGAGGGTTGATGGAGGCTGGCATTCCCTTCCAGGGAAGCAGTGCCCCAGCCCAGGGAACCCAGCAAACGGCAGAGCTGTTGTCCTGACAGATCTCCTCCTCGGGTCCAAAATTAATTACACTTGTGACAAAGGGTGAGTCCTGCCCTGGGGACAGTGAAGTGGATTTTCAGCTTTACACAACCCAGTTTCCAAGTCAGAAACTCCTGGCTGCCACTTACAAGGGTTGTAAAGAAATCTCAAATAGAAAAAAAAATCTCACTGTTAAAAGAATTAATCCTTCTGTGTGGTCCAGGTACAAGCTGGTGGGAGGCTCCCAGAGAATTTGTGAGGTCTCTGGCACACATGTCTCATGGAATGGGGATCCTCCTGTCTGCCAGCGTAAGTAGGCCACCACAACAGGCCCTTGGAGATGGTTTACAAGATAAAGTGGAACTTCTTTCAAGCCAAAGGTTTTATTGCAAAAGATTTCTCAAGTCGCTGAATGTGTAAAATATTTCCTTTTTCTTTTATTTTGGTTTGGATGTGTTTCTGAGAATGGTTTCAAAGGTCTTTTATTTATTCTGGTCCAAACTGGGAAGAAACACTAATATTTTAAACTGCCTGTTAGTGGGTAAGTTTCTCACTGGCCAGTCTCTCTCTCTGCGTCACCAATGGTCACGGAAAGGGAGGTAAGAATTGTCCCAGCACCTCCAGACACGGGCAGCAAGGAAGTGACTCACAGGAGGGGACGGATTTTCCTTCCCACGTGTGGTTTTATCCATGCAAAGTTTGTTCCTGCAGAATCAGGTGGTTGTGTCACTGCTGAGGTGGTTTCCTCCCCACCCCTGCCCTTCCTGGGCAGCGTGTGTGCCCTGCAGCCCCGGGCACTGCTGACCCTCCCCGTGTCCTGCCCACAGGTGTCACCTGCGCTGCCCCTCCGGCCATCCCCCAGGGGACACACAGCGGGGGCTCCAGGGACACCTTCTCCCTGGGGGACGTGGTCACCTACAGCTGTGCCTCGGGGCTGGCCCCAGCTGGAGACGCCTCCCTGACCTGCACCTCTGCGGACGGGGAGCGCGGCACGTGGAGCGGAGCAGTGCCACGGTGCCAAGGTACGGCTCGGGCTGTGCCCACAGCCAGGCTGTCCCTGGCACAAGGGACAGGGCCTGCACCCATGGGGACACAGCTCATATGACTGATTTTGTTCATTCACAGCAGTTAATGTCAGTGTTCAAAACAACTCGGAGAATTTATAATTTTTAAATCATTTTTCTACGCATCGAATGCTTATTTGCTAGCGCTTTAGTATAACAGATTTTTCTTTTTGATGCTGCTGGGGGAGTACTATTATTGCTTCAGCTTTCATTACAATTTAATTTGATGTATTCTGAAAAAGCTCTAAAATAAAACCAGGATGTTGGTCTCTGATGGAGAAAAGAGCTAAGGAAAATTCCTGGAAAAGCTACATATCACCTTGTCCTGACTGACTGCACTTGGCTATCTCCCTGCTTTGCCTTCAGAAGGTCGGGGTTTTTGGTGTTTATCTTGCCCTGCCCTATTCCTCACCTGCCTTTCCTTGTTCCCGGCAGAGGTGAGGTGCCCTGCCCCCCCGAGCATTGCCAACGGGCAGCACGGTGCCAGCCCCGGGGCCTGGCACAGCCCGGGCTCCGTGGTGCTCTACACCTGCGCCGAGGGCTACTCCCTGCTGGGCAACGCCTCCGTCCGCTGCACGGCCAGGGGAACCTGGAGCCGGCCCCAGCCCCGCTGCCGAGGTGTGTTCTGTGGCTTCCTCTGCCTGGCCCTGGGCTCCTTCCTCCTTCCTGGCTCTTGGTTTAATCACTGCAAGCGAATCCCCAGGGAGAGGCAGAGAGCGGAGGTGCCAGGGGCAGGAGGAGCCCCATGCGCCCATGTGGGTTTCCCTTTCTGTTCCTGCTGAGTACAAACGCTCAGGAACAGCTGAATAATGATATTTCGTGTAAGAACAAGAGTCAGAAGTGTTGAAATGCCCGTGACAGTGATGGCAAGGCCCAGCACTGCTCCCTGCCCAGTGCCCCTCCACAGCCAGGGGGGTTTCACATTCCCAGCTTTTCACATCTCATGCTCTTCCCTTCCAGCAACTGGCTGCACCAGGCCCGAGATTGAGAATGGAAAAGTGACTGGCTCAGAGACCACCTACAACCTGGAGGACATCATTGTCTTCGAGTGCAACTTTGGTTATGCCTTGAAGGGCTCTCAAGAGTCCCAGTGCCAGTTTGGGGGCAAGTGGCACCCTCCTGTCCCCAGCTGTGAGAAGCGTAAGTGCAGATGAGGGGCAGCTGGTTTCTGAACCCGTGTGTGGAGGTAAAGGGGCTGCTCTCAAGGGCTGGAAAGGAAAAACATGCAAGTTTATATCCTGCCATCCTCCTAATTGCCATCCAAACCCCTGAACAGGCTGCCTGGGGAGGTGTGGGCATCATGTGGCACCATCCCAGGAGGGATTTAAAAGACATGTGGGTGTGGCACTTGGGGACATGGGGTAGTGGTGGGTTTTTCCAATGTAAATGTTTCTGTGATTCACACCCTTGTGAAATGTAGGTCTCTTTAAATGAATCCACAAAATCCAGTGAGTCAGGCTGGTGCCTGATACCATTCACAATCACAGAAAGACCAGAGCAAGTTGTTAGAGTCACAGATGGAAACTAACCACTGTAGTTGCCTAAACAGTGAGAAGCTATCATTTTTTTATGTCAATAAGCTCAGAAAACATGAAGGCTGGAAGGTAAGAGAGGGTAGGATGGAAATATCATTCAGTCACAGCTCTTGCTGCTGTTGGGCAGAAGTTAATGGGAAAGAACAAAGCTAAAAGGCTGCCTCACCCTGCAGGGAGGTTTGTGGTACCAGCTCTTGGCTAGCTGGCATGTTTTCCCCTCCTTGCAGTGCCGCCGTGTCCTTCCCCTCCGATTATCAGAAATGGCCAGCACGACAGCAAGGGGGTGACAGAGTTCATCCCTGGCATGGCAGTGAAGTACCGCTGTGACCCGGGCTACGTCCTCACCGGGAAAACCACGGTTTCCTGTTTGCCATCGGGAGTCTGGAGCATCCCTTACCCCCGGTGTGAAGGTGAGCTGCAAATGCTGCTGCCCTCAGTGCAGAGGGAGAGCACTGCACTCACACGGGCTCCCAAAACCAAAGGAGCACCCTCAGCTCTGGCAGCCGTGCCCCCAGCCTGAGCTCTGCTGCTTTTCCCTCCCAGTGATCACCTGCAGCAGCCCCAGCATCAAGGACGGAGAGGTGGCCGAAGGCCGGAGGGCTGTGTACCACCCTGGGGACAATGTCACCTTCCAGTGCCACCCAGGCTTCGTGCTGAGGGGCAGCCGTGGGGCCAAGTGCCAGCCCGACAGCCGCTGGGTGCCTGCTGTGCCCACCTGCCAGCCAGGTGAGCCAGCTGAGATGGGCTTGGCTGTGGTAGCAGTGCTCCTCCTCTGGGTGAAACCCCTAAAGCTCTGCTCTCTGCTCCTCCCTGGCAGTGAGGCCGTGCCCTCCGCCCCCCGTCATCGCCCACGCCACGCTCAGCGCCCAGCCGGGGATGAACTTCACCAGCGGCACCTCCGTGAGCTACAGCTGCCAGCCCGGCTTCTCCCTGCTCGGGGACCCCTCCGTGCTGTGCACGGCCTGGGGCAACTGGAGCCTTCCCTACCCACGCTGTGCAGGTGGGGCTGCCTCAGGATCCACCCCGTGCCAGACCCTGGATCAGGCAAACCTGCCAACCTGCAGGATTGCATGGCATAGGGAGAACCACAGCAGGAGCTGTGCTCACTTTGGGGGCACTGGGAATAAGCTGGTGGCATTGCTCAAGTTTCCCAAAAGGAGACAGGCTTGGGTGTTCTAAATATTGAAATTAAAGATTTCTGTACTTTAGCTCAGAGTCGTGTGAAGGCACCACACCGCCCACACTATTTTTTGGGCATTGTTTTTTCCTGTTTTTTAAGGCCACACAAATTAGGTGCCTGTGTCCTCACATGCTGAATGTTATTTGATGCAGACAAATGTCAGACTGCATAGAAGATGCATTAATAACTTGGGGTTTAACAGTGCCTATCAATGCACCTGTTTCTCTTTAGCTCCATTTCACAGCCAAGGACATATTTCTCATGCCCATTTTGTTTCTTGGCAGCCGGTTGTGGCACACCAACACTGTTGCTATTTGCTGAGCTAAGTGAGCAATATGAAAATCAGACTGAGTTTCCTGTCGGGATGTCTGTGAACTACACTTGTCGGCCTGGATACGTGGAACAGCCACAGATATCACCAACTATCACATGTCTTGAAAATCTAACGTGGTCTGAAGCCCAGCAGTTTTGCAAAAGTAAGTTTTGCAGCAGCTTCTAATTGGTTGAAATTGTTGTGCGCTGAAGCCTTGTAATTTCCCCTTCACCACTCCCTCCTTTGGAGGGTTTGGGCAGATTTCTGAAAATAGTGATTCTTCTCCTATGACACTGAGTTAAATAAGCTTAAAATCAGTTTGTTTCAACCCTTGCCATGAGCACCTTCCACAATTGCCAGGCTCAGCATCCATCCCGTGCCAGGCTCAGCATCCATCCCATGCCAGGCTCACCCTGGATCAGGCAAACCTGCCAACCTGCAGGATTGCATGGCATAGGGAGAACCACAGCAGGAGCTGTGCTCACTTTGGGGGCACTGGGAATAAGCTGGTGGCATTGCTCAAGTTTCCCAAAAGGAGACAGGCTTGGGTGTTCTAAATATTGAAATTAAAGATTTCTGTACTTTAGCTCAGAGTCGTGTGAAGGCACCACACCGCCCACACTATTTTTTGGGCATTGTTTTTTCCTGTTTTTTAAGGCCACACAAATTAGGTGCCTGTGTCCTCACATGCTGAATGTTATTTGATGCAGACAAATGTCAGACTGCATAGAAGATGCATTAATAACTTGGGGTTTAACAGTGCCTATCAATGCACCTGTTTCTCTTTAGCTCCATTTCACAGCCAAGGACATATTTCTCATGCCCATTTTGTTTCTTGGCAGCCGGTTGTGGCACACCAACACTGTTGCTATTTGCTGAGCTAAGTGAGCAATATGAAAATCAGACTGAGTTTCCTGTCGGGATGTCTGTGAACTACACTTGTCGGCCTGGATACGTGGAACAGCCACAGATATCACCAACTATCACATGTCTTGAAAATCTAACGTGGTCTGAAGCCCAGCAGTTTTGCAAAAGTAAGTTTTGCAGCTGCTTCTAATTGGTTGAAATTGTTGTGCGCTGAAGCCTTGTAATTTCCCCTTCACCACTCCCTCCTTTGGAGGGTTTGGGCAGATTTCTGAAAATAGTGATTCTTCTCCTATGACACTGAGTTAAATAAGCTTAAAATCAGTTTGTTTCAACCCTTGCCATGAGCACCTTCCACAATTCCAGCTTTCTCCAAGCCCTGTCCAGCCTGGCCTTGGACATTTCCAGGGATGGGGCAGCCACAGCTGCTCTGGGCATCCTGTGCCAGGGCCTGCCCACCCTGACAGAGAGAATTCCTTCCCAATATCCCATCTAACCCTCTGGCAGTGGGAAGCCATTCCTGTCACTCCATCCCTTGTCCCAAGTCCCTCTCCAGCTTTTTTGGAGCCCCTTTAGGCACTGGAAGAGACTTTAGGGTCTCCCTGGAGCCCTCTCTTCAGGCTAACAACCCCAACTTCCCCAGCCTGTCCCAGCAATGGCCCTGCCCTTTTCTCAGTTCTGTTTTGTCCTCTCTTTAGTGCTGCAATGCCCTTCACCTCCAAATATTGACAAAGGAAGCCACGACAGCCAGGACTTGGAGGTTTTTCCCTCTGGGATGGTTGTGAACTACAGCTGTGACCCTGGCTACAGCCTCCGGGGAGAGGCATCCATCTACTGCACCGACTCTGGCAACTGGAGCCTCCCTCTCCCTCAGTGTGCAGGTACACTGTGGTTCTAAGCTTGGACTTATGGATAGCCTAGGAGTTTCTACCTGTAGGACTCATCCTCACCCTTTCCAAAATTCTGAATCCTTTACCCTCCCCTTTTTTACTCATTTTGCACAATGATTTTTAGCTGTACCTACTCAAAATACATTTTAAAACAATGTTTGTAGTTGACGTCTCCGTTTCTCCCTATGTTTTCTCCCCTGATAGGTGGCTGTGGTGCACCTCCAAACCTCACCTTTGCTGAGCTAACCAGGGAATACAAAAATCAGCTGGAATTTGCTGTTGGGGACACTGTGAGCTACAGCTGCCGGCCGGGACACTCGAGACGCCCTGGAGTGCCCCAAACTCTGACTTGCCTCCAAAACCACACGTGGTCTGAAGCCCTAGAGTTCTGTAAAAGTGAATAGCTCCATCCATTTGGTGTTGGTTTTTGGAAATTGTGTATTTTGTGGGTTTTTGAAGGAAAGATTGGTACATGGCTTTACTAGTCACATGGTCTGGGCCACTTTGGGCCTTTTCGAAATCACATCTTTATTGGCGGCAGAACTTGGACAGAGCCTTAAGGTACCTTCTCATAGTGTGTTACACAACCTCAAGAGAGGAGCTTAAACTCAGCCTTGTTCTTTCCCAGGGAAGCAGTGTAGACACCCAGAACCCCCCAGGAATGGCAGAGTTGTTGTTCTGACAGATCTCCTTTTTGGGTCAACCGTGAGCCACACGTGTGACGAAGGGTGAGTCTCACGCTGCCTTTGCTGCCTCCGTGTCCGAGTTTGGTGCTGGGTAAAGGATCAGAGCCCACTCCTCTGCACAGCTGTTCTCCCACAGCAGACCTGAATTGGAATTTTGGTTCTAATTCTGCCATAGTTGCCTGCTCCAGAAACGGAGAATTGTCTCATTTTTCCCTCCTGTGCTCAGCAGATTAATTTGCAAACCAGCTTCAGTTTTCCTTCTCAGATGGCCTGGAGAAGGAGCTGAGAGTGGGAGCAAGGCCGTGCTGCAAGGAGGCTCCAGCCCTTTGGAAATCAGTTGGGTCATCATTTATCACCTGACCAATCTAACCCAGAGTTTTTGGGGTCAGTGTTGTTCCTCTTGGATGTGGGAAGAAGCAACTTGGTGTCCTTCATTCCCACGTGTTAAACCAGCAGAGAAACCTTGGTGATCAGCTGCATTCAGGAGGCTGCAGAAGGAAACCTCTGGGGAGGGAAAAACCCAAGCTGCAGGACTTGGTATGAGCTGATATTTCCCTCTCTGCACCTCCAGGTACAGACTGGTTGGACAGTCCCACAGGAGATGTGAGATTTTGGGACGACATGTTGGCTGGACTGGTCTGCCTCCCATCTGTCAGAGTAAGTAGGTCACCACTATATCGGGGCCAGAATTGCCATATTAAATCCTTAAAATTAAAAAGCATTTCCTTTAAATAAATAGAATTAAATGAATAAGACTATTAAAGGATCATATTCCTCTGGGATGGTTTTTTTATGCTTGTATATTTGGTTTCTTCTAAAATTCTTCCAGATGTAAGCTTTTGATCTGTCACAGCAATGCAGACTGAAGAGCTGTGAGATGCCTGCAGGGACTTGTCCCTTTTGTTTCACAACAATAAATGAGAAATCAAGTAAAAAGTGTGTTTTGTAATAGAAGAGTGATATTTTGAGTAGCATTGAAATGGAATTTTCCAAACCCTGTACTGTTAACCAAAGCACAAGGATGTATTGCAGGGGTTGCTCATTGCAATTAGTCTTTTTTTCAGATGGAATTGCTTTTTGAGGTTGGGATAGTAAAGCATTCATGAGAATGACAGTACTGACAGACTTCTACCCAATTTCATGTATTTATTAGAATATATTCACACCATCTATGTTTATATATATAATACTGTGGTACCCTTAAGGTACCTAAAAGAACTAAAACCCCCCAGTCCTTGGAATTGTTCTTATCTGAGTCTCTAAGTCCTACCTGTGAAGCTGCTCCGAGCACACTGAGAATGGACTTCAGGATGTGCTCATTTCATGGCTTTGTACCCCTAAACAGGAGTTTCTCTTTCAGGGGTGGTGTGCCCAGCCCCACAGATCCACAGTGGGAGGGTGGCTGTCCCCAAGCCCCGCTACACCTACGGGGACTCTGTCACCTTCAAGTGCCGCAGAGGCTTCACCCTGCGAGGCCACCCCACGTCCCAGTGCCGAGGGGACAGGAGGTGGCACCCACCTCTACCTGTCTGCGAGCAGGGTAAGAATCAGCTCTTGGCCTTGGTGGGATTGCACATTCCTCCTGGTTTCTCACCTGATTTCTCTCCTGACCGCTCACCAAAGTCAACGTTGGTTTTATTTTTGCTGTTTGCTCCAACTACTTTAAGGAGAATCCAGAAATTTTTCCTTGCATTTATGCCTCTCTTCACACACAGGAGATGAGCCAGGGCTTGGGTAATGCTGTAAGTACTGGCATGATTTGCACTTTCTCACTCTGCTTGCTGCAATCCATAATCTACATTCTCTTAATTCCCTGGAAATGAGGAATTTGGTAGCTGCAGGATATTGAATATCAGAGAGCTGTAAACTTTTTCCTGGAAATGTTAACACCGGGATGATGGGAAATGAAGGTAAATGTGTACATTTTATTTGCTCAACCATGTTTTTAAACTCTTAATGCTGCATTTAGATGGAGTGTCAGAACGTTATCACCACCCTGACACCACAACAAAGCCAGGTAGGTCTCTTACCTGAAGAGGCAAGATTTGATTTACTAATCACTAACTCCTCCTCCCAAGCTGTCCTGCTTTTTTGAGGGAGCTTTGCAGAGGGTTGGGCAGGGCTGTTGGGGTCAATGCTGTGGGAGGGAGCTTCAGCCTTCCCCAGCTGCTCAGAAGTTTTCCCTCTTGTCTCTCTGAGCTCTGCTTTGATCTGCACGTCTCTGTTTTCAGTGCTGCACTGCTCCAAGCCTGCAGATATCACCCATGGGTCTTTCCGTGGCCCAGCAAAAGCAGTTTTTACTGTGGGAACATCTGTAAACTACATCTGTGAGCCTGGCTTCTCCCTCCTGGGGACAGCATCCATTTATTGCACAGCATCTGGAGCCTGGAGCCATCCCCCTCCCATCTGTCAAGGTGTGTTTTGGCAGCAGAGAGTGAAGAACAAAGGACATTTAACAAGTCTTGCCTTAGGGGAAAGTCTGTAGGTCTAAATATGAGTACAGGATGTGTGATAAGAACAAACTCGAGTTTTTAGCCTTTCCAAAGGCTGCTGGAGTTACAGAGGTTCAGGTTGTTGAGTGCAGGGGAAGAAATTCAAAGGGAGCAGCTGAGGCTGCAGAGGGTCAGTGCCTCAGTCACTGGCCACCCTTCAGCATCCTGTTGATTGTCTCTCCCTGACTTTCCAGCTGTGAAGTGTCAGCAGCCTCCAAACATCACCAACGGGAGGCTGAAAGGCAACAGCTCTGCCACCTTTCCCCCCGGAGCCGCTGTATCCTACAGCTGCGATCCCGGCTACTCACTGGTTGGGAATGCTTTCATCAACTGCACGGGGTCGGGATCCTGGAGCCAGCCCCTCCCGCAGTGCAAAGGTGAGTCCCTGCTTCCTTTGATGTTTGGAATTCCATGTGACTGAGGCACTTTCCCAGTTCTGCAGAATGCGGAACGAGAATTAATTCCTGGCTACACTCAGAAGGAATTCAAGAGCAATGTCCTGAATAACCCACAGCTGCGTTTCTCATATTTCGTGTTCCCTCTAAATGCCCTCTTCTTATTGCTTCCAATTTCAGAGATCAGATGTGAATTCCCGGATGTCCAAGGTGTTAAAAGAGCCATTAAAGGAAATACTTATCGCTCTGGCACTAACATCACTCTTGAATGTGACGAAGGTTACATGCTGGAAGGCATCAGTCACACCCAGTGCCAAGAGGATTTCAGCTGGGACCCTCCCGTGCCCGCCTGCAAACTGAGTGAGTGGAATGTAAACCAAAGATCGTACAGAAGCATGCAAATGCATTTTACACCTGCAAGTGTCTGTGTTTTTTTTTTTTAAAGGAAGTATACAAGGGTGTGGTTTTAAGAAATCTGGTGTTGTGGGTGTTAGCAGTGAGACACTGGCATGGGGAAGCTGTGGCTGCTCCTGGATCCCTGGCAGTGCCCAAGGTCAGGCTGGACAGGGCTGGGAGCATCCTGGGACAGCAGAAGGTGTCCTGCCTATGGCAGGGGAGTGGATCTGGATGAGCTTTAAGATCCCTTCAACCCAAAGCATCCTGTGATTTTCTCAAAGGTTTATTGGTGTTCATTAAGGACCGTTGAGAAATGCCGTATTTTGGCAGAACAGTTTACTGATTTTCCTTTTTTTTTCCCTTCCCTCCAGCGTCCCCCAAGCCCGGCTCAGTAGGCCTAGGTAAGCAGCTTACACACATTTTTGTCCCCAGCTCAGAGGCCTCAGTGGCACAGCCTCTCTCTGCTTACCCTGTTGTGCATCTCGTGTACTTGACACACACAGTGAGAATAACCCGGGTTCTTCTCCCTCAGGAGTGGCAGCTGCAGCAATTCTGCTGCTCCTGGGGGCAGGTGTTGTCTGGAAAATAATTTCCAAGCAGAAGGAAGGGTAAGGCAGCTCTGGCTGTTTGTTCCTGTCCCTTGGTGCCAAGTCCCAAGCTTTATAACACTTGATACACTTGAAATATTTGCCTCAGTGTGTCTGGGCTTTGTAATTTTGTACCTTCAGCTCAGGCTTGCAAATGATACAGCCTGGAACTCATGGCGTGGTCATGTAATTTTATTTCAAGCCTCTCTTTCTTAAAGGAAACCCAACCGAGTGTTCTTTTACAAGGCAATTCATTGTTTTCTTCTTTTTTATGTAGCTATTATCATACGTATGAAAACTATAATTACAGAACCCCCCTGAACCCAGACACAGAACACAAAGGCTCGTGTCTGCCATAGGAGGTATGGATTTATATTCCTCAGCACAAAATATCAGTTAGAGCTGTAATAACTACACTGTCATTTGTTTATATTGCTGACTGCGTTGTCTCCTTGAATGACTACTTTCCTAAAACAATCATTCAAGCAGAAACATCTTTCCCCTTTGTCTTCTGGTAGAATATTTTCTTTTGCTGAATAGAAGATTTAAATTGGGTTTGAAAACATCCAGTTTTCCTTCTGATGCCACCTCCAAACTGTGTCTTTCCTTTTCCATGATCTGGATGGTTGGTGTGCTCAGGTCAGACTTCCACACCAGTCCTTGCTTCTGGCTTAAAGCTGCTTTTAATTTGTACGGATTATGAAAAAGCTGAAAAACGGCCTCAGCAGTAGTAGAGTCAGAAAAGACACTGAACTTTGTTCCTGGGGGCTTTTTATTGCTTTCACACTTGCTACAATGGTGTTTTTACTTGCAACTGGATCTGTTTTCTGTGGTGGATCTGTTGCAGCCAACAGTGAATTTTCACTGTTAGCAGCACTTCACCTACAAAGTGGAACATGCAAACAATGTCAGTTTTGGGTTGTTTTGGGCGATTTCTGTGAAACAAAGCATTTCCCAGAAATTCCCTCCTCCCTCTCCGGGCGGCGACGGAGTCTCTACACACCAGTACAAAGCCAGGAAATCCTGATTTCAACACCAGGATATCATCTCTTTCCTAGGCTGGAAAGAGATCTCATCCCTGCTGCTGCTGCTCACCAGGCACCCGGCTCGTTCCCCGCAGCGAGGAAGCGCCGCTCACGTGGAGACTGGAATTCTGTGCCAAAAAAGGAGGACATTTTACTGTAAATCTTCAATGCTCTTCTGCTCTCAGCAGTTACTGTAAGGATCTAGTGAGGCTCAGACCGCACGCAGTGTGGGTGCTGCCTCTGAGGGATTTCTGTGAATATTCCCCAAGAATATTTCCTTTGTCCCCAAAAAACTGGATAACCAGTTTGGTACCCACCAAAGTGGTTAATGCCAAGCCTTGGTAGGAAGAAACAATCAATAATGCACTGGCCATAACCCCAATTCCCTGTCTCCCTGTGCCCACCAAAACATACCTGCACAAGGGTGGAAGTAACCATGTGTTAATTAATGTCTTAATTGCAGCTGTATTTACATCTTTATTTCCTTCCAGCAACGCTTATGTGCAGTGTTCCTCTACCAATGCTTAACCTAATAAAAGCTGATGATGACAATTCTGTGTCTTCTTTTAGGCCTGCCTAGAACTTTAAGTCTTTTCTGCTTTGGTTTATTAAAATTTTTTTTTGGCTGTTCTATTTTAATGCTGCTCTGCCACTCACGGGATTTAACTTCCAAAAGCGAGCAGCCCTGCACGGGGATGTCCATCCTGAGCTGGCTGTTGTTTTTAATTTATCACTGTTGGTGTTCCAAGTGTTACACTTAAATACACTTTGACTTTATCCTCTTTCCTTGAGCTGCCCAGGAAAGGATTTAATCTCGCTGTAATGCGCTGAGGGTGTTGGAAAATGTGGAATATGTCCACATATTGCAAGATTACTTCAAGTCAGGGTATTCTTTGGTGGAAGATGTTTGTATACTTTCAATCCTAATCCATAAAAAAGGAGCAGGCAGGAGCATCCCTTAGTCAAGGGCACCCCCGAATAAACCAGCTTTAAGGATGAAGGAACTCAAGGTGCTGATGATGTATTTGGCAAAATACTCAAGGCCGATATATTCTTCAGCTGAGCAGCGATTATTATCCTGCTAAAAATCACACTTTCGGGTCAAACATGGCCTTCCCTGAGCATGCGTTGAACCGAGCCGGGACTGCGTCATTCGTGTGGGAATTAACTCATCACAACACAGCGGCTGTGCCTGGAAACCGCCCTAACCCTGCAGTCCTGCGTGTAGCACCGGCACGGAGAGCTCGGCCCGGGGGAACACCAGCGATCCCCGGCGGAACAACGGCCCGAGCTGTCCCCGCGGTGTCACCGCGGCGCTGAGGGGCCCCGGCGGGCGGGCCCGGCCATGGCGGCGCGATGGGGCGGCTCTCGGTGCCGGTGCTGCTGCTGCCGCCCGTGCTGGTGCTGTGGCAGCTCGGCGGAGCCCAGGCTCAGGGTGAGACAGCGGCCGCTCGCTCTTTGCTGCGCCGGGCGGGCGGTGCCGGTGGGGAAGGGGCGCTCGGAGCGGCGCGGAGCCCTCGGGGGACCGCGGCTGGGAGGAGGGATCGGGATCGGGGTCGGGATCGGGATCAGCATCGGCGTCGGGATTGAGGTCGGGATTGGGGTTGGGGTCGGGATCGGGATCGTGGCCGTGCCCTGCTCCCCGCTCAGGGTGCTGAGGGTGCCCTCAGGGCCGGCCGGGGGGGCGAGGGAAGCGGGGAGGAAATGGTTTGAGGGCGGTGGTGCAACCGCGAGGGTTTGGGCGGCTTCGAATCGGAGAATTGTGCCGCTGTTCGGCTGGGGAGAGAGCTCAGAGCGCATCCCGTTCCACCCTGGCCCGGGCAGGGACACCTGCCGCTGAACCTCCGGCCAGCCTGGCCTGGGAGCCGGTTTTAAACTCCGCTTTCTGTCCCTTAGACCCGCTTTCCTTTTTCCTTCAGAAGGGACAATGAGCTCTGTGAGTGGGCTGGCTTGTTTGTTTTTCATGCAGCAAACGAAATGGGTGTACAGTGAGTGAAGGCGTGTGTCTGACTGCAAAAAAATGGCAAACAGACAGAAATGTGAAAATAGGATCTGGAAGGAAGTGCATTGTCTGGGTAGAGTGACTAAAGAACTTAGGAAACAATGAGCAATGTGCCCTATACACATGTAGAGCTGGACGCTGCATGCAGTTAAAACCTAAATTAAAAAATCGGAAACGACTCAAATATATCCTCAAGAGCTCTTGCATGGTTCTGTCTCCTGTGCTGTTACACCTCAGGGTGTTTCTCTTCTTGCTGCTAAGGTGCTGTGTTGTTTTTTCCTCCCTCTCCCAGGCACGTGTCCGAGGCCGGAGCGGCTGCAGTACGCGGAGCTCAACGAGAGCTCCAGGGAAATCCAGGATTTTCCACCTGGGACCAAAATCTCCTTCACCTGCCGGCCGGGATACGTGAGGGTGCCAGGGAAGGCACTGACCTGGACATGTGGTGAGGACTTGCAGTGGGCACCCAAGGACGTGTTCTGTACAGGTAATTTGTTGTACCCCCTTTTCCCCCACTCATATTTGACAGTTCCAGTTGATTTGCAAGTGGGAATTAGGGTTTTGCCATGTTTTAAATGAAGCTTGGAAAATGCTGGTGTGGGTGAGAGTAATAAGTGCCAAAGATTTTGGTTTTCTATGTAACTACAAAAAATTAGATTTTTTCTTTTCTTTTTTTTTTTTCCCCTTTATCCCAGCGAGAAAATGTATTTACCCAGGAGACTTGGAAAATGGTTATTTTGATCCCACAGATCTTACCTTTGGTTCAAAATTGACATTTCATTGTAAAGAAGGGTAAGTGTTTTGATGAACTTAATGATTTTTTTTTAATGTTTACACCAGATTTGAAATAAACCCAAATTTTCTGTTCCAATTCTGACCTGAAATCTGAATTCTACCTGTAGCAAATGAAGTTTAAATTTACAGCTAAATTTAATTCCCTGGTTTGATTACTCTTTGCATCAACCCTAAGATTTTTAGTGAGATTCTGCAGAACTGGAGTGTTACCTCTGGTGATTTCTTTTAATGCTCCTGTGGCAGAGGGAGTAGATACATATTCATCATCCTTCATTATTGAATAATTAAGTCAACAACACTAAGGAGTTGTTTTGGTTTTTTTTTTCCTTTTCTTTGAGTATTAGTAATTTTAGGACTTTAATATTAGACAATATTTCTGAAAATGGTAAGACTGCCACAGTTCCTTAGTGATGTCCTGTTTTGTTTTCAAAGTGAGACTGTCAGCAAAATAAACAAGATTCTGTTCTCATTACAGCAAAACCTTGCTGTGTTATGTCCCTGTAATCACAGAACAGAATTACTGATAAGAACCAATTTTTTGGTGCTTCTTGGAGAAATGAAAAATTGTGTTTCACATCTTCAGAATTTTTACCTGTCTAGGTACAGGTTACGGGGTAAGGGAGAGATTTCCTGTGATATCAAGAATGGAGATGTTGGCTGGAGTGGAGTTCTGCCTTACTGTGAAAGTAAGTAAATTACTGCTGTGTTTGATTTTCTGCTCAGAGGGGGGTAAGTTCATTTACAAACAGCTGTGCCACCGACTTTCCAGTATAAAAAATGATGGGAAAACAGGGATTTTTTGTTTTTCTTAACTACTTGGATTGTGCCTGAGGAATGACCACTGAAAAATGTCACTTTTGGTGGTAATTATCTCATATTAATAATATGAATAATATGATTTTATCTCATATTAAAATTAACCTCCTGTTGAAGCTGAGGTTCTGTAGTGTGACTTCGAGTGGCTGTGTCAGATTTTCAGTGAAATGACTAGAAAACCAAGGCTTGCTCTTTGAGGTGAACCAGCTAACACAGCAAAACCAATTTTTGTGCTTTGTTTACAGGAATTCCTTGTGAGCCACCTCCCAAAATAGCCAACGGGGACTACGAGGAAAGAGCCAGCTACGTGTACCAGAGCTCGGTGACCTACAGGTGTCAGGATGTCCCCAAGGGCAGTGATCCCTTCTCCCTCATTGGCTCAGACACGATTCACTGCACATCTGATGAACACTCAAATGGAGTTTGGAGTGGGCCACCTCCAGAATGTCGAGGTTGTTGGGATTTTTCTTGTTTTTTTTCAATGTCTGGCCCTTTCCTTGGAAGTGGGGTGGGGAGAATGGACTTTGCCTCTAGGAAAGAAGGAACAAATGCTCTGGGACAAAGTTTGGTACAGTTCCAGAGGAAATTACATCAGCATGGTGGATATTGATGGATTGTGACACAGAATGTGACTAAAATTGAAATTAAAGCTTGAAAAATACCTCTGTGAGCATTTTGTTGGTAGAAGTGACAAGGTCAAAGTGAAGGAACTGGGAGACCACAAATCCTGCAGAAAAATGGTGTCAAGGGCAAGGAGGTGGGGGCTGGATTAGGACTTGTAAAAAGCTAAGGAAGAATCCTGTTCCTAAAAACACAGCCACCATGGAAGTGCAGGAATCAATGTTTTTATAAAGCTTCTCCAAAACAACTTGGGGAAATTGGCACTAGGGAAAAGGATGTTGTGTTTGGTGCTATGTTTGTGTTAACAGATGTTTCAAAGCTTTGTTTTCATTTGTTAACATTTGTTTGTGTTAACAAATGTTTTACCTCTTTCAGTGGTCAAATGTGAAGACCCCAGAGTTGAAAATGGGAGAAAAAAATCTGGATTTGGACTTACCTACAGATACAAGGACTCGGTTGTGTTTGAGTGTAATGAAGGCTATTTCTTGGTTGGAGCAGAGGTAATTACCTGTGAAGAAAATAACACCTGGGATCCTCCAAAACCAACCTGTGAGAAAAGTAAGACTTTCTGAAATATTCCCTTTTCTCTTGTGTGTTGAAAGTGTTTGAGCTAAAATAGAGCATCCTGGTGTTCATGGGTGAAGGCAGGAGAAAAGATGTGGAATGCAGGAGAAAATCTTTGATACAGAGAATTAGGAGTGTGCATGGTGAGGAGAGCTGTGGTATCCCTCTGGAGGAGTTGAAATCTTTGTGTGTGTTTTTTTATTCAGCTTTTCAGCTCCTACTTTCTAGAAATGATTCTGCAGCTCAGAGAAATAATGAACCAGTGAGGATTTCTGAGCTGCCACGTCATAGGATTGTATTACCCTAATGAACATCTACAGTGATGTTTAAGTTTTCTAAAGGGAATATTTGCTCTTAAAATTGGGGTACAGTTAAAGTTCTGCCATGTGCTGAGCTATTTTTCTTACATGAAGGCAATTTCTGTTTGTAGAATGAGTTCCTGAGTTATGAAATGAGCTTTATTCTCACTAAACTTGTTTTGAATTGCTGTGTTAGTTACTGCAGATGTGTGTCCTGCCCCGGAGATCCCCAATGGGGTCCTGACTCCAGGCAAGCCTGCCTATGCAAAAGGAGAGTCTGTGCACATCAGGTGCAATGCTGGCTGCTCCTTCCCTGGTGGCTCTGCAGAGATGACAGTGACCTGTCAAGAACAGAGTTCCTGGGGTGCTTTGCAGCACTGTACCTGTGAGTAAAACTGCTAAAATCAGGACACCCTGCCAAATTTTAAATATCTGACGTAGTAATACATTTATTATTATTTTTTTTTTCTCCCCCCTTTTCTTTCCAGGTGAGCCTGAAGGTTCTGGTTCCACGCCAGTCATAAGTTATGGGAGAGTGATAGCTGGACAAAAACCTTCCTATTTTGTGGGGGATTTCATTACCATTGAATGTTACACGGGGTACACCTTGCACGGGGAGCCTCGCATTCAGTACATTGGAAACAACCACTGGGAGCCTGCAGTGCCAACCTGCCAGCTCAGTAAGTATGGACTGCAAAATCCCCACCAGGATGGAAATACAGCTGAGACAACAGTCCTTCAATATTCAGGAGAAATAATTTAATGCAGCTTCTTTCTTTGTTTTGATGTGAAAAATAGGGTTTGTTAAAATGAATTAAAATATTAATATTCGAAGTTAAATATTATTATTTAAATTAGTCTGCTTCAAAGATTGTGTTGATAGAAGTACTTGACTTGAAATTGCTCTGAATATTTTTATAATAATGTTTGAGTAAGAAGCACTTATGTTCCTCTTGTGATACTGATTCCTTCTGTTTTCAGGTGGATACATTATAGCCATCATCTGTGGTAAGTATTTTCTAAAACCTTAAAAAAATACGATACAAATTACATTTTTTATGCGAGAATTCACTTTTTATTCCACTCACCTGTGACTGCAACAGGGTGATGTTGGAGTTTCGGTTAAAGCTGCATGATTCAAAAAAAGATTGCTTAGTTATTATAGCTTAATTTAATATGAAATGTGTATTTTCTCACGTGGTGAGGTCACATTTCAAAGGCAATTTCCAACAACTTGGCCACTTGGATAAATTTCAGAGCTTGGGTTTACTGGGGGTGTGAGTAAATAACTGCTAGTGAACAGAAGTGTTCAGTTCCTCCTCTGTCCTTGCTTTTGTTACCCAGATTTGTACAAACTTGTCAAAAGTAATGCAGGGGCCTTGTCATTGTTTTAGTTTCTGAGCTGCTGGGGTTTTGCCATCGTGGTGGCCACTGGTTCTGAGCTGAACTGTCTTGATGAATCAAATATTTAATTTACATGGCTCATTCCATAAATAAGTTGGGTTGTGGGGGTTTTTGTGTGGATAGAGGTGGGATAGACCTGTACATGAAAACAAGGCTATTCCTGCAAAATTTTTGTTCTTTTTTTGTGAGCTGGAGATGATCTTATCACTCTAAGGTGCTTTTATTTCTTTTCACTTGAATTCTTCCTGAAGTGATTGTGGTAGTTGTGGTGCTCCTGGCAGCCTTCTGGATCTACAAGAAATTCTTCTCACAGAATGGGTGAGTAGGCTTCCTTTTTATTAACACTGCAAATTTCCAAATGACTGAGCCAAAGCTGTGCTGATGTTTAAGTTTCTTGAGCTTTGTGTGCCCTTTCTTTTTCAAATGTCTGATTTTGTGTGAGCTCCTCCCAGCAGCTGATGGAAGCTAAAGCCTAACCATGAATTTAACTTTGGTTTTGGATCTGCTGTTCAGCTAAGCTGCTAATTAACACTTGCACTAATTTCAAGGAAGGAAAAACCCTGTTCTCAAGCCTGTGTTTGGCAGTGTCCACTTGCCAAAGAAAGACTTTGTCCATCTGCTTCAAACACATCAGTTTATCTCCTAAAGCCAGGGGGAGTCTTGGTTGTGTGGGCTTGTGCTGCCAGAAGGTTTTTTTCTATTCCTATAGCCCCACTATTGGTGTCTCTATGTTAAAGACTTGCAAAATTAACTGTAAAATACTAGATTTGTGCACAAGCAATTAGTGGTCTATTTTTAATGAGATATATAGGGTGTTTTAAACTTTATCTTCAAAACAACTGGGGTTTATGTGTGGTTTTTCATGGAGGGGCAGGAGATTTAAATTCCTCTTTGTGCATTACTTTTTGCTGTGATGTCTGATTTTATCTTCTGGGAAAAACCTTTTTGTCAGAGAAATATTTTGTAAAATGCAAAACGCTGACAGTCCAGAGCAGGTTTGGTGGTACACATGGAGTGTCAGGATGAGCATCTCATCAAAACAGTGCTGTCTTTTTCCAGAATCTGTTGGGATTCATCTGGAGTGCATGAAAAAAAGGAAGGGATGCTTTAAATGAAGCAAACCAGAGGGAATATTCCTGTGCTTCATATTTGTAATGAGGTCCACACAGAGGACTTGGGAGAGCCCTGGAGGTGCTTTATATCCAGTGAGGTTTTAGCCTTGAATAGGCAGTGCAGTGTCAGTCCAAGGGCCAGAGTTTGCTGCTGAGCAATTTGGTGCTTTTGAGCCACTGCTTTTATTCAGTACTGGGATGTTCTGCAGCCTGGAGGGGCCAGAGAAGAGCTCTTGGCAGTTCAGGGCAGCACTTGCTGTCTTCACTTCTCAGGGCTACTGTAGAAAGCAGGAGAGATCTAAAGCAGCAGCATCAAAAATTAAAGACTGACATTCCTGAATATCTGACAGCATGAAAAGCCTTATTGTGCCTAGTGCTTCCCTTCATCTTCCTCTCTGAACATCTGCCTCTTAAAGCTCTTTCTTGTCTGAAAACCCTGATCTAATCTCCTTTTATGAAAGCCTCCATCTCCTGTTTAGTGTCTGAGCTCCTGGTGCAGCTGAGCCTTTGTGAGCTGTTGTGCTTGCAGCCCCTGATCCTTGCTGGTTTGTAGCCTCCAAATGACAGCAGATCTTTCCTTGGCCTCTCTTTGTGGTGTGTGTGAGATGCCCTTGGATGGGACATTCAATTAGACCTTTCTCCCTTTCTGCTGTTCAGCTCGTACACAGTTGATGAGAGTTGCAAGGAAATTTGTATTTTAAAAACTAATGTCCCAGCTGAGATGGAAGAAACTGCACAAATGAATTAATGAAAAGGTATAACTTTCCACTTCATTTGGACTTTTTGCAATGCAGCTTAAGTGTCTGTTTTATTGTGGTTTGCTTGGAATTTCAGGAGTGTGGAATCCATCTAGCTGGGAACCTTGGCTTCCTGTAGGAAAGAATATCTTAATTTTTCATTCATTTTGAGAGAACAGGATATAATATATAGAGAATTACCATTTAGCTATGTCAGTAAGAGCTTCCAATGACTGTAAATCACATTTCTTGGTGTTGTGTTTGAAGAATGAGTAGCATATTGCCTACAATACTCAGAAGAATGTCTGCACCCATCTCAGTGGTGAGTTACTACTCTTAGCTAATAGTTTAACTCCCTGTAATTAGAAGCTGGAACCACCTTTGGGGACTAAAACTCTAAAGGCAGTTGTGTATCCCTTCAGAGAAAACCAGATCACACCTCTCAAAATTACTGATTCATGTGCATTTTTGCTTTCTAGAAGAGAATAAATGAAGGGTCTAACAAGATCTTTTGAAACCTTCTTATGAAAAGGTGATTTCTTTTTAACATTCAGAGTTCTGTAGCCCTGACAAGAATCAAAATTCAGTTGCTTTGAAGCTGCTGTCCTCTCCTGTGTTTTAACCTAATGCTCACTGCAGTGAGATGCATGTGATGAATGTTGGGGTTCCTCCTGCACTTGTGTAGGGTCAAATGGGCTCTCCCAAAATCTGGCTCTTCCAGCCTTGTTTGAACAGAGCACTTTGCAGACAGGACAGCTCAGTTTGACTTTTCCTTTCCAGTGTTTTGTTGTTGGTATCTCAACAGAGCTGGAACTACAAATAATTTTTTTAAATCAGCATCTTCTTTTTTTTTGTTGCTTTTCTCCACTGCACAAATTCTGAGGAGGTGATGGGTTCTCTTATTCCAGCTTAATGCAAAGGTCTTTTCATGTGCATAATCTTGTTTTTATTGACATGTAAAGGACAGGTGAATTTTCAGTATTTTTGGTGAGTTTTTATATGAACACTAAGCTTGGAGTTTATTCCAAAATAATTTACAGATTAAGGAATATCATCTTCACTCTGAAGAAAGATGTTTCTAATTAAGATAGGATGTGTTTTCTGGGTTAATTTGGCTTATTTTTGGAGAGAAAAAAAATGAATCAGGAGATAGAATAGAATTCTTCATTTCAAATTTACCTTTACACACGATAAGAGGAATTACTGGTCTGGTGTGTCAAAACACTGGTGATTCTGGATGCTTTCTTATGGAATGTGGAACTCCTTAGAGCCTTGGAGTAATAGCACTGAGGTTTGGTATGGGGTGAGATTTTGTTAAAGCAAAGCAGGAGTTATTCAAGAACTTGGGACATACATAATAAGAATGTCATTGTGAATTTTAGTTCTTGCATGTTTAAGTGTTTTAAAGTTGCTGTTAGTGGACTGCAGAATCAAAATCCACACAAAGTAATATTTCATTTTTGGTCGGGAAATATATACTAAACAACACACAGTAATTAAAATGAATTCCAGAGTGCACCTGGTGGAGTTATGGGAATCCTGTACCTGTTCTGGTGTTAGTTTTTGGTAATGATCACTTGGAATGATCCCTTTGGATCAAAGGTTGTGCTGCTCCTTGGGTCATTGCTGAATGTTCAGTAGCAGAATGAAGCTAAAATCTCAGTCCAGCAGTTGGTAAAGAGAGGCTAAAGAATGACCCAGTCTGTGACTTCACCTGCAGCTTAAATGAAGCCAAAACTAAGGATGTGCTTTCAGTGTAAATGTAAAACCTCTTGCAATGTAAAACCTCTGATTTGACTTGTTTTTTTGTTTGTAGGAAACGTGACAGCACTCCCAGTTCTGCCGAATATAAGATGTGTAAAGCATGACTGCCCTTGCTGGGGGGAGGGAGGGACTCTGCAGTGGGATGTCCCTGTCAGAGCTGGACAAGGATTGATTGCCCTTGCAGTGAGTGGCTGTCCTTGAGTTCCTTGTGCTGTGTCTTGCTCTGCTGATGAACTGGAGGAGGAGATGCTTGATAGGATAAGAAGTGTGTGTGCATATAGCTGACACAGATCCTGCTTTGCCTTCTGGGCCCCTCACTGTCCTTCTGTCAGCTGGGGGAAAGGCAGTACCTGCAGCATGCCAGAGTCTGTGGGAGTGCTGCAATGTCCCTGTCCCAGTGCTGCTGCCTTCAGTGCCACCTCTTGGCTTACACAAGATGTCCAGTATTCCCCTCTCTCCTGTAGAGCTCTGCTCACTCAAACCTGGCTGTCCTTCCCATCCCTTTTTGCTAGAGGTGGTGTAAATGGTTCTGTTGTTTCCTTTGTGCTCTGAAATGTGTTGTTGCTCATTCCCTGAAGTCTGGTGCCGTTGAAGGCGATGTCTTTTGGAAACTATCACAATTAAGATCTTATATACTCTACCTCTTTGTCTGCCAAAGTTGGTTGCTGTATATATAATGAATTAAAATGTGCCTTGAAATCAGAGTTTTATAGCTTTTCCTTTGCTTTTGAGAAGGAAAAAAGCCATATATATTTCTGATTCTTTGCTGTAATCTCCCAAAGACTGCAGTGGATTTGTTGGACCTGAAGACTGAAGGATTCTGTAGCAAAGGCATCCCCTGCTGTTGACAGGAGATCCCTAAGTAAAGGAACTGCTGAGAGCTCAGTGGTGGCCATGTCCTGTCATGAGCACAGTGGAAGTTCCTTAGGGTGCTCGATTTTAGTGAGCCTTGAGGTCAGTTCTGCAGATCTTCTGTTGCTTTCAAGGATAGAAACAGGTGCTGTGTGATCCACCTACCTTGCTTTTTTGCTTGAAGTCACATATTCCACATTTCTAACCTCTGGCTGCAGACTGGGATGTTAAATCAAGCTCTGAAAAGCTGGATTTTGCATCAGGTTCCTGTTTAGAAGCAGAAGATTTTCCCTGTCACTCACTTTTCATGTTAAAGGAAAACCAAATCAGTTCAGTTGTGTGAGTGCTGGTAGATGTGGTGGTCTCTTGTTTGCTGCTTGGTGCTGGTTCAGCGAATGTTTCAGTCCAGATCCTGGCTCCAGGAGCTCCCACCACTGTGTTTGCCACTAGTTTAGAATCACTGCTGCTTCTAATCCTCAGCAAACCCCAAATCTTAACTAGAACAGGTTTTAGCTCCATGAATCTCACTATCAGCATGCAGGCAGCTTCTAATTTTCACAGAAAACCCAAATAGCCTCACTTCAGATGCCTGAGGCAGCATTGAAAGTGCTCTGGCTTGTGTGTGGCTGCTTGGCACTGCTCTCCCTGTCATCAACAGATTGTTGGAGTGGCACAGAACTGTTTGGGGCTTTATAGGGATTTTTGGGACAGTCCCAGCAGTCGTATTGTTGGAGTTCATAATAGGCTGTGGTTGTTAGAAAGGGGCTTTGGCTCTGCAGAAGGATTTGCTGTTGGTGGCCTGGCTGATAGCTCAGTTTGAGAGTTGTTTGTAAACACTGGGATGTGTGACTGGGACTGAGTGTGGGGCTGGTCAGGAGCTCAGCTTGCTTTGTGTGGCATCTGCAATGTCTGAAATACACTGGAATGTTCTTAACTGGGAAGTGAAATCACTGTAAAAAGTGGCTGTGTTTTTGCTCTTCTTTCTGGATGTAAAGATTAGCAATGATTTGTACTATTCCAAATAAAAATGTTAAATTATTTAGCAGTAAGTGTTTGTCTTTCATTCATCATTGTGCTGAGCAGCTCTTCTCCCATTGTTATCCAGATGATTTTTCATGTCCCAAATATCAGGTGGAAACTGCTGAGATTGAAGTTTGCAGTTTGTACACAGAGTTACTCAGTGGCAGTGTAGGGGATGGGGTTTAATTTGCTGAGCACCTTTTGGGGTTTCCTTTTAGAATTGCAGAGAATTTCCAAGAACCTCCAAAATTTTACAGTGTTGACTCCTGAAAAAAATTGGTGAAAAGCTGATGGAGAAGAGGAAATTGGGGCTGTTCTGGTGGAATACTTGAGGCAAAGCCCAGAGGGTGTTTTGGTCCTTTTGTCCAGTGTGTGACACGTGCAGTCCTTAGGGAATACAGCTCTGGTGGGTTTAGGTGACCTGTGAAGGAGAGTGGATTTAGGAATTGTGTGAGTTTCACACTTGAAATGTACTGAACTGCCATGTGTGGAGTCAGCTGCCTGATAGAGAGTAGCCTTTCAGAGGGTGGAATAGAAAAAATAACTTCAGGTGCTGTATTTCATTGCAGTTTGTGATACTCAGAGTGAGTTGGTGTGGGTGATGCCAGACTGCACAGCCTTACACTGTGGAGTTTGGGTTTGCAGTGAGCATTGAGGGGATAAGCAAAGTTTCTAGGAATGGGATGATCTTTAATCTCCCTTCCAACCCAAATCATTCTGGGATTCTGCTCTGTGATTCTGTGAATCTGACTTAAACATTACAAATTAATTTGGTCTAATTGTCATGAGTCCTGTGCTGTTTTTCTAAAACTCGGTGCTGCATGAATTATTTCCTTTTGGAGTCTGGAACTGATAATTAAAGGGATGTGAACTCTGCTGAGGGAAAGACTGCATGGAATAAAAATGAGTTGTTGCCATCTACTGGTGACAGGGCAGTGGGAGTAACAAAACAGGTCCAAAGTTATGTGGTTTAGGGTTAAATAATGTGAAGTGACTGTGGTTGGTGGATTTTCAGTGTCACAGTTAAAATGAGTATAAATTAAACCCTGCCCATAGCAGGGGTTGGAGCTGGATGGTTTTAAGGACCCTTCCAAACCAAACCATTCTGATTCCCTGAACCTGAATACTTCTGAGGGTGGTGAGGATGGAGCTGGGGGCTGAAATGAAGAGACTTGCAGCACTTAGGTGTTGTCCAGCAGGGAATCAGGTGATCTCTCTACCTGAGACAGAGCCCAGGAGCATAGAGCACACAATTTTATTTAAAAGGAAAAAAAAATAATCTGTGTAAAGAACAGGTTAAGGCAAACAAACAGCACATGGAGTAGAAATGGTCAGAAGGTTGGGTGACTGTGTTGTCACACCCAGGCCCTGGCTTGCCTGAGTTGAAGAAGCTGAGTTATGTTTGAAGAGATGCTTCTCTCTGTCTGGAAGCATCCCATCCTCACGTGAAGGGGATGCTGACTGTCCTCCTTGTGTGCAGGATGTTCAGCCTGTGGGGGGAACTTCAGCTCAGAGAACACAAGCCAGTGGTGTTGGGGAGGCCAGGTGGTGCTCTGGATGGTGTTTGTTTGTGACCTGGGGGGTGAGGGAAGGAAGTTTCCCATTACTGTTGCTTTTCCCCCTACATCATAACCGATTTCAAATGGTGCTAGACAAAAACTGAGACTCTGAACACCAAGAGAAATCGGTCAGCCTGTGTAAGAGACGTTTTCCTGGCTCAGAGAAGGATCCTCTTGGAGATGACAGCTATGCATTCTTTAGAGATGACTACTCAGTGCTCTGATCAAACCTTCATCCACACAGGGATCAGCTTTTCCATGTCTGGGAACACGCTGGGCAGCAGGGAGGGCAAAAAAAAAAAAAAAGTTCAGCTTGATTCTAGGTTGGGATGCAGGGTTGGAGAAGTGAAATATTGCTGGGAGGTACCAGCAGCAAACTGGACAATTATTCTAGAAAAAGGAGTGGGTTCTGTGTGTGCTGGAAAATGACTCTGGAAAAAGGAGTGGGTTCTGTGTGTGCTGGAAAGTGATTCTGGAAAAAGGAGTTGGTTCTGTGTGTGCTGGAAAGTGACTCTGGAAAAAGGAGTGGGTTCTGTGTGTGCTGGAAAGTGACTCTGGAAAAAGGAGTGGGTTCTGTGTGTGCTGTGTGGCATCTTGTGATGCCCGTGGCAGGGGGTGGAACAGGATGATCTTTAAGGTCCTTTCCAACCCAAGCCAGTCTGGGATTGCTGAAGGCACTTGTGTCTGACTGCTGAGGTGAAATTATTGGGGGGAATTTCTGTGTTTGCAGAGCTATGGAATGAGAATCCCGTGGTGATGGAGCCCCCAAGCAGAGGGTGGGAATCCTTTTGCTCTGAGGCAGTAAATTCGAGGTTGATCCTAGTTTTTGGGTATCAAACATACTCTGCCTGTCAAGGTACAAGAGATACCACGTTGGTTTTCATGCAACTTGCGGATCACTGTACTCTGGACACCTTGAACTCATATCCATTGTTTATTGAGCAGAAGTACACGAGCAGGAGGCTGTGCTGCTGTGGCCCTGGCTTGGGAGGGTGCATACAGTGGTTGGAGTGTTCAGAAATCAGATGATGTTACAAAGTGGATGGCTGGTAAAAAAAATAACCTTTGGAAAAGGGGCTGATTTGAGGAGCAGAGGATGTTGTTGAAGTGAGCAGGTGCTCGGTCTCCTCCCACGCTGTAATTCTTGCTCCTAGAACACTGATTTCAAATGGTGCTAGATACAAAGTGGGAAAATCTAAGCCACCATGTGAAACCAGCTTCCAGAGGAAGACACATCTTGTGCATGGCTGCAGGCTGAGGGAGAAAATCCTTCATCTCCACCGTACCTAGAGAAAAATTCATTTATTTAATTTTATTAGACAGCAAGACAGTTACCTTGGGCTTAGCTACTTTATGGATACACTTCTTTTGGTGGCATCTTGTGGATGGTTGAGGCTGGTGTAGGAGAAATGAAATCTGTGGTGAGGAAAACCCCCAGCCTGGCAGTGAGTGTTGTTTCCTGCCCTAGCCAGGTGGAATGCACTCAAGTTCTTCCCAGCAAGTGATGATCAAGGTTTTATTTCTTGCTAGTGCAGAGCAAGTGATGGGGTGAGTGTGGGAAGTTTGTGTGGCTCAGGAACGCTTTTTCCATTTCACTGCAGATGAAACCAGGCTATAAAGCTCATTCTGTCCAAGGCAGAGAGTGTTCTGGCTTTCTGTCACTCACTGATCAGAGAATACAGGACACATCAGGTGCTTTTTGTGACAGGGAAAGGAAATGTGAGTGTCCCGATGGAACTTCCTCTGTCAGCAGTCCCTGTGCTTTAAATAAGCAAGGACTTGCAGATTTTTGTGAGACAACTTTTAAATTCTGCAGGCAGGATGAAAATAAATCGGATTGAAAGAACTTCGAGTGTGGGTCAGAGCAGAAAGGGAGCGTTCACAAATTGAGCTGTAAATGGTTCAGTGGAAGTTGTCGAGGAAGGAGAGTGTGAAAATGAGTGGCTGATGGTTCCTGGAACTGCAGCAGGGCTGAGCACTTAACCTGCAGTGTCCACAGCTCAGAGCAGAGGGAATAGAGGGGGTGTTGAGAAGCCTCTGAACTGCTGCACACATGCATAATTCAGGAGCTATCAACCCTTGGATAAGTGTCTGACCTGTGCTGGAGTAGAGGCCAATGTGAAATGGAACAAAGCACAACTGGAGGCAGCAGTTTCACTTATTGATGCCCTGGGGTTTTGGCAGCTCTGTGTATTCCTGTTGTAACCACATCCAAAAATCTGCTCCGGTGCCTCCATCCTAATGCACACTCCCAGGCAGCAGAGGGAAAGCTCAGAGACAGGAGCTTGTCCTTCCAAGAAAGAGGGGTGGAGGAAGGGGAAATAACTGGACTAGATTCCTTGTCTGGATATTTACTGTCCTTTCTAAATCCATTATCTGGGGCAACAGGGTGAAAGACGAGTGGAAAGCAGGTTCCCTCCCCAGTGCCTGCCGTGTGGCACAGTTATCTAGGAGGCACCCTCTATTATCAGGTGAGATTTACTCCTGAAAAGCTGCAGCAGGAGTTGCTGCTGAGGAGAGGCAGGTACAGAATTCCAGAATCACAGCAGCATCTCTGAGAAGCAGGCTCACAGTGAGCTTTGCTTTGGTTTTTCCTTGCCTCATAGTAAGCATTACAAAGAAATCTTCATTAGGATTTTGAGAAATAGTTGGAGGAAATGTCACTTAATTTTGTGCTGCTGAAAATGGGAACTTGTGTCAAAGTATGAGATTTAGAAGGACTGAACACTTCTGCACATCTTCCCATCTGCAAAGAGACCAACCTTTCCAGAAATATCATGCAGCAGATGAAGACCAATGGCTCATTTATTATTTACAGTTTTGATAAAACCAGGTTTCACTTCAGCATAATTAAGATGCTGCTGCCCCTCCTCCAGGCTACCTGGAGTTTGTCCTGTTGCCTTCACAAGCTCCCCAGAAGGTGTCAGCCCTTCTTGGCAAGGTGCAGGTGCACATTTGGGAAGGGTACATCTGCCTGTGCTCTCCTTTCCAAGGCTCCCAGTGTGTCTGGGCAGGAGAAAGGTGCAGTGCAGGATGCTGTGATCCACAGCTCCCCACTGGGACCGTGCACATGGGCAGGAAAACAGGAGCACAGGATGGTTTGGCTTGGAAGGGACCTTAAAGCTCACCCAGTGCCACACCTGCCATGGGCAGGGACACCTCCCTCTGGCCCAGGCTGCTCCAACCTGGCTTTGGACACTCCCAGGGTGGGAGTAGCCATAGCTGCTCTGGGAATTCCATCCCAGCCCCTCCCCATCCTCACAGGGAAGAAAATGAAGCAGTGCTGGTCTCAAACATTTGCTGTGTGGAGAGCAGCAAATGCTGTCACCTGTGCTTGGCTTTAGCACAGGGGTCTGGACTTTCCAATAAATAATAGTAGGGAAAGTACAGTATCATTCTGTGGTTTTCCTCCTTTTCAGATGTTTTAGTGGCAGTGCTGTTCTGTAGCTTCTTTCAGAGGAACAGCTCAAAGCCTTTCATGGACTTCACACTGCTTTATACATTCCATAGGAGACAAAGACAAAAAGGGAATCCCTGCCTTCCCTGTGAAAGGCAACTTCTCTCTACCCTGAGACCTTCAGTCTGCAGGAACAAGGCAAGCCTGGATGTCACAGACCTGATTTTGCACAACCTGCACCTTCTGTAGAAAGGCAGTTCTGGGGTTTTTACAGAAAGCAAAACACATCTCAGTGTGCATCATAAATTTTTTCCTCCATTTTCACATCACAGGGTGAAACTCATAGTTCATCAGGCTCTGGTCTCCCCTGGAGAAAATAATCCCTGTTTTACATGCTGAGAATCTGAGCTTGATGCATCATCCTCCCAGTGAAGGAATGAATCAGCCCAAGGCCAGGTGCAGGACAAGGGGTGTGACACTACAAGTGGTGACCTGCAAGGGGAATGGAAATGAGTGAACTTCTAAGGTTTCAAAAAAAGCCTCCTGAGCGTGGGGAGCCTGTAACTGCATCTCTTTGTTGTGCAGGTCTGGTGCTGCGTGGGTCAGCTGTGGACAAATGTGCTCTGACTTGCACTGGGAGCCAGTTCTCTGTGGAGCACTTGGTGTGCCAGAGCAGCAGCCTGGGCTGAGGGAAGGCAGAGCAGGGGCTGCACTGCTTGGGAAAATTGGTGTTTGTGCCTAGGAGATGGCTCTGGAGAGGCCACTGCTGTTTTGGGCAGCAAAAACAGGTGCTTCCTTCACGAGTTTAAAGCATGAGGGAGATATTTTTTTCCTTTATTAAGACCACAGTAAAAACTCCACATTACAGTCCTGAATTGAACGTAGCCTATTCCTTCAGTCCTGCTCTTGCAGCCTTACAACTGCAGTACAAATGGAGTTAAAAGCCAGACTCTCTGTGTCTGAAAGCCCCAAAACCCCAAGGCAGGCTGAACACTGGGAAAGGATGGGGGTAAAAGCCTGTGGAGCTTTGTGTCCCTTTTAACTGTGAGCAGTGGGACAGTCAGGCCTGCTTGGTTTGAGTCACTGATTTCAATTCCTGTTAAGGGGAATCTGTCAGAGCAGTGTCTGTTTTAGCATGGTGACCATTAGAGGTGTGCTTAGATATTAGAGCTGTAGTTCCCCATCTTGTGATTCCCCCCTGCTCATCTGAAATTGCTTTGACTTGCCTGGAGTCATCCAGTTCTCCTCCAGCTTTGCTCTCAGGAGAGTTCCTGGGCAAACCCTGAGCCTGTTTGGAGGGCACAGCAACTGCTGAACCCCTGGATCCTGTGGAGAATTCCAGATTTCACAGGGAACAGTGAGGTGAAACTGGGCAAACACAAAAAGAGCACTGCACTTACAGGGCTGAGGTCAGGGAAGGGCAGTAGGAAAGAAAACATCAAATTTAGCCCTGTACAGCCTGAATGAGCAGCACTTTGCAAAACTCACTCCACTCAAACAAATGATCCACCTAAGCAGCTGCAACCAGAAAGGCCATTTTCTATTCCTAACTCCTGTACCTAAGCATCACTTTAGAATGTAAAGTACTGATTGCAGGGCTTGAAAGCTCTCACAGGGAGATGATTGTTGTGATTTGTACAGTCAGTTTGGGAACATGGTGTTCCCCCAACACCACCGCTCCAGCTCCTCCAGGTAATGGCAAGGGAAGCCATATTTTTCTTTTGTGTCATTCTAGAGACAAAAGAATGTCCTGTGCCAGGGAGGAGCATAAGGAAACAAACCCAGCCAGATGTTCACTGAAGTATAACCTGCCTTTAGACCAGGCATCTGAAAACAAGCCTTTAGTTTAACACTGCCTGCAGTACAAGGACCTGGCAAAACAGCTGGAGAAAAGCACTGACCAAACACTCCTGGCTGACTCCTGCAGGCACACGAGCTGCTGGTCTGTCCCTGTTCCCAGGGTTTCCATCATTCCATCCCTGAAATGTCACCATGTGGCCAAGAGCCATGGTCAGTGTTTAAGAAGCATTTGGGCTGGATATCCAAATGCAAAGCCAGTGGCTGCTGTTGGACTCCTGAGTGTTTGTGGGGGGAGCTGAAGAGATGAGCCTCACTCAGAAATAGCTCTTCCTTGGAAAGCTGGAGGGCTGAATCACAGTGTGTTGGCTCAGTTTTTAGCAGACGAGCCATCACATCTGCCTCCCTGTAGGCGAGGAGCCGTCACTGGCATCGGGATTGGCAGCCAGGTTCTGTCCCTTTGGAAACCAGGGAATGGTGATGGGGAAGGCGAAGGCTCTTCGTGGGCAGGGTCAGGCTGGGGGCTTGGTCAGGTGGGCTGGCAGCTCTGGGAGCAGGAGGGCTCTGCTCATGGCCCTGCTCTCCCTTTCCCTCTCTGTCCACAGAATGTGCCCCCAAATTGAACTTTGGGCACTAAATAAGTTCTTTTGCTCAGAGGCATTAACCACTGCTCTGCTGCCTGGGAAACAACCCTGAGCATATCCATGTGTTGGCCTGAGATAGCTGAAAATACCAGTGAGATGGGCAAATAGGAACACCAGGGAAAAATGGGGAAACTTGTGAGGGGACAAGGCAGCTCCTAAGGTGAGGTATCTGAAACTGAAAGCACCTGAGAGACACCCCTGGCTTGACAGGCTCTGGGGAGCCTGCAAAGTCCACCTGGTAGCCACAGAAATGCAAATGTACACAGAGGTTTTCGTCCTAGAACAGAGTGTGAGCCCTTAAAAACATGTCACTCCTGGTTCCCAGCAGTCCAGAGGAAGTCTTGGGGGAAAAGGGGATGAGGGAACTAGTGGAAAGTTTTTGGAGCTAGCAAATAAACAAATTACAGATATGGATTTTTAAATCTTTCAGAGACACGGGACTTTTTTTGAGCTGCAGTTTTGGGCTCAGTGCCCCCACTGCTGCAGTAATATTAATTTTCAAGCCTCCCCTCCAGGTTCAGGCATGGGCACAGTTGCAAGAGAAGTAGATTGGGAGTTCCTGAACCAACTGGTTGCTGACCATGAGTCAGGGGAATGACCTTGCAGCAGGCGGCTCACGGTGCCGCTCTCGGAGCCGTGCCAGGATAAACGGCACTGGCATCTCTGAGTGCTGGTGGAACCATTTTGTGACATTCCAGCTTGGCCTTTCCTCCTGCTGCCTTTACACCCAAATTGTTTGGGTGGGTGGGAATGGGGTAGAGTATTCCCTTTTTTCCTCACAGCCTGGGCTTGGGACTGTCTATATACAAAGATAAAGGGGACAACTCTTATCTCTTGCCTACATCCTTGTCCATTAACATCAGCATTACAGATATTTAACCAAATTAAATCTTACTCTCCCCCCCAGCCATACCCATATTAAACTGTAAGAAAACACCATGATAAAGTTTAAAAAATCCTACGCAGCAGCACTGAATTTTCTGGATAGGTCTGGGAGAGATTTGTCAGAGGAGAGAGGGTAGAACACTTGGCATTTAGATGTTTTAATGAATGTTCCCAAATAAGAAAAGAAAAACATTTGCTTGTAGACTTTAAGCTTCTCACAGCATCAGAAAGCTCCTGACACAGAGCCCAATGCTGTATTTGTATAACATGGAAATGAACAGCAGCAGCAGCAGAGCTGCAGGCTCTGAGCTTGCTCTGCGAGCTGCAAAATGGCCAGGGATGCTGGGGCTCATCCGAATTCCTTCGCCATTTGGGAGGGTCACTAGGTAGACCTGATACCCCTAACCCTTCAGGTGTGGTTTCAACTCTAACATCAATATGAAATGAATATTTCTAACCATATTCAAGCTTGTGCCCTAATCAGCTCCACTCCCTAAAGCACCGACAGGAACCAAGAGCAAAATTCGTCTGCGTCACAGATGTAACATGACCATCGGCAAAACAAGAGCAGGAGGAGATCATGGCTGTCTCGTCCCTCACAGAGCCTTCCTTCACTAGCAGACAAGAAGAGGTAATGCTTTAAATTTATATCATGGGCATGTGAAATCCTGCCCTTCCTTCCCCGAATCCCGCGGTCCCCGAGCGGTCAGAACGCCCGAGAAAATTGCGTGCGTTTTGTCGGCGTGGTACCGAACGCTGCGTCACGATGCTGCACCAAGGCCGAGGCAGAGCAAACCCCACTCCCCAGAGCAGGGAAACCCAGATACAGGAAAATGAATCAGCTCATGCAGTGTCACACACACAAGTGTCAGAGGGAGGGAGAAATCACAGCTTTCCCCAGTCCTTTTGCTGCACTGTGCGGAAAACGATCGTGGAACGGTTACCCAGGTACAGCTCACGGTGACAGTGCCGTGTGTGTGCACACAATCACTGCTGTCCTACAGAAATATGCCATGTCCCCTTCTTAGCCTTGTTTCCTGCCAGTCCCACAGATTTACCTGCTGACAGTAACCTCAATTCCTGAGTAATGAGATTTACAGCTGGAGTTTAACATTGAAATAACTCCTCTTATATCCGTCTCCCTGCCCTCCCTGCGTTTAGGCACAGTTAAACCATCGCTGTGGCCAAAACATGGTGGCAAAAGGAATTAAACCAAATACATCCCTATGCTGAACACACTCAGCAGCCAGTGGCACCTCCTTGAAAGCCATAAAACAGCACTAGCTTTACAAAGTCAGGGCTTCTCCACCCCACAGCCGTGATGGGGAAAACCACGAAGAGTTGTCCATGCAACCAACACTGGAGAAAATAGCCTCAACCCACCCATCATCCACACAGCCCAGCATCATGCCTTAGTCCAGCTCCTGGCTGTACAGAACCCCCTCCACAGCTGCCTGGGACTATTCTCATGTGTGTGTGTCTATTAATGCCTGTCTGTCTGTCTGCAAGGACCACCATTGTCGCTGCTGTTCCTGTTGTTCCCCTGCTCTGCGGATCTGGCGCTGCGGGAGGCAAGGATGCTCCGAGGGAGCCAGCACCAGCCAGCGAAGGCTCAGTGAGTCAGGAGGGGTTGTGATGACTGCAGTAAGAGGCTGAAATTCCCTATGGAATCTGGCAGGAAAGGAGGGGAAGGAGGAAAGATGGAGATGGGAAAGAGGGAAAAAAAGTGGGGAGTGGCACGTACAGTCTGTTGGGTTCTTCCCTCCCCGTCCCCGCGCCGCACTGCCGTTGGAAATGGCGGCCCTGCGCAAAGGACGGCGTCGCGAAAAATCCGCAGCGCCTGCGGCCTGCGCGACCAAACCCCCAAAATTCCATTCGGGGTGTAAATCCAGCCCTGCCCTCTCTCCCTGTCTCCCAGAGCACCCTGCAGAGGCCAGGCTGCAGCCCAGGCGATGGGGACAGCGGCCGCACGGTGCCTTTGTTGCTAAACAACCAACCCTGACGCTGGAGATGTCAGCCAGCGAGTAACAGAGATTAAACACTCCTGCTAGCACATCCTGAAACTTGGTAAGCCTCAGAATGATGGAAGGCTATGGAATAATGGCCCCTGTTGTATGAGAAAACAAAGTTACCACTCCACTGCATAATCGGGGGACTTCCTCGGCCAGAAGGACCAAGCTCAAGGCTGGCTGTGTCCTCAGCACTTCCAGGCAGAGCTGCCATCTTCATTGCGGGGCGCTTTAAGAAGAGAGGTGAAAAAATAGTATAGTAAATGGTTAGGAGGGAAAAGTGGTCTTCCCTTCACTTCCTTATCCTCTCTCTGGAGCTGCTCTCTGCCCTTAGTCTCCCATTCATCCTTAACCAGTTCCCAATTCTTCCTTCCTTGCTTTCTAACGCTGTTACTCCTTTGCCAACCTTTACAGAGCCATCACTGAGGGCAGTCTGCATCTCTCTGTGATGTTACCGAGCCTGTGGCAAACTCACACTTGTGCAAACAAAAGCTGAGTTTGGGTAAGAGTAATTTTCATTTCTTTAACTATTCCCACGACATAATTTCCAGGTGCAATCCCTGCTCCAAGCAGCTCACAGTGCTGCCAACACTCCAGCACCTCACAAGAGGGAAAGAAGCAAGGAGAAAAGCCCTGAACACCAGTACTTTCCCCTGCACCGTGGGCTGCAGCTCTGACACTGGACTGGACGGCGAAACGAGACCTCCTGGCAGCACCCATGGGCCAAGGGCTGCACCCAACACACCCAGCAGTGACCAGCTCCTGTCCTGCCTGCTGCCCGGGGACGCCTGGCATCCCGGGATCCGAGGTGGGCACAGAGCGAGCGGCGGGCAGGGAGTGGTGGGAAGGGAGCTGGGAGCAGGCAGGGAATGGGCAGCAACTGGGCAGGGAGCAGCCACGGAGCATGCCAAGGAATGGGCAGGGAGAAGTCAGGGGATGGACAGGGAGCAGGGGGAGCAGAGGGAACAGCCAACAGGCAGGGAATAGGACAGGGGCAGCCTTCGGTACTCGGAGTACTGGGATCGATGTTCAGGTTGCAGAGGCAGCCCAGCACTCACACGGCTGCTCTGCTGATACCCACGGGCAGGGAGCAGGCAGGGAATAGAAGCAGGGAGTGGGCAGAGGGCAGTGGGCAGTGGCAGCAGGCAGAGGGCAGAGGCAGCTGCTGACACCCGCGGGCAGGGAGTAGGGAGCAGGGCACCAGTACTTTCCCCTGCACCGTGGGCTGCAGCTCTGACACTGGAGTGGACGGCGAAACGAGACCTCCTGGCAGCACCCATGGGCCAAGGGCTGCACCCAACACACCCAGCAGTGACCAGCTCCTGTCCTGCCTGCTGCCCGGGGACGCCTGGCATCCCGGGATCCGAGGTGGGCACAGAGCGAGCGGCGGGCAGGGAGTGGTGGGAAGGGAGCTGGGAGCAGGCAGGGAATGGGCAGCAACTGGGCAGGGAGCAGCCACGGAGCATGCCAAGGAATGGGCAGGGAGAAGTCAGGGGACGGACAGGGAGCAGGGGGAGCAGAGGGAACAGCCAACAAGCAGACAGGGAATAGGACAGGGGCAGCCTTCGGTACTCGGAGTACTGGGATCGATGTTCAGGTTGCAGAGGCAGCCCAGCACTCACACGGCTGCTCTGCTGATACCCACGGGCAGGGAGCAGGCAGGGAATAGAAGCAGGGAGTGGGCAGAGGGCAGTGGGCAGTGGCAGCAGGCAGAGGGCAGAGGCAGCTGCTGACACCCGCGGGCAGGGAGTAGGGAGCAGGGCAGGGAATAGAAGCGCAGGGAATAGAAGCAGGGAGTGGGCAGTGGGCAGTGGCACTGGGCAGAAGCAGCCCTGCTTGCTGCCCGCTCCCCTGATACCCACGGGCAGGGAATGGGGAGCAGGGCAGGGAGCAGGCAGGGAATAGAAGCAGGGGGCGGGCAGCGGGCAGTGGCAGTGGGCAGTGGTAGAGGGCAGTGGCCAGGCAGGGAGGGAGGGAGCAGGGCAGTGAGCAGGCAGGGAATAGGGAGCAGGCAGTGGGTAGTGTCAGCGGGCAGTGTTGGAGGGCTGGCATCCCGGGATCCGAGGTGGGCACAGAGCAAGCAGCGGGCAGGGAGTGCCCCGCGGGGAGTGAGCAGGCAGGGAGCAGACAGGGAATAGGGAGCAGGCAGCGGGCAGTGTCAGTGGGCAGTGTCGGAGGGCACCTGCAGCCCCGCGGGCAGGGAGCGGGCAGGGAGCAGGCAGGGAGCAGACAGGGAATGGGGAGCGGGCAGCGGGCAGTGCCAGCGGGCAGTGTCGGAGGGCACTGGCAGCCCCGCGGGCAGGGAGCGGGCAGGGAGCAGGCAGGGAGCAGACGGGGAATGGGGAGCAGGCAGGGAGCAGACAGGGAATGGGGAGCGGGCAGCGGGCAGTGTCGGAGGGCAGTGCCAGCGGGCAGTGTCAGCGGGCAGTGCCAGCGGGCAGTGTCGGAGGGCACCGGCAGCCCCGCGGGCAGGGAGCGGGCAGTGAGCAGGCAGGGAGCAGACAGGGAATGGGGAGCAGGCAGCAGGCAGTGTCGGAGGGCAGTGCCAGCGGGCAGTGTCAGCGGGCAGCGGGCAGTGCCAGCGGGCAGTGTCGGAGGGCAGTGTCAGCGGGCAGCGGGCAGTGTCAGCAGGCAGTGCCAGCGGGCAGCGGGCAGTGTCAGCGGGCAGTGCCAGCGGGCAGTGTCGGAGGGCACCGGCAGCCCCGCTCCGCTGACACCCGCGCACGGCCAATGGGCTCGGGCGCTCCACCTGCCATCCCCGGCGCGCCCAATGGCGGCGCGGCCCCGGCGCTGCGCCCTCCCCGGCCAATGGGAGCCGGCGCTGGCTCTCGTTAATGATGCAGCAGTCCAGGGAAGACTATCACATGTGAGCTGGCCGCCTGCCAGCATGGAGACACCGAGAGAGCAAGGTAAACAACTTTCCAACGCCAAAATGATGACATTTAATCCCTAAATGCTGGCTTCCCGGCTCGACTCATCTTTAACCCCTTTCAGCTGGTGTGGAAGCGTCTGGAAGGCACCCGTCTACCTGTCCCCAGTGCTTTTAAAAACTGGACGACGTGCCCTGCAATGATCACTGCGTCACCGTTTGCCACTTTGCGAACTACGCAGTGACAAACCTCCGAGCTCCGAATCGCAGGGCGCCTGTTAACCCCTGCACCAACCCCTGGCTGACATGCCAGCCTCCAGGAACACGGGGAGGGGGGATAAACAGCCCAGACAAACCGGGAAAACAGCAGTCTTTGCAAAGTTGTCATCTCTCCCCCACGACTACTACCCTCCTCTGCAGTACAGCAATGCCGGCAGGAGTGACATTAGTACAACCTGTGCCGTCGCTCCATTGAGAAAACAGCTCTGACGCAGAACAGAGCAATCCTACCCAGCCAAAATAATAATAAAGGCACTTTGGGATCCGAACTTAGGGACGCCGGGGGAAAGGGACGCCCTGCAAATAATCCAAATACGTAGCTGCAGCTCCAGCCCCATCCTGATCAAAGGGTACGTACGTGAGGGAGACGAACCGGACCGAGGAGCCGTGCCCGTGCACCATCTGCGCAGTCCTCAGCCCTCCGCTCGCTCTGGAGCGCCGCAGAAGAGAAGGTTCCAGAAATTTCCTTCCCGTTAACCCTTTCGGTGTCTGCCCACTCTCCCTCCCCGTGGGATTAAGCGCGCCGGGTCTCCAGCATCGTCAATGGGCGAAGCCTCCTACGCCATGCGAACCCGAGTACGAGGTGCAAATGGCAGTGGATGGTGGCAGGAGCCCAGTCCGTGGTGTTGGTGCCACTTCTCTTCCTGGAGCCCTCTCTGCCTCTCTTGCTGCCTCTCTCCCCTCTTGCTGCAGCAGGGCTGTTGCTGGTAGACCTATCGACGGAGCTTGCTCTCTCACTCTCTCGCTGAGCTCTGTGACGCAGCTCTAAATTCTCCAGCCTGCTCCTTGTGTTATAAGAGCGGAACTGCAGCTTTCCAGGGAGCCCGTGCCAGCGGTGCCAGGGCCAGGCAGACCGGAGGGAACGTCGCTCCTGGGCTCTGCACCTTTTTTTGGCAATTATTCTGTTCCTCACCTCTCTTTCTGCGCTTCCTCCCCGGCTCTCAGCCTCGCATCTCCTTCTCTGCTTCTGAGTCATACTTGCCAGGTTAACTCTTTTAGGATTGGTAGTCAGCAGTACAAATCTCGAGCGATAGCAGCTGAAACCACAGCCAACTTTTTTGGTGTTTTCTGCTTTAAAAAAACCAAAGCAAATCTTGCTGGCTCTAAAAAACAAAAACACGTGCACGCACACACACGTTGCAGCAGAGAGTTGGTGCTTTCTGATTAACTGTTTCGGTGACAGGAACTACTGCTTGACTTCCTGAAACGAAATATTTTAGGCCCATGTCCTGCAAATCCTCAGCAGGCAGATCCCCTGAAGCACAAGGCAGCTTAAGAGGAGCTGCTGCTGTGAACAAATGCAGGACTTCTGGGCATGAGGCTACTGCTGGCCCCACAAACCCCTGCTCTGCTGGCCACAAGACACTGATCTGAGCGTGGTTTAGCTGCTGGGGAGATGTGTGGCGTGAGATAAGGTGCTGAAAGTGCTGGAAAGCCACAGGATCTTCTTAATCTGAGCAGCATTAATAAGTGTTATCACACACACAGATTCAAAACGCTCGGCGTGGGCAGGGGAACTAATAACTGCGCTCCTGGAGTCACCAGAATCCACAGAATCCAATAATCCCCAACAAAGACAGGCCACAGGCAGCTCTGCCTTTCAGCACAGCAGGCATCATCCCCAGGCAAGGAGCCTTTTGCAGCTGCACTCTCTCTCCTTGCCTCTGCCCCCCAAATCCCTGGAATAACTCCGGTGCCTCCGGCCAGCCCCGGCACCCGGCAGGGGAAGCAGAGCTCTGCCAGCCCCGGGAAGTGTGGAGGAGGATCCGTGGTAGGTGCAGCTCCTGGGAATCAGGGAAGCTGATGGAGAGGCAGCACTGAGAGGGAGTTGATGTGCACACACAGAGCAGCGAGGAGCAGTCCGTCAGGAACCACGGAATGCAGAGAGATCCCTGCTCCACTCCTCCGTCTGCCATTTTAATTCTGACTTCAGAGCCGGCTGCGAGCGTTGGGTTTTTCACTACAACCAAAGCTGAAGTAACCACGGGTTTTTTTCTCCTCGCAGCGTCTGAAGAGCCTGAGCTATTTTGGGATTTGTCTGTACTACACTGAAAATGACACCTGTTACGCACAGACACAAATGAGGAAAATTACAAGTGCCCGGTTCCTCTGATAGGATCCTACAAAAAATGGGGTGAGATCCCGTGGGTCAGGGCTGGGTGAGCAGCACGGGCTGTGCTGTGGGGTGAAGGGGATGACCCCGGTGAGCTGAACAGACACCAGTATGGGAACTGTAAAAAGTCTGTAGTAGCTGATGCAAGGGGAAATCAAGCCTCCATGTGACCAGAAGAAGTAGTGCATGATCAACTAAATGCCACAATACATGGTTTCTTATGCAATCGAGCCCATGGGACTCCAGGCCTTACACATCCACTTTGTGGCCAAAGCTGCAGGGATTAACTCCTTCCTTAATGACTGGGAGCGAGCACAGGCTCCTGAAATGAGTCATCCCCCCAAGCAGGCCGGGCTTTGCTGAGGCTGGAGCTGCCTGTGCTGCTTCCAGTCACCCCCATTCTCTCAGGAGCCCCAGCACGCAGGGCCAGGGCGGATTTTCTGTGTTCCCACTTCTCCCTGGTGGTTTGCACCGTGCTGTGCAGGCGGGCAGAGCCCACCTCGAGATCCAGGGAGCTCCAGATGTGACAGAGCAAGATGAAACACCCGAGCCAGATGAAAGCTGGGAGCCTCAGAAACGGGGCAGTTGGCTGGTGCTTGCGGCTCACACCGCTTTTGTCAGGCCTGTGGTGTGTCAGGAAGGTGAAACCAACTTTGTTTTATCCCAAATGACTCTTTCTGGTTGCTTTCAGGAGAAATGCAGTGTTTATTTTATGGTTTGCTTTCCTTTGAAAATCACCAGCCCTGGAGTGTTTCTGTCTTTGCCTGGCTCTAGGTGCTTGCTGGTGGCTCCCAAGAAGAGCTCAGAGCTGTGAGCTGCACTGGGGAACAATCAGCTGTGTCAGGAATCTTGGGGCAGTGGAAAACTTCAGCCCTCAGATCGGAGTGATGAGGCCTAAAAGCATAAAGTCATTTTCTGACACTCTTGGGCAGGATTCAGCGTTTGAACATCTTCGACATTCCACTATAAAAATCTAGGCTGCTTTTCTGGTTTAACTGGAGCCCATTTCCATGTGTAGCTACTGGTTTGGGTTGGGTTTTTTTTTAGCTTTTTTTTTCTTTTCCTTACAGACTTTAAAAGTAGGAGGCAGAGCTTTGGTTTTGTAAGAACTGCCTATGAGGGTGCAAAGTCCTGGGCTAGAAAGGAGGCTTGGAAAATGGGAATAATCCATGGCTGTGGTGTGAGACAGGGGAGATCAGTGTCACCATCAGAATGGCAGGGTAGGAATCTCTTCCAAAACTGGGAGTGACCCCATGGCTGATCACAGCTGGGCCCTGAGTGCTGATTAATAAAATAGAGAGTTTTTATAGTGCTGAACATTCTAACAAGATTTCAGGACTTGCAACTGGGGTGGTTCGGGCTGGATGTTTGGGGAAAATACCATTTTTTGAGGAGGGAGGGAGAGGATTGACTCTCCAGACTGTCACTGACAGTTCCCTCAGCACCATGAAAGGATCAAGGAGGGATTCCTCATCTTCCAGAGGAAGTTTGGGCTTGCCCTGCTTCTGTGCCAGGCTGTACCTGAAGGTTCATCCTCAGTTCTCCGGCGTCTCCCGTGCGATTTTCTGCTGCCACGCTGCGATGACCTTGATAGCAACAACAAATGGAGTCTGACACTCCCCACATCTCCCCCTTATGCACATCATTATTGCTGCTGGGGTGTTTTGAGTGCTGAAGGAAACCCTCGTGGTCCTGCCCGCACTTCCAGCTTCCTGCCGGGGAAGCCTTGGCTCGGGTTTGGGTTTAAATGCCATCGGCCACACCTTCCCCCAGCGCAGGAAGCACGATTGTTAAAATCAGGGCATGTTCCTGTTTAACTGAAAGGCTGAGATAAATAATCCAAAGGCCTCGTTTATGCCAAGTGAATTCCTGCCCGGGCCGGAGCAAGTCTGGGCAGCTGTAAATGTGTAACCCCTCGACCTCGCAGCCACGGAAGGGGAGGCTTGGCACATCCCCGCGGGAGTGGCTGGGCACAAACGGAAGGAGCAAGGAATCGGGCAAAGGTGGACAGGGCAGTGGAAAAGTTTCTTCCCTTTACCAACCCAGAGGCTTAAAAGCTGCTGTAAAATGCAGAATGGTCGGTTTTTCAAGTGCTGATGTGGGGTAGCTCTTGTTGGATTTGCCAGTGATACCTCATGCTTACAAACAGCCTCAGTGAGGGACAGAGTCACAACAAACATTCAGGTTTCGTTTTTTTTCCAAAAGGTTTATTGTTTTCCATAGTGAATTCCAGAGAAATGGCCAGTGGGTCCTTTCTTTACCAGCCCAGCAGAATCACAGAATGGTTTGGGTTGGAAGGGACCTTAAAGCTCATCCAGTGCCCCCCCTGCCATGGGCAGGGACACCTTCCACCATCCCAGGCTGCTCCAAGCCCCATCCAGCCTGGCCTTGGACACCTCCAGGGATCCAGGGACAGCCACAGCTGCTCTGGGCACCCTGTTCCATTTGGAACACTCTGCTGCTCTCCCTGGGGTCCCAAGCAGCAGGAGGAAGAGCAGCAGGCAGATAAAGAGCAACAAACCCCTTCCCAAAGTTTCAAAGCCGATTCCATGCGTCTGTTTGGGTGTGCACGGCTGACAGCCCCACAGAGAGCGGGGCGGGGGGTTCACGGTGCCCCTCGGGAGGTGCTTCAAGGGAATTGTGTGGAACAGCTGGTGCTGGGATCGAAAGCCAGCCCTGCCAGAGGTGTGGGCTCGCTCCCGGGCGCTGTCGGGGATGTGTTGGCACGGCTGTGCTGGCACTGGGGAGTCACATTTGCATGGAGCTTTTGCATTCTCGGTGCGAACCCAGCCCACGGCACAGAGCAGGCACTGAAATGGGAGCCCGCAGGTGAAAACCTGGCCCTCCCTCTGAAAACCTGGAATTTTCCCGGTGAAGTCTAAGAAACCCAGCTGGAAGTGCCAGGATCCTTTTCAAAGAGGTGGCACCGCGTTAACATCCCAGCCGCTTCCAAGCACCGCTTCGGGGCCGGTGTGGGACTCGGGGCCGGGGTGTTTGGGATGCTCAGCCCACAGCAGAATTCCCGGTGGGCACAAGGACACCGCCCCCACCCCCGGGACCCCCGGCCGCCCTCCCAGCGCTGGCAGCGGCTGTGGGGGCAGCTCTCGCTGCCTCCCGATGCAAGGAGCCAACAGCGCGGAGACAAAAGGAATTATTTCAGCTATTAGCTGCTAAGAATAGAGGCGGCGGGGGTGCTGAGGTGCCTGACAGCGCAGCCGGAGGAGCAGGGATTGCAGGGGGAGCACGGAAATAGCCGCGCTCCCGCTCAGCACCCGCGGCTCCGTGAGTCACCCCGGCCCGGGGGCGGGCAGGGTCCGGGCCGGACAGGGACCAAACCGAGCAGGATCCAAACCCAGCAGGGTCCGAACCGGGCAGGGTCCGAACAGGACAGGGTCCGAACGGGGCAGGGACCAAACCGAGCAGGATCCAAACCCAGCAGGGTCCGAACAAGACAGGATCCGAACCGAGCAGGATCCAAACCCAGCAGGGTCCGAACCGGGCAGGGTCCGAACAGGACAGGGTCCGAACGGGGCAGGGACCAAACCGAGCAGGATCCAAAACCAGCAGGGTCCGAACCCAGCAGGGTCCAAACCCAGCAGGATCCAAGCCCTGTAGGATCCAAACCCAGCAGGATCCAAACCCAGCAGGGTCCAAACCCCACAGAACCGGCCCCGGGCTGGGTTTGCAGGGCAGCTTTCAGCACTGAACCCTGGTTTTCCCTGCGGAGCATCTTCCCAATCGCCAGGAGAAGCCCAAAGAGCCGCTCTGGCTGCTCTGCTGAAGGTTCCGCTCCCTGGGCAGCGGGTCCCGCTCTCGCACGGGCCAGGAGGATTTGGGAAAGGCAAACATTCCCGAGCCGGAGCAGGCTCTTGATGTCGGTCCAACTGTGTTCCAGGGTGTTTTCCCAAGTCTAATCTCGAAGTTCCCTTTCCAAATACCTCATAAAAGGTTAAAGATACGCACGGCAGGTATTTAAGTGCGGGGTCAGTAAATGGTGAGGTGCTCAGAGATGGCTTTAACATCTTGTCCTGCTGCTGTTTAACCAAAATCCTTTTGGTATCACTGCGTGTTTTTATCCAATATAGCTTGGAAGAGGCAATTTTCCTTCTGTACTGTTTGTGCAGCACAGGGTACAACACATTCCTGTTCTATGACGAGGTTTCCAAACTCCATAGTAAAATGAATAATAATGATAGTAAATGTTGTATAACTTTTTTTTTTAATTTTAATACAGCAACGTTTGTATTACTTCAGTGCTGGATTTTCCAGTTATTGTAGATAGGAGGAAAAAAAGATTAAAAAAAAAAAAACAAAAAAAAACAAAACAAGGAATAACAATGAATTGGAAAAAAAAAAAAAAAAAAAAAACCAACCCAAATAAATTCAAGGTTTATAAGGAAAGAAAAATCAGTCCTGGGTGCCACTGCAGAAAGAGTCAAGCTGGACAGAATTAAACATCTCAGCTGGAGCGTGGACAGGGCAGCAGACAGCCTGCTAAAAATAGATTAATCCCAATTACAGCCACACTTCTGCTGTGCCCAGGTCCCCGTTCCCCGTGGGCACAGGGCGCTGTGACTGGAGAGGGGCTCGGTGCCCAGCTGGCCGCAGCGGGGCCGGGGGCACTCGGTGCCCGTCCTTGCAGAACCCGGGGGCTCGGAGGGTGGCAGTGGCAGTGACAGTGGCAGTGGCAGCAGTGTCCCCCCTGCCGGCCTTGGCTGCAGCTCCAGCTGCCCAGCGCTCAGCTCCGCTCCTGCCGAGCTGCTCTGCCGGTGAGCCGAGCTCTGCCGGGCACGGCTGCGGCTCCCGCGGCCTCTCCGCCTAAAGACCGAGCCCTGGGCTCCTCCTGCATGCCAGGCTCTGGTTAAACCCCGCGGAAATCCCGGCTGGATGGATTTCCTCCTCTGACTGCTTCTCTGACTGCTTCTCGTCAGCGGCGTTGCAAAATGTTTAGTGGGAAATAAACAGATTTAAGCCTCTGTTTTCCAAACTCTGGTAAGTTTATTTGTCCCATCCAGCCTGGGAAATTCTGGCAAATAACTCTTTCCCCACCAAAGGGATGGATATTAATTACCAATTTAAATAGTTAGTCAGAAAATGAATCCCTTCAGCTGTAACAACTTAGTTTTGTTTAATCAGAAACCAGGAGTGAATGCTCTGGGGTTTCTTTTAGTTTCTGTGGCAGAAATCACATTTTAATATCTTGGATTTTCCTGAGGAACTACTGCAAGTACAGGGGGAACAGCATGGATTAAATTTTATGTTCATCTGAGCCTGATGGGATGTTTTATGTAAAAATCGAAGCCATGGTGAATGCCAGGACCCAGCCCTGAGAGAGGCAGGATCGTGTCCAGGCTGGCAGGCAGCTCTGAGTGGGGATAAGGGTTTGGATGCACTGAGGAGCAGCAGTATTTCTGCTTAGAACTGATCAGAAAAGATTTCAGTTTACACTTTTGGGGCTCAATCACCCTTTGCACTGAAATGCAGATCCAGGATTTGGCTTTTTTTTTGTTTTGTTTTTATTTAAATGAGAAAGACTCAGTGCAGAGCAGTTGGTACCCGTGGGCTGCAGGGCAGAAATTCCCCTGCACAGCCCTGTTTGCTTCCCCAAGAGAAGTCCCACGGAGCCAGTCTCCTGGAGCTCAGCTGGTGCCAGAGCAGAGTTTCTGGCTGTCCCTCAGTCCTGGCTGTCCCTCCTGCTGTCACCTCCCAGCTGCCTGGAGCTGCACCCTGGGTACACAAAAACCTCCCATTAAAAGTTCCGCCAACCTCGTTGTGTAACAAAGCAACATTTTCCCACTGGGAAGTGAACAAACAGGGGAAAAAAAAAAAAAAACCCCAAACCTGTTTGGGCATTCCTGAGCAGCTGGTTTGGCATTGCTGGGCCAGCAGCAGCCCGTGGCCAGGAGCATGCCTGTCCCTGTGCCCCCTGCTCCTGGCATCAGCTCTGCCAGGTGAGCTGAGCCTGGGGCCTGGCTGGGAGATCCCTGCGGATGTGTCGCTGTGATATTTTATGAAAAATCCCTTTGCTAGGATTTTTTCTCCTGAGAAGCTGAGAAGCCACAGAGGAAAAGAAAAAACAACAATTATCTGCTGCTGTGGAATGCAACAGGTGCATCTTTGATGGGTCCATGTGGGTTGTTTCTACTTAATGACCAGCCATGGTCCAGCTGTCTCGGACTCTCGGAGAGTCACGAGCTTTTGTTATCATTCCATTCCATTCCATTCCATTCCATTCCATTCCATTCCATTCCATTTTCCTTTCCAGCTTTCTGTCTGTATCATTTTATCTATTCTTTTAGCATAGCATTTTTAATATCATATAATATCATAATAAATCAGCCTTCTGAAAAGATGGAGTCAAGATTCTCATCTCTTCCTCGTCCTGGGACCCTCGAAGACAACCACGTGGCTGGGAGGGCACATCCCTGCCCGTGGCTGTGCCTGCCTGGAGCCGCTGCTTTTGCAGGGATTGGGAAATGTGCCGTTGATGTTCTCAAGCCTCACGTTGGGCACCAGGTGTCACGGTGAGGACTTTGTCACAACTTTGTGACAACTGGGGCGCGACAGGATCCCCCTTGCAAGCTCTGCAGAATCCCAGCTACCAGCGGTGGCTCGGCGCAGGAACAAAAGGCAGCAGCACGGGTCTCGGCGTGAGACTTGGGGTTCATGATCAGCACCCAAGACCCAGACTTGGGGCTAACAAGAGCTTTCATGCCTCGCTCGGGAGAAGGGGTTTAGGGTAGCAAACCAATAGGGGTATGGTTGGGGAGGGGTTGGAGGCAGGGTATTTTACTCTTGAACCAATAAAGGAGCACTAGGGAGGGGAATAACTTGGGTAATAGGGTCCCAAAGGACATAAAATAGGGAATTCTCCAGAAGAAAGGGCAGGTTCGGGGGAGGATTAACACCCAGTGGGAGGGAGGAGCAAGGGGGATTCAGGGGGAAAAGGGCAGGGATAGGCGGGATTGACAATTGGGAAGGTGGGGCTTTAAAACTCGGTATGGAGTGGCATAAGGGGATTGCAAAATCACAAATGGAACAGCAAGCAGACCAATAAAACAAAAAAAAAAAACCCACACTGCAAGAGTGATTCACGGGAGAGCTGCAGCCCCGCGCGGCACCCGCGGGCGCTCGGAGCCGCCAGACGCGCACGGAGCAGCTCCGGCTGCCAGGGAACGCCCAGAGCCGGCGCCTCGCACGCACACCATTTATTAAAAAAAAAAAAAATCCATCCTGAAGTGCTTTTTATTACCGAAAATTATCATATTTGGGATTATCATATTCATCAGCTTGGCTGGCCGGGGTGTTCTGCTGTTCCTGCTGGGCTTGGTGCTGGCAGCGCTGCCTGAGCTCTCTCCCTGCCTCTCGTCTCAGCCTGGAAACTGGGATTGTGAATTATTTTGGCCGGGGATAAACTGGCCTAAATAATTTGCTTGTACAGCGCTGAGCCACGGTGGCCTCTGGGTCTCAGCTGAGCCTTCTGGAGGCTTCTAAAAATAAGGAGTTCTAAGCTATTATCTTTTAAAATACTTGGAAAAAAGAGGGGGCAAGGCGAGGATCCTTTCACAGCTGTTTTGGCCTCAAACTGCCAAGATTTATTTTTTTAAAAATGTGTTTTCTTGATCATTTCTCTCCCTAGCCTTTCATTAAAAAAGAGCTCACAAATTTAGGACAGGTGTTTTGTACTTCCATAGCAAAAATCATTTGAAAACCACCAGTAACTTCTAAAATCCAAGCTACCAGTAATAAAATGAAAATTGATCCTAAAGCCTTGTTTTTATGCATGAGTTGATTACTCTTCGTGGCCTGGAATTATTTTGCAAACAAAGCTCAATTAGAGAATGAACTTTTCTATTTTTTTCCCTAATTGTCATTTTTTAAGATATTTTGGATATCCCATGGCAGGGGTGGAATGAGATAAGTTTTAAAGTCCCTTTGATGGCCCCCAGCCCAAACCTTTCTCTAAATCCTTTTCACAGACACAAGACAGGGAAATCCATCCCGCTGGCACTGGGAGGGGACGCTCAGAATGGTCCAGGGATGGTTCCAGTCTGGAGCTGCAGTCATTCCATGACAGGAGAGGATGGCAGCGAGGGAACCACCAGAGCCAGCACAGCCCAGGGGGAAGAAAAGGCAGAAGTCGTGGATGGAGAGCACACAGGTTCATCTGAGAAGGACCTGCTGCCTCCTAAGGACCTGAAATAAACCCAGCCAGCCCCCATCCCCATGGAAACTCCTTCCTTCAAAGCACTTCTAGTGGAATTCACCTCCTGTTCCTGAGTTCTCTGCTGGTTTGGAACAGAGCAGTCCAGGCTGGAGGGCTGGGCTGCAGGTGAGAAACCAGCGCTGCCTTTGGCAGCAGGGGACAGGCAGAGCTGTCCCCTCCCAGGGGACACCTGTGGCACTTTTACTGTGAGGACACAGAAAAAAATCCAACAGCCTTTGGTCCTCCCTGGGCAGGGCAGAGCTCAGAGCAGCCACCCGGGCTGAGGGCACCTTACAAACCCTGCCCCAGGCTGACAGAGCCGTGCTGGGGCACAGAACTATCCCAAAACCAAATATTCCTGAGCTGGGCCTCGAGCAGGGCACAGGACATGCCTTTGGTGACTGATAACGGGAGGGAGAAGCGTTCTGTCAGCCTGGCCCTGCGTGAGAACCAGCAGAGGAAACCTAAGCCGCGAAACATTAAAGTTCCAAAATTAAACCCTTGCTTACGTAAGGACTGGGTCACTGCTGCTGTGGAACACGGCGGTTTGAACCAAAAAAGGCCTTTTTCAGCGGGCCCTGCTCCCTGCCAGGCCTCCCCCAGCCCGTCCCCATCACTTTCTGCTGCTCGTTGTCCTGCACAGGGAGCAGCACCTGGGGTTCAGCGGGCCCTGCTCCCTGCCAGGCCTCCCCCAGCCCGTCCCCATCGCTTTCTGTCGTTGTCCTGCGCAGGGAGCAGCACCTGGGAGCTGGCCCTGGCACTCAGCTCCTCACCCTGCTGCTCACTAACACCTCACAGGGCTGGGAATCCTCCTCGGTGCCCTTCCCAAAACTGCCCCTGCCCAAACTGCCTTCCCCTGTCCTCTTCCACGGAACACAATCCAGCTGCAGGCCCCCAGCTGGGTTTGGTGGCTTTAACCCAGGCTGGAAACTGCATTTGGGGCTGTCCCTGCAGAGCCAGGAGCAGGAGCTGATGGTCCCGTGGGTCCCTTCCAGCTCAGGATATTCCATGATTCAGTGGGGTTTTTCTCTTTGAAATAAGGAATAAAACTGTCTGCAGCCTCTACAGAAAGCAGCGGAATGTCCTTGTCCTTGCTGCTTCAGCCTGGCTAATAACAAATATAACACAGCAGAATAAAAATAAGAAAATGTAAATGCAAAATATAAAAAAAGAACTTTATGGAGCTTCCCCCCTGCAGTGTCTTTTAAAAGCCTTTTACCACATGGCTAAACACACCTTTATTTATTATTTTTTAAGAAAAGGGAATAAAAGAACTTAATCCAAACTAAATATTTAAGCAAACAGCAATTAACTAACAATGATGAATGGTAAACATTCCTAGTCCCACGCTAGGCCGGGACTTTAAAGCCCGTTTATCTAAGCTAAAGCTGCTCAAGGGGAAAAGCAAGTTTATTGAGTAAACTTTGTCTCAGCCACCTTGCTATTAAAACAGTCCACAAGCAGAACCTGCATCGTATGTTCTGGGAGGAAAAAAAGGAGCGAGAACAAAACAGCCCATGGCATGGAAGTTACAATGCTGTGTGGAGCAATCATCCCTAAATAGAAAAATGGGGAAAATACAGAGCTGTGAAGCAGCTCCTTCCTTGGAGCCTTGGGTTAAAATAGGAAGAATGAGAGACCCCTTAAATTCCACCTGATGTTCCCATTTGGCCTGGGGCTCTCAGTGCCACTTATCCACTGGGAAGGAGGGAGCCTGGGCAGAGTTGCCTAAGATTTTATCCACTTGGATCCTTTTATTCAAATGTAACACTATTACTATTATTATTATTATTATTATTATTATTATTATTATTATTATTATTTAAATTTGAATGTAACATAATTATGATGTCATTATCATTATTAGCATTATGATAATTAGCATTATCACCATTATCACTACCATTATTGTTACTATTATTTCCAGTATTCCTATTTATTATTATTCCTATTGACATTATAATCATCATCATCATCATCATCATTATCAGAATTATCATGATTTTAACCCATCCTCATCACTCTGGAGCGGGGCTGCTGTGCCTGTCCCACGCCAGCCCCTCCCCTCGGGCCCGGGGCTGAGGGGGAGGGTCCCGGCCCTGCGAGGAGAGGGGGGACAAGCGGGGGGCAGGACGGGAATGGGGGCGTGGGGGTGAGCAGGGGATGCGCAGGGGGGGATGCAGGGGATGAGAAGGGGATGCAGAAGATGAGCAGGGAATGCAGGACATGAGAAGGGGATGCAGGAGATGAGCAGGGGATGTTCAGGGGGGATGCAGGAGATGTTCAGGGGATGCAGGAGATGAGCAGGGGATGCAGGAGATGTTCAGGGGATGCAGGCAGGGGATGCAGGAGATGAGCAGGGGATGCGGATGGCGGGATGCAGGAGATGAGCAGGGGATGCAGGCAGGGGATGCTCACGGGAGGCTCGGGGATGCAGTGAGATGTGCGCAGGATGTGCGCAGGATGTGCGCAGGGACGCAGCGGGAGGTGCGCGGGGATGTGCGCAGGATGTGCGCGGGATGTGCGCGGGGATGCAGCGGGGCGAGCGCGGCGATGCAGCGCGATGTGAGCGCGGGTGCGGCGGGGACGCGGCGGGGCGTGCGCGGGGACGCGGCGGGGCGGGCGCGGAGATGCAGCGCGAAGTGCGCGGGATGTGCGCGGGGATGCGGCGCGACGTGCGCGGGATGTGCGCGGGGATGCGGCGCGACGCGCGCGGGATGAGCCCCGAGATCCAGAGCGACGTGCGCGCCGTGTGCGCGGGGATAGAGCGGGACGTGCGCGGGATGTGCGCGGGGTGCGCTCGGGCCGTGCCCGGCCCCGATCCCCCCGCTCCCCGCCCCCGGTACTCGCCTGGCGCAGCATCCCCGGCCCGGGGCCGCTCCCGGGGGGCCGCGGAGAGCTGGGGCGGAGCGGGGCCGGCGGAGGCGGAGGAGCCCCCCGGGCCCTTCTGGATCCCTCGCAGAGGCGGCGGCCGCGGGGCCAAGGTCACCCCGCGGCGACTACAATTCCCAGGAGGCGGCGAGACGCCGGGAAAAGGCCCGGGGGGAGCGGGGCAGGAGTGAGGGGTCCGCTCCAGACCCCTCCCAGCCGCCTTCCCCCAGCATTTTCCTCTTCTTCGCCATCGGAGCTGGGATGTCCCATCCCGGGGGATGACGGCGCAGCTTTTGAGAATCCGGCACGAACAGACGCGGATCTATTTCGGGATTAAAAAAAAAAAAAAAAGGCAGCATGAGGAGGAATAATAAATGTCTGACGGTCGGGTTTAAAGTGCTGCGTGCTCCCTGCAGGGCTGCAGCCCCTGTGTGCGCCACCGCACATCTCCGGGACCACCTTCCAGGACCTCCACAGTCATTAGTGGGTATTATCCTCGCTCCCTCTTAGGAAGTGGTGGGATAATCATTCCCCATTTAACGGCTGGGAAACTTGGCGCAGCGCACATTAAGCGATTTGCTGACAGGCGCACAAGAAAATTGCGCTAGTCAAGCGTTCTCCCAATTATGCCATCCTTGGAACTGCATAATTTCTCTGCGTGATTCCAAACACGGCTCAGACTCCCCGGGCAGGGCAGGGCTCCATCTCTGCGCAGCGTGCGGCTCAAATCAGCCGGCGGGACCCTCCTGTGTCCCCCGGGGGGCTCCTCGGGGCTCGGACCCGCAGCTCCGGTGCCACCGCACAGGTATCACCCGGGGGGCACACCAGAGCCCTGCGGAGGCCGAGGGACGCTCAGCAGCCCGGGGGTGCCGCACAAAGCCCCCCTCCCACCTTCCCCAAGCGCAGCTTCAGGATTCCGCAGCCCAGTGGAAATTCCCCAGCGGTGCCAGCGCTGGGGCCTCCGGGAACCGGCAAAACCTCCCCGGAGCCAGCCAGGAGCTGGGGCTCTGCCACCGGGAGAGCATTCCGGCCTCCGGGAGGGATCCTGTGGAGCAGAGGGTCTGGGGGGGGCAGGGGGTCCCGGGGAGCGGGGGGTCCGGGGCAGCGGGGATGGAGCCCCTCGCCCTCCCCCGCGGTTCTCCAGGCTCCCCTGCCCTCATTCCGACGGGCCGTGCCCGCCCAGCCTCCTAATCTGCGCTAAGTGGCACTGCCGATGAGCGCTGCGATAAATTTAGAAAGAAATCTTTGTGTGGGTCAGAGGAAAAACACGGCGGGGGGAAGCCGAGCTGCTCCGCTGGGCTGGGCTCGCTCCCAGCCGCGTTTCTCATCCTCGCTGCCCAAAGCCAGAGGCAGCCGCAGGGCTCAGGGGTGGGCCAGACCCTGCTGGAGTTGGTGAGCCGAGGATTTCTCGGTTTAAAAGAAAGATTTTTAAGTGATTTAGTGGGAAAGGAGCGGGAGGAGGCAGCGCTGCCCCGGCTCCGACCGCGACCTGACATTTCAGCCGGAGCCTCTTAAAGAGCGAGTTTGCCTTGCCCAGGATTTGTTTATAAGCACGAGCAGCGAAAGCAGTTGTTCTTAATTCCTCTCTCGGGCTCCTGCCTGCCCTGCTTGCTCCTTCCCAATCGCTTTTGTTAATCTCTTAAATTGTTTTAAAACAACAACAACAAAATAATGGCATTAGCGGTGCGAAATCCCCCGTGAAATCGCCAGCACAGCCCCACGTCCCTCTCTAAAATCGGAACGTTTCAAACTGTTTTATCATTTGCTGGTGAATTATATTGTACCAGAACGAGGAGAGGAAAAGAATTTTCTGAATGTATTTCCTGTAATAAGCTATTAAGACCTTGTACTGCTAATTAAACTATTAATTAGACGTCTTATCGTTCCTAAACACGTTAGCATGTTGCCAAAGCAGCAATAAGCCTCTGGGGCAGGCAGGAGATAAGGAAAGAAGGAAGATGCAAACATGAAGATTAAAAAAATATGAAGAAAAAAAATCAAAAGGACCAGAAACAGCAAATAAATAACTAAGAGTCAGAAGGGTGATGTATTCTTAATTTATAGGAATAAAAAATAAGTAACTTGAGAACCAATTTCCTATGTAGGAGCCCTTGGGGCATCTCTGTCTTACACAGGACAAAAAGGGACAGGACTTTTCACACCTTTGTGTTTCTGCAGTCAGAGCAGTGGAACCAGAAGTGGAACCCATCTTCCCCAACACCAGAAGTTGCCATTAGAAAATTAAGAGAAAAACTATTCAATAATGGTGGGGTTTTCCTTCTCCAGGAGAAAAACACAAAGAATTTTCAATAAGAAGACCTTAACACCAAGGAATTTCTGCACCTGCCTCCACTCTGGCCCACAAACATCACCCCTGGCTCGCCCATCCTTGTCTTTTTTAAGTTAAAAAAGAACATTTCCAGCCTCACAGCGCTTGGGATGCTCTTGGCACGCTGTGAAGGTGTTTTCCTCTGCCCCTGTGGCTCCTTCAGGATCGAGGAGGGGTCAGGAGACAGCTCTGGGGTTCTGCTCCCACTTTGGGGCCTCAGTCCTGGCTCCCCCTGACCTCTGCCCATCCCGGGCTTTCCAACACATGGAAATGTTTCCAGACCCCAATTCCTCAGCGTTTGCCTCCCACAGTCGATCTCAGGGCTGGATAATCTCATTTACCTCTGTTACTACAAATCAAAACAGCGGCAAATTAAATGGATCTGAGGGCCAAGATTAAAGCTCCAAACACGTGGGAAGTGCCTGTGATGCAAAGAGCTGTAAATATAATTTATTTTTTTTTAAGGGGGGGATGGAAAAGCCCTACACAGATGCTGCTATTTTACCTGGAAAGCAAAGACAGGATCATGGAAGAATTAAAGCTGGAAAAGACCTCAAAGATCAAGTCCAACCACTAATCCAGAGCTGCCAGGCTCACCACCATGGTTGGAAAAGGAGGGAAAAAAAATCAAAATGAGCTTGGTCATCACCTTTTTCCAGCTCTGGGGAATGCCTTTGTGGCCAGCTGATGGTGGCTGAGGTTCGGGCTGGCTCAAAGCTGGGGCTCAGAGGGGCTGAGCCCAGGACACTGCTGCTTCCCTGGCTGGCATTTCAGGGATTCCTGGCCCCACTGATGCTCCTTCAGCTTCTTTTCCTGAGGTGGGACACAGGACATCACCAGAGCCCTCCTGTGCCCCTGAATTCCCTGGGTCAGACCAAAAATCCTGCGTGGCCTTGAAGGGGATGGGGCAGCAAAACTGGGAGAGCTCCAGAAAGAAAAGAAACGCGGGATGTGACACTGAGCACGCAGCTGGGAAAGAAATGGATGTGAAACCCAGGTGAGAAATGCCACGGTGGATGTTCCCCCTTCCTGGAATTTGAGCTCCAAGCTCCTCTCTTCACAATATTCTTCCGTAATTCCAGGGTTTCGCTGATCCCGGGATGGATTGCAGAGCCGCGGGCTCTGCGCTGGGGCAGGAGCCGCTTTTTTTGGGTGTTTTTATTTTAAGATGGGTCTGGTTTGGGTGTTATTTGGGTGTTATTTTTGCCAGGGCAGCGTTCCCCGAGCTGCAGTTGCCCTCTGGAGCCCGCTCGGAGCGCGCTGGCAGAGCGCAGCCAGCAGATAGCAGCATTGGAGAGAGAATGAGCGAAAATGTGCGAAAATGGGCAAAAAGGGGCACAAATGTGCAAAAATGAGCAAAAAAGGGCACAAGTGTGCGAAAATGAGCAAAAAGGAGCACAAGTGTGCACAAATGAGCACAAATAAACACAAATGAGAAAAAATGAGCACAAGTGTGCACAAATGAGCAAAAAGGGGCACAAGTGTGCAAAAATGAGCGAAAAGGAGCACAAATGTGCGAAAATGAGCAAAAAGGGGCACAAGTGTGCACAAATGAGCACAAATGAGCACAAATGAGCAACAATGAGCACAAATGTGCAAAGAATGAGCACAAATGTGCACAAATGTGCAAAAATGAGCACAAATGAACACAAGTGAACACAAGTGTGCACAAATGAGCAAAAAATGTGCACAAGTGTGCACAAGTGTGCACAAATGAGCACGAATGAGCACAAATTTGTACAAGTGTGCACAAATGAGCACAAATTTGCACATATGAGCACAAGTGTGCACAAATGAGCACGAATGAGCACAAATGAACACAAACGTGCAGAAAAATTAGCACAAGTGTGCACAAATGAACACAAATGAACACAAGTGTGCACAAATGAGCACAAATGAGCACAAATGAACAAAGTCAGCACAAATCCGCACAGGCGTGCCTCCCGTGCCGCCCCCAGCCCTGCGGGATGCTCGGGGCTCTCACGGGACGGGAAATCCGTGCCAGCAAACCCAGCAAGGAGCTGCTTTTCCCCGGGCCGGGATGGGCTGTTTGCCTGTGCAGGGCTTGTGACGGTGCAGGTGTGCTCTCACCTGCGAGGGCTCTGCTGGTTTTACTGGGGGAGGGTGAAACACCCAGCCGAGGCACACGGCGAATAAAAATAAATTCAAACTTGTTTGCTTTCGTGAATTTGGCTTCAGCAATGCACAGTGAGCCGCCTTCAACTCACAGCGTAGAATTTTGAGGTCGTTTAGACAGGAAGGTGTTCCTTCACTTCTGGGAAAATCTTTGATTTCAGCCAGCAGAAGGATTTGGGCAGGCTGGGGAATGGGCACAGACACAGCATCCAGTGGCAGTGCTGCATCTATTTCTATCTATTTCTATTATTTATATTTCTATTATTTCTATTTATATTATTTATATTTATATTATTTATATTTCTATTTTTATTTCTATTTTTATTTCTATTTTTTTTTTTTGTATTTCTATTTATAGTTAGCACCTTGTATCCCCCCTGTTCTTCCCCAGAGGATGTTTTCATGCCAGTTGTTTTCCTCTGGAGGGTCCCTTTCAATATGAGGCTCACCCAAGCTGAAGATTGAGCTAAAGATCTGTGGGAGCAGAGTGTGAGCTCATGAACCAGGTAGGAGCACTTGCACCAGCCTTGAACCACGTTTATGGGAAATCAGGCTGCTCTGGGAAGCTGAAATGGACTCAGACCACCCCAAAATGGCCCAAAAAAGCAGCTGTGAGTGAGGCTGCAGGGGCTGGCGAGAGGAGGGGGCAAGGAAGGAATGCAAGGGGGCTGATAAGGAAGGAATAATAAGAAAAACCTTTCTGGCCTGGCCAAGGCTGTTTACACACAGGCAAAAAACTTCCTGAGCTGGAAGTGCAGCCTTTCCCAGCCTTTTTTTTCCAGGCTTTTCCAGCCTTTTCCGCTGGCTCAGCACCGGCCCCGCTCCCGGCATTTCCCTCAATCTGGCTTTGGAGGAGCCTTTTGTTTTGCCGGAGCACTTGGCTGTAACTTTATTGTCCCTGCCTGGCCGCAGGGCATACCCCGAGCTGTGAAAAGCGCACCTGAGGTCTGATGAGATCCGCAGCCCCCGGTGCTGATGCGATAAACGCCTGCCAGCAGAAAAGGCGGCCCCAGCCCCCTGCCCCAGCTCCCTGCTCATCCAGCCTTCCCTGCGAAAGGAATTTGGTTTTCCTGCATCTGTTCCCCTAGCAGCCAGAGGTCAGGCTGCCCCAAAACCCCGGAGTGTCCCCCGAGGGGTTCCTGGTGTGCCCTGGGGAGGGTCAGGCATCCCGGAGAGCAGAGGGGCTCAGGGCAGATCCCCGCTCCCAAAGCTCCTGCCTGCAAAGGAGCTCCAGCATCTCCACAAGAGAAGGCACCCAAGGCTTCCCTGTGTCGCCCCTGCAAATTTTTTTTGGGGCAGGAAATGTTGCCGGTTGCGAAAAATGTGTATTTTATGATTGGCTTTTCGCAAGTATTCAAATGGATACTGTATGTGTTATGTTAGAAAGTTATGCTGTATTAATTTTCTTAAGTATTAAATTAACTATTAAATACTGTTTTAGGTTACAACATAATGTTAAAATAGAAACTATGCTATGTAAGATATTTGGTTAAGAAAGGACCCGCACCAGACAGAAGCCACAGGACACCTAAATCTTTCAGAGAAAGGGAATTTATTGCTCCCTTATCAGCAGAAAACTAACTTCTTCCCACCTCGCTCAGACAGGAAGATGGCATGAGGATTAAGAGGAAGAAGTCGGCAGTGACCAGAGAAAATCCTGTGTTTGAATGGAATTTATGCATCATGTATGAGGTGTGTGAATATGCAACAGGTGATTGTTTTTAAGGGTTAATCCTCTGTTAATCCTGGGCTCCTATTGCCCAGAAAAAGGTACCCGGGCGTCCATATCTCTTTGTTTTTATTATCTCATATTGTCCTAATCTCAGTTGTTCAAATTTTATTACTCTAATTATATTACTATTTTTATAACCACTTTATTACTATTAAACTTTTAAAATTTTACAAAACAACTGACTGGCGTTTTTCACATGGTTATTGCAGAGAGAGGGAACCCTCACAGAACCCCAGCATCGCCGAGGCTGGAAAACCCCCCCAGGATCATCGAACCCACCTTGTCCCCAGCCCAGAGCACTCAGTGCCACCTCCAGGTGACACCTCCAGGGATGGGGACCCCAAACCCCCCTGGGCAGCCCCTGCCGAGGCCTGGCCTCCCTTTCCATGGAGAAATCCCTGCTGATATCCAGCCTGCTCCTCCCCTGGTGCACTTCCCTGCTGCCAGGCCAAGCCCCAGCCCTTACATCACTCCGGAGTATCTTTTATTTCGCCAGGAATGAACCTTAAACATCAAACCAAACAAATGAAACAGGCGAGGTGTAACAGCCTGCTGCACGTCACTCATCCCGCAGACGTTTTTTTTTTTTTTTTGGGAGGGGAACGTGCTCAGAGCAAGCCAGAGCCTTTAGTCATGGGATTTCTGCAGGGAAAGAACCTCTCCGTGAGGCGTTGTCCTCCCACCCTGCTGGCAGCAGCCAGAGCCACACATCCCGCAGGGATGAGCACGCTGCTGCTCCAAGGACACAACGAGAAACCGGTTTTTTGTACTTTATTATTTTTCTTTTTCAACCGGGATTATTTACAATGAGATCCGGGAGAAGCAATTCACACCAAAGCAAACAGCCTGGAATATTTTAATTGCGTTTAAGCGACTCTTGCACCCACAAAAAAAACAGCCCCAGGTGGTGATGGATGCTGCTGTCATTGCTTTGAGCACTGTACCAGAAAAAAAAACCCCTTCCCTCAGGTGTTCAGCACTGAGAGAAGGTTGGGATGAATTCACTCCTGAGAGGGTAGATCAGCTCTGAGGGCCATTTTTGGGGTTTTTTTGGGGTGTGGAGGTTGCTGCTGGTGCTGGTGTTGGACACCACCCTCCTGGGCTGGCACCGGCAGCACGGGGCTGGCACAATCAGGGCTTTGGCTCCCTAAAAATGTGATTTGGATGGGGAACAAACCTGCCCTGAGTCCCTGGCTCCCACTGAGAGCTCGATGTGGCTGCAGCAGCGCTTCCCTCGGGAGCAGGGTCAGCACAGAGAGGGTTCAGACCTGCTCCTGCTGCTGCTCCTGCTCCTCTCCTGCTCCTGCTGCTGCTCCTGGGTTTGGGATTTCCCAGTGAAACCCTGCTCTGTGTCCCTGTCCCTGCTGCTGCGCAGAGAGAGAAACTCTGCCCTTTGCAGAGCTGGGGGTTTGCCTTCCACTCATCCCTCTGGGAGCCCTTGGGCACCTCCCGTGCCCAAATTCCTGCCCCAGGTGCCAGAGGGAGAGTGCCCAGCCCCAGGCACCCTCGGAGCCCCTCAGCCCTGCCCAGAGTTCTCCACCTCACCCAAGGGATGAACTCTGCCTGTCACAATCCCCAGCCCCTGGCAGGAGGAGGCTGGGGAAGGATTTTTTCCCTCCTCTAAAAAAGCCTTCAGGACACAATCCTGGTAGGATTCAAAGAGAAAGAAGTTGACATTCCAGCCTGCAATTCCATGTGGAAAGTTTTACACACTTTGCTTCAGCAAATTCTGCTGGAGTAGGAAAGAGTAGAGGAGCTCAAAAGACAGGAAGGGGTTAAATGCCTGATGGTCTCAGAAGAGGAAGAAATCCTGCACTTAAACATAAAGATGAGATTATAAACCACTCTGTTAACCAAAACTATCTGAAACCTGAGAGGCTTTTGTCACTGCAATCCCAATTTCACTACTTTAGTCGGCCTAACATATTGCTACCAGAAATCTGGGCTGCCTGGAGCCAAACTCTGCCTCTGCCTAAAATCTGGGGAGGCCAAAGGGCACTGGCATTTGTCCTGGTGTTCTTCTGACAACAAAAGCAGAGAACAGCTGCAGAAAAGTGTCCTGTGTGGCCAGCGGGAGGAGGAGGAGGAGGAGGAGGAGGAGGAGGAGAAGGAGCTGCTCTTTGGCAGCTCTGTCCCTCCACGTGCTTTAGGCTGGTTTTGGAGTCCTTCCCAGAGACAATGACGGCGCAGAAGGTCTGAAGGCCCCGTGTGTGCAGGGATCTGCTGCCTGCCTGCCCCGGGGCTGCGGGCGCGGTCACATCTCGGTGTCGGCCGGGCTGTGCTGCCGGCCCGAGCGGCCGTTCTTGGAGCCCGTCCCGTTCTCCTGCGTGCCCCCGTTCAGGTTCGGCTTCTCCTGCGGCTCCGCCGGCTCCTGCGAGGGTGACATCAGCATGGTGTTCCCCTGGCTGCCGTTCTCCGTGTAGTAGGGGTCTTCAGCCTGGGGACACAAGGGACAGAGTCAGGGAGGGGAAGGGGAGAGGTCCCTGCTGTCCCCAGGCAGAGGGACAAACAGCCACAGGTCAGACACTGCTGGCAAGAAGGAGAGCAGAGGGTCTGAACCAAGGTGGAGCAAGAAAACCACCCAGGAGCTGCAGTTTTCCCTCCAGCACCTGCAAGAGAAGCTTTTTGTCAGGTTCTGTTGTTTTCTCCTCACCAGGTTTTGGAGCTGACCTTGCCTTGGGACAGAACCTCTGCTGGCCACTTTGGCCAAGGAAAAATCATAATTGAATGGAGAATGATGGAAATTGTCTGTATCCCTTTCCTTCCCCGTCCTTTGAAGTGCAGAGCTCGCTGCCAGGCGTGGCAGAAGTGCAGCTCTGCAGCTCTGGGCGCTGCTGCTGCTGTGAGGAGCAGGTGCCCCTGAGGACCCAGGGCCCCAAGAGAATTCCCCAGATGTTGTGCAGCCCTGGAATTGGCCATGCCAGGTGGCAATTCCCAGCTGGAATTCCCTCAGCAGCCCCCAGCTCTCTCCTTGCTGGTGTTCACTCAGTCCCTTTTCCATGGGTGGGCTGGACATGCCTCACCTGGAGCTGGGCTTGGCACTGCCAGGGGGTCCCACGGCACACACTGCCACTGCTGCCAGCCCCAGGGGCACGAGGCAGTGTCCCTGCCTCTGGCACAGCTCTGGGGACATCCTTCCTGGCCAGGAATTGCCCCGATGGCCTCCCAGGACACAGCTGCTCACGCTGGGCAGCGGTGGGGGAATCGTGGCCCAGCCTCGCTTTAGACAGGGGTCACATCCCCAAAAATCACTGGAGGGGAGGAGTCCTCAGGGTCAGCCTGCCTGGAAAGGGGAGAATGGAAATAGGAAATTTCTGCCTCTTTCTTTCTTGATATGTTTTATTACCATGGCTGGTGGGGAGAAATTGCCTTTATTGCAGCACGGGTACAGACATGGGATTCACACAAGGAATGGGAATTAAGGGGAGTCACTGTTAAGGACAGACTCAGGAGGGGCTCTGCAGGGGTCTTGCTGGATGAGCTCTTACTGCTGAGCAAAAAGAAGTGCCAGACCTGTCAGACGTGTGGGGCAGGGGCCGTGCTGCTGCAGGAGCTGATTTTGGAAGAGGAGAGAGAGGCTCCCCCTTCCCTCTGTGCAGTGCCCCTGTCCTTCCCACGAGCTGGGGACACACAGGGGGGGTGAGCACAGAGCCACAGCGGTGGGGACACCCCCGTGCTGCCCCCCTGAGCCGGGGGGCTCCTCTCTACCTGCGGCTGTGCCACCTGTAAGCACTGACCAGCCTCTGGCCCGCGGGGCTCCAGCTGCGCCGCCTCATCAGGAAATAGCCGGCCAGCCCCAGGAACGCCAGCAGCAGCCCCGATGTCACCAGGGCGATCAGCGTCCTCTGGGAAGGGTCCCGCCGGCTCCTCGTGCTCTCTTTTTTAAGGGATTCTATTCCAAACTGGAGGGGAAAAAAAAAAAAAAGCAAAAGAGCAAAGAGAGCTGGGAGCGGGACAAACAGGAAACGTTTGCATCTGCTGCACAGGCTTCAAACAATGCTGCTGTCACCTCCTTGGGAAACTGCACGTCAGCCGAGCTGGGCTTTGCTGCCCCAGCCCTGGGAGGCCTCACAGGCTCCTTCCCAGCCTGGGGTCTCCTGTGGCACAGGGAATTCTGCGCTCTGGAGCAGACCCCGGGGTTTGGAGCGCCCGGCTGAGACCCTCTGAGCTCTGCTGTTCGTGCCCTGGGCACCCCTGGGGCTCAGCCCAGCAGCCAGTGGAGCCTCAGGGGAGTGCTGGGGGCAGGAATTCATCCGTGCCAGCCTGGTCCTTTGGAGAAGCCGAGTGCCAATTGCATCCTGAGGGTTACTGCTGGGTCTGGCCTCTGCTGAGGAGGCACTTCAGCATTTACAGAGCCGTGGCTTGTGCTGGCTCTCTTGTGCTGCATTGCTGGTGCTTGGCTCCAACCACAGAATCCCAGGCTGGCTTGGACCTTAAGAGTCATCCAGTGCCACCCCTGCCATGGGCAGGGACACATTCCACCATCCCATGGTGCTCCAACCCTGTCCAGCCTGGCCTTGGGCACTTCAGGGATCTCTGCCCTCCTCAGGCACCTCCAGACTGGAGACAGGTCCCAGCACCAGCATGTCCCCAGCCTCAGCTGACAGCTCTCATCCCTCCAGCCACCTGGCCAGGCACATTTTGCAGCCAAATTTGCTTAAGGGATTTACCTTTTCCCAGTGAGACTTCTGGAGCGTGTTCAGAAGTTTGTCGGGATCTGCAAGGTTCAAAACAGCAGAGCACATCACACACTCTACACACATTAAATATGTTCATCACACACTCTACACACATAAAATATGTTCATCACACATTTTAAACACATTAAATATGTTCATCACACACTCTACACACATTAAATATGTTCATCACACACATTACACACATTACATCTTCATCACACACTCTACACACATTAAATATGTTCATCACACACATGACACACGTTAAATATGTTCATCACACACGTTACACACATTAAATGTTCATCAAACACTTTACACATGTTAAATATGATCATCACACACGTTACACACGTTAAATGTTCATCACACACTTTACACATGTTAAATATGTTCATCACACACGTTACACACATTAAATGTTTATCACACACGTTACACACGTTAAATGTTCATCACACACGTTACACGTGCACACATTCCAGACATGAATCACACACCCTGCAGCTCAGGGCACACCAAAGAGCCTGCCTGAGCTGAGGATGCTCCTGGAGGCAGCTCCACAGCTCCAGAGGTGCAGCAGGACCCCAGGAGAAAGAGCAGAACTACAGAGAGGTTTCTCCTCCCAGGATCCATCCCAGCCCTTCCCCACAAGGAGCCCCTGTCCCCCTGCCCACACCATCACCTGGGGATCCCTCACTGACCTTTCTCTCCTTTGAGGATGAGGAGCAAACAGTCCCTGTCCAGGCTGGATGGAGTGAGTTTGATCTCGCAGGGGAGCTCCACGCTGTGGGTTCTGTTTTCACACAGTGCTTGCCATAAATCCAACCCCTTCCTCTCCAGAAAGTGCTCCTGCCAAATTTTCAGGAAGAGCAGCCATTAATCCAAGCAAACTGAGCAATTCTCTGCCTCGGCCATGCTGGCGGAGGTGTTGTGCTTTCCCATTTGAATTTTGGTGGCTTCTCTGTGCCCTGCAAAGCTGATCTGGGTGTCAGACCCTCCCCTCCCACTCCAGCACTGCCCAGAGCCCCAACACCTTGGAGGTGGAGGTGCTCATTTCTCACGTCTCAACTTAATGAGAATAAATTAAATGAAGATATTATTAGCAACTCCTGAAAATGGCATTTAAACAAAGCTAAATTTAGGCTCTGAATCGCATGGCAAGTCTCCCCAGTTTTTGGGCTGGAACAACTGAAGAGCCCTATTGTTTCAGAGTCCCAGGCAGGGGATGGGAAAGGAGGGAAATAACAAAGAAGCATTGAGCCTTCCTGTTTAGGAAATGTCTTCAGTGTTTTTGCTAGGTTGCTGATCAAAGGCTAGGTAAAAAACCACATTTCTCACATTTTAGAGCTGCACTGGCTCTGGGGGAGGAAGAGGAAAAGGAGTGAGGACCTGCAGCCTTTGTGGGCCGGTGTGTGGATCAGGCAGGATGGGCTTTCTCCTCGGGGCTATTTCCAGCCACAGCCAGGCTCGCAGACAGAGCCCAGCTTTGCTAAAACCCTGCTCAACCCCCCTGACCCCCACCCCAGAGACACAGACAGCTCCTCTGAGCCCTGCCCTGGGCTCCATCCAGCCTGGGGCTGTGGAAGGCAGTGCCCCCCTGTCCTGACACTACCCCTGTGCCCTCCTCCCCCTGCCCAGAGCTGTCCAGGACCATCCCCGGCTCCCTCCATCCTCTGAAAGTGCAAAAAACGCAGCAGCTCCTCCACGGGAGAACAACAAACAAATCATTTTCAGCTGTTTCTATAGAGCTTGGCTCGGGGGGCGGCGGGGGGAGGAAGGCCAAGATGGAACAAGAGACCCAAGTGTGTATTTTCCTTTCTGCGCTGTGGAAAGAACTCATCGGAGTGTCAGAGTTTCCCTTTGCAATTAGCGGCGCCGGGTGCCAGCTGATTGCTCATTTGCCTCGGGAAAGGCCAGGGGGAGAGAGGGACACGGGTCCCTGCTGGCAGGACAGATCTCCTCTGGCTCCCAGGTCCAGCCTGAGCCACCGGCTCCCACCCGGGACAGAGTGGACATTTTCCAGAGCAGAAATCCATTTTGGTTGAGGTGAAATGTACATCTTTGAGATAAATCTGTAGCTTGCAAAGGTAGCTGCTTGGTCCGAGTGCCTGTTATTGCAAAAAGCTCTAAGGAACTGCTTCAGCCCAGGGCAAAGTGACCCAGGAATTCTTCCTGATAAAGAAGAATTAGCGGCAAATGTAAGGAGAAATCAGCAGAATGAACTTGTATGAACCTATTGTGAAATGCATAGATGTTTGAGGGGGAGATAAAAATCTGGAGTTCTCAGAGGCACGGATGCCATTTAGGGGGAACAAGGGGAACGATCCCCACCTGGTCAGCGCTGTAATTAACACACCCTGTAATGAACACACCAGCTTTACAACTCCCACAAAGTTGTGCAGTTTGTTTGCTTCTGCAAATCAGGTGGGAGCCCCCGACAGCCCTGCAGGGAGCTGGGGGTGTTTGGGGTGCTCAAGAGGAGGGAGGGCTGGCTGTGTGAGCCGTGGCTGGGTGGGATGCTCTGGGGGGGCTGCACACCCATTCACCCCAGGATGCTCACAGCCTGTGCCCCGTGGGGTGCTCTGGGTGTGCTGTACACCCATCCATTAACCCTGGGATGCTCTGGGGGGGTTGTACACCCATTCACCCCGGGATGAACACAGCCTGGGCTCTGTGGGATGTTCTGGGTGTGCTGTACACCCATTCATTCACCCTGGGATGCTCTGGGTGGGCTGTACACCCATTCACCCTGGGATGCTCTGGGGGGGCTGTACACCCATTCACCCCAGGATGCTCACAGCCTGTGCTTCGTGGGGGGCTCTGGGTGTGCTGTACACCCATTCATTCACCCCGGGATGCTCTGGGGGGGCTGTACACCCATTCATTCACCCTGAGATGCTCTGGGTGGGCTGTCCACCCATTCATTCCCCCTGGGGTGCTCTGGGTGGGCTGTACACCCATTCATTCACTCTGGGATGTTCTGGGTGTGCTGTACACCCATTCATTCCCCCTGGGATGCTCACAGCCCGTGCCCAGGTGGGGCAGAGCCCGCTGGGTTCCAGCTGGGATCCCAGCAGTTTCCCTCGGGGTTCCTGCTCCAGCGCAGCCCCTGCACACAGGAACGAGCCTAAATGCCATTTAATCACTCTCGTGCAGCCAGGCTCACTCAGCCTAACTACCATGGGCTCAATGACGACATTAAATTGTCTATTTTATAGATATCTCACACCCTGGGCATTGCTGTCTCACAGGACCCAGCACCCTCCACCCTCCGGGGCAGGCTGTGCTTCCAGGTTTCTTCTCCCACCCCTGCAGACCCCCTGTGCTGTTGAAAATGCCCCATTTTTGGTGCTCAAGGCCAAGGCCGGTCACAGAGAGCCTGGGATCCCCTCGGGAGTTGTTGGGGATGCTGAGCAGCTCCTTGCAATGCCCTGTTTTCTTTCCTAGGGCACTTGGCAAGACAAAAAAAGGCACTTTTGTTTCCAGCAGGGAAGAGGAAGAAGAAGAACAAAGGCACCTTCCTGTCGGTGGGAGATGCTTTAGAAGCCGAGCTGACCCCAGAGCTCAAAGTTAAAAAGGAGATTTGTGCAGCTGGGAGCTCGCATTTCCCCTGGAACCCTTTGGGATCCTCCCCTTTGGGATCCTCCTGCAGCAGCCCGGGGGGAGCTGCTGGAGCCCCCCACCCCCGAGACCCCCCAGGGGACAGCCCGGGGCTGCAGGGGACACGGGACACTCACGCAGGTGCTGGACTCGTTGAGCTGCAGGCAGATGGCCCCGGTGTCACCCTGGTCCCTGGCACCGTGGCAGCTGATGGCACGGAGGGCGGGCTGCAAGGGAGAGCACAGGGGGTGTCGGTGCCCTGCCGGGGGCTGGGGACAGCCCGGCCCCCTCCCCAGGCAGCCCCCTCCTCACCTGGGGGCTGCTGTGCAGGGCTGTGGTGGCAGCAGGGACAGCAGGATGCTCGGGGGTGGCCGCGGAGCTGGGGGGGCCCGAGGTGGGCTCGCTGTCCCCGGGCTGGCTCGGGGGGCTCCGGCTGGTGGGGACCCCCGGGGAGGAGCCCGGCAGCGCCGTGGGGACAGCGCTGGGCGGGGGGCTGCTCCTCAGCTGCCCGAGGAGCTCTGGTGGCGTCGGGCTGGTGGCCGCGGAGCCGGCTGTGGCTGCAGCTTGGGGGAAATGCAGAGAGAGGGGCTCAGGAGAGAGCTGGAGAGCCCTGAGCCCTGTGTGTGACACGGAGACACCGGCACCGGGAGCTCTTGGCTCCCCAGGGAACGCTCATTAGCCCTGCTTCTGCTGCCTAATTACACACACCCACAGCGGGCTCGTCTCTGACACCGGCCACCCCTCCCCTGGCATTGTCCCCAGCTCCTCCTTGGCCCCGAGGCTTCCAGGGGAGGCTGTGATCCCAAACAGCACCAGGGAAAGGCTCCCTGCGTCCTCCCATCCCTTCAGAGCCCTTCAGAGCCTGAGCTGGGCCTCCCATCAGGGAACCCCACACTGGTTTGGGCTGAAGGGACCTCAGAGCCCACCCAGTGTCACCCCTGTCCCAGGGACACCTCCCCTGTCCCAGGTGCTCCCAGCCCTGCCCAGCCTGGCCTTGGGCACTGCCAGGGATGCAGGGGCACCCACAGCTGCTCTGGGCACCTGTGCCAGGACCCCCCACCCTGCCAGGGAACAATTCCTAATTCCCAAGATCTATTTAAACCTCCCTCCTCCAGCCTAGAGCCATTCCCCCTTGTCCTCTCCTCCCAAAGGGACTCTTACAGGTGGCTCTCCCGACATGTGTGCAGAGATAAACATCACTGAGCTCTTGCTTTTGACCAGGACGGGGCTGAGCTGCCAGGTGGGATTTTTTTTTTTGGATGGAACCAAACCTTCCGACCACACTCAGCCTGTTTTTTTTTTTTTTTCAGAGCACAAACCATGCCTCAATGGCACGTGCACTCAATAAATGTAACCACGACCACAGGAGCTACCAGCAAGGACAGAGGGAACAAAGGCAGAGGTTACCAGAGGTTGGTTGGGCGCTGCTGCTGTCCCCTGTGGCTGCGGTGGCCGCGGTGGCAGTGCTGGCTGTCCCTCTGCCGCTGTCCCTCGCTGTTCCTGCCGGGCTGGGGGTGGCCGTGGTGCTCCCAGCAGCAAAGCCTGGGGGAAGAGGGAGCTCTGAGGGGCTGCTGAGGCCCCAGCCCAGCCCTGAGCCCCCGGGGGAGAGCAGGAAAGGTTCAGCTGCTCTCCCGAAGTCGCTTTTTCTTGCTCCAAGAAAAACACCTGGAGAGGCTCGGGGTGAAACTTTTCATCTGGGGGAGCAGCAGAGGCTGGTGCAGCCCTTGGGGGGCTCCGGGGCTCCCAGAGTGGGAGGACAGGCTCTGCCCTCACCCCACCCCATCCTCAGCTCGCTGGTGGAGGCACAGAGCTCTGCACAAAGCTGCATTTCAGAGCAGTTTGGGTTTGTAATCCTGGGAGGAAAGAATCAAGCCTTGGAAGAGATCACTTGTGTGCCTCAGGATAGATAAGTTGGATTTGCAGTTGCAGGCAGGATCTCAAAGTAAATAGAAACATTCCCACTGGCTTGGGCTCAGCCCTGACTCATGAGTGAAAACATCTTTGGAGGTAAAGCACAATGTTTGGAGAGTGGTTTGCTGTTCTAACCTAAAGTTTATATATTGCTTCCTGCTGCCTTACAGAGATGACACTTCCAGCTTTCCCTTCTGGAATGAGCTGTGTGAGTCAATGAAAATGCATTTCTCCCCATTCCTCAGCTTCTCTTTCCCTAGGATCTATTCCCACTTTCAGCAAACAGCTCCAGTCTCTACCCCAGGGCTCTTGGTGTTTAAGATTCTTATCCAGGCACTAAAGAGAAAATCATACTGAATGTTTTGTTTCATTTGTAGCTCTGCCCAGGGGAGCCCCAGCTCCAAGAAAAGTTACTTCATCCTCCCAAACCACCCTGAGAGATGGAGCAGCTCTGGCAGGTCCTGAGCAGGATCTGCAGCCAGGGAACAGCACTGGGCACTGGGCATGGGATGGCAGGAGCTGCTCTTGGCTGGGTCAGCTCCACAGAGCCTGGAGGGTTGGGAAGAGCAAAGCCCGAGGGCACCGGGGTTGGTTTTGGCCGTGGTGGCAGGGACACAGCTGCTGCTCCTGGAGGCTGGGCCAGAGGGGAAATGTGGGGCTCAGACTGATCCTGTGGGGCTGCCCACACTGCTGCTGCCCATCCTGATCCCTCCCATCCATCCTATCCATGCTATCCATCCCATCCCATCCCATCCATCCCATCCTATCCTATCCATATCATCCCATCCATCCTATCCTGATCCATCCTGATCTGTCCCATCCATCCTATCCATGCTATCCATCCCATCCCATCCCATCCATCCCATCCTATCCTATCCATATCATCCCATCCATCCTATCCTGATCCATCCCATCCCATCCCATCCCATCCCATCCCATCCCATCCCTCCCACCCCTCCTGGGCTGCAGCTGCTTGGGGGCCCTGCTGAGGGCTCGCTGCAGGTGTCTGGATCTGGAGTTTGGGTTCTGGCACAGCTCTCAGCTCAGGGGGAGAAGTTCCTCCTTCTCCAAGGCAGCGCAGTTCCAGCTGCTTCAGTCACCGAGTTTTCCTGCTGACTTTGAGCAAATCAAAAGCAGGAGGAAGCAACTGCCTGCCCAGAGCAAGGAGCAGCCCAGGGGCAGGGCCAGGCTTTAGGCAGAGGCAGGCTTTAGACATAGCCAGGCTTTAGGCAGAGGCAGGCTTTAGGCAGGGCTAGGCTTTAGGCAGAGGTAGGGTTTAGCTAGAGCCAGGCTTTAGGCAGAGGTAGGCTTTAGGCAGAGGCAGGCTTTAGACATAGCTAAGCTTTAGGCAGAGGCAGGCTTTATGCATAGCCAGGCTTTAGACAGAGGCAGGCTTTAGGCAGAGGCAGGGTTTAGCTAGAGCCAGGCTTTAGACATAGCCAGGCTTTAGGCAGAGGTAGGCTTTAGGCAGAGGCAGGCTTTAGGCAGGGCTAGGCTTTAGGCAGAGGTAGGGTTTAGCTAGAGCCAGGCTTTAGGCAGGGCCAGGCTTTAGGCAGAGGCAGGCTTTAGGCAGAGGCAGGGTTTAGCTAGAGCCAGGCTTTAGACATAGCCAGGCTTTAGGCAGAGCCAGGCTTTAGACATAGCTAGGCTTTAGGCAGGCCCAGGCTTTAGGCAGAGGTAGGCTTTAGGCAGAGGCAGGCTTTAGGCAAAGGCAGGCTTCAGACTGAGGCAGGCTTTAGGCAGAGGCAGGCTTTAGACAAAGCCAGGCTTTAGGCAGAGGCAGGCTTTAGGCAGAGGCAGGCTTTAGACAAAGCCAGGCTTTAGGCAGAGGCAGGCTTTAGGCAGAGGCAGGCTTTAGGCAGAGCCAGGCTTTAGGCAGGGCCAGGTTTAGGCAGGGTCAGGCTTTAGGCCCAGCTCTGTCCTCACATCTCCAGCCCAGTGCAGCTCCTGGCCTGACCTCCCTGGTGCCACCCAGGCACCTTTGAACTCCTCCAGGTGTTTGCAGAGCACCCGGGGAATTCCTCACCAAAGCTTTTCAGCTCTGGGTGTTGGACTGAAGCCTGGCTGCTCTCGGGGTGATTTGGGACAGGAGCTGTCACTCTGCATTTCTTTTTCTTGCCTTTCTTGCAGCATGTGCAGGAGCTTTTCCACACAACGGGGATGAGGGTTTTTGTGAAATCTTTGGGCTCATGAGATAAATAATGATCCAGATGTGGGCTGGATAATCCACGTGGTGCTCAGCTAAAGAGGGTTATTTATTGCACCATACATTTTTAATGGCTTTATTAAACTTTGTCAATTTGTTAGGATTGAGGGTTTAGAGTTTAAGCCAAGCTATTTATTAACCTGGGAGAAATCTTCACCTGGCAATGCAAGCACGTGCAGGAGCAAAACCATGCAGAGATGGGAAAGAAAATTGCACTTCCCAGCACCCACTGTGTTCACCCACCTAGGTTTTAAAAACTAAATGAGTTTTAAAAGATATTTTAATAATGGGGCTTAGGAAGGATCTTAGATTGAATAAAGGCAACAATATAAATGTTAAACTTGCTCCAAGACTCATCCCTGAGCACTAAGCCAGGGCCACAAAAAAGCTCTGCAGTGGCAAAGGTTCAGGAAAGAGGAGGGAAGTTTCCATCACTGGATCCCAACCCTGACCCACAGCAAACAGAACTGGGGGAGCTGAATCCCTCTGGGAATCTGCAGGCAGGACCTGCACCCCTGAGCTGATTCCCCTCTGGCAAACCCTCTGCTCAGCCTGTGGCTCCTTGGGCACCTGAGACACGAGCCCTGGGCCAGGGGAGCTCCTCCAGCTCTGCCTTCAGCAGGGTTTGTTCCCTGGGATGGGATGGATGGGATGGGATGGGATGGGATGGGATGGGATGGGATGGGATGGGATGGGATGGGATGCCCTGAGCTGGCACAGGGGCACTGCTGGTGCCAGGGCTGCAGGGGAGGGTGAGGAGCCATGGGATGAAGAACAGAGGGTAAAGGAACCACGGGATGCAGGAGAGGAGCTCTGGGGATGCAGGAGGGGAACTCTGGGCTATGGGATGCAGGAGGGGAGCTTTGGAGATGCTGGAAAAGGGCTCTGGAGCTCTGGGATGTAGGAGGGGAGCTCCAGGGATGCGGAAGAGGAGCTGTGGGGATGCAGGAGAAGAGGTCTGGGCTGGGGGTGTGTCCCCTCAAGTGTTCCCACTGAAACACACACAAGGAAAAGGGATGGGATGGGATGGGATGGGATGGGATGGGATGGGATGGGATGGGATGCCCTGAGCTGGCACAGGGGCACTGCTGGTGCCAGGGCTGCAGGGGAGGGTGAGGAGCCATGGGATGAAGAACAGGAGAGTAAAGGGACCACAGGAGGCAGGATAGGAGCTCTGGGGATTCAGGAGGGGAGATCTGGGGATGCTGGAAAGGGACTCTGGAGCTCTGGGATGCAGGAGAGGAGCTGTGGGGATGCAGGAAGGGAACTCTGGATTGGGATGCAGAGGGGAGCTCTGGGCTGGCGGATGCTGGAAAGGAGCTCTGGGCTGGGGGATGCAGGAGAGGAGCTCTGGGGATGCTGGAAAGGGGCTCTGGCTGGGGGATGCAGAGCCCTGGGGCCGCAGCCAGCCCCAGCTCCCCCAGCAGCCCCTCCAAGCACTCCAGCCGGCATTACTCATGCCTTTCCAGCTCCAGCTCCCAGCCATGTGGCAGGAATTCAAGCGGGTGGAGCCCTCTTCCCTCTGGAAATATCTGATAAAAGTTCCTTCCCTCCCCCTTTTCCTTGGCCCAGACAGGATGTGGGTGTGGGGCCGGGGGTGGGGGGCTGGGGGAGCCCCCCGAGCTGCCCCACCAAAGCCCAGCTGCTGCTCCCAGGCTTTCCTTGGATCTGGGGCCTCTTGGGCAGCCCAGCACCTTCCCAGGGTTGAGATTTCTCCTGGCTGGAGCAGCAGCCTCTAAAGGATGTTAAACTCGAGCAGCTGGAAGTTTTAAAGTCTCTTTTTCCTTTCCTGATAGTCAGAACTTTCATAAGTGTTGCAAAAGGAGTGGAGGAAAGAAAGAACGTGTGAAAATGGCAAGAAAAGAGACTTTTCTAAAAATCAAGATTGGCAGAGTCGAATGAAAAACATGTAAAAAAGAAAGATGAAAGGCTAAGTGAAGGAATGAAGTGTTTTTATTAGGTACAAATTGTTAGGTCGGAGGGACAAGGTACAAGACTCTGGGACAAGCGCAGGACAGCTCTCCATGTGCTTTATCCATCCCCAGCTTCCCAACACAAGCTGCTCACAGCATCCTCCCAGGGGCTTGGGAGGGTCTGGGAACTGCAGCCCGCTCTGCAGAGCAGGGCTGGCTCCAATCCCCTCCTTGGAACTCGGGAGGAACCCCAAAGCACCCGGCAGAAGGAGCATCTCCTGGATTTGGGGTTGGCTTTCCCTGGGATTTGCTCCCCTGGGGTTGGACCAGGCTGGATTCTGGATCCTGGCTCTGGATCCCAGAACCAAGCCCCATGCTCCCCACAGCAAACCCCACACACAGCACATCTGCAGGGCTCCTGCCCTGCCCCAGTGTGGGTTTTTTCCTGTAATCCACGTGCCTTTAGCTGCAGGTGCCCTGGGAGCAGGAGGAGCCCCGTGCTCCCACCCTGCCAGGAGCAGCTTCAGCCCCAAGACACAGAGCTGGCATTTCCAGGGGAGTTGCACAGCTGGAGCCTTTGATGGGTTCTCTGGGACTCCCCACGGAGCTGAGGAACGAGCAGAGCCCCGAGGATGATTTTTCCCAGCAGCTACACCGAGGATAAACCAACCTCCTCCACCTTCCAGGCAGGAATATCCTGCAGGAATGATGGGCTGTGCAAGCACATTTTGCATAAAGCATCAAAGCCCTTGCTGCCTGCTAGCTTTGTCCTTCCAAAATCTGAGCTTTTTATCACTTTTCCATCTCTTTTGTTCTGTACAAGGAGCTCCAGGTTTGGAACTGGAGGTTTGAAGCTCGAGGTTTGCCTCACACCTTTGTCTCACACCCTCGCTCACTTCAGCCCAACCACACAGCCCTGAATGCCATTTTTCTCACATAAAATTGTTGTTTTTTTTTTTTAATTCCTTTAAAATTAACAAAGACTGGAGGGTCAGCCAGCAGCTCAGGTGAGCAATTTACCTGGGCAGCCAGGGGAACATGAAAGGAGCTCTGTGAAACAGGAGAACAAAACCCAGCAAATTCCTGCAATAGATCTCCTCGCTCACATTCATGTGAGTAAGAAAAAAAATCACATTTGAGGAGACACCCGCAGGCTCCTGGCTCCTGTCCCAGCACACCAGGCAACACACAGAGTGCTGCTTCACTTTTTGAGTCCTTTTTTATTACCTCATGGCTGTTGGGTTTGGGACAAAAGTGATAATATTTCCCTAAAACATAACCCTTTAAAAAGTAACACCTAGAGAAAAACCTCGCTGCTGTTATTCATCGCTTCGCATGATGAATATTTGAAGAGCTGCAATAGGAGATTTTAATATTTATGGAGACTCATTTGATTTTCAGCAAATGTTTAGTTCCAACCACAAAACAAAAGCGTGGCTCGTTTACACCAGCGCGGGCTGAGAGACAGCTTGAACTGTGGCTGCACTCCCTGTGTGCAGGGACAACTCCTCGTGGTACCCAGGAGTTTGTGGGCAGTTTAGATCCCCATTCCTGTCCCTTTTAGAGCAGCTGTGAGGTTTTAGGGTGGGACAGCATCCCAAACTCCTGGAGAAGCATCTTCCCCCCGGCTGCTGCTCGCAGGAGCTGCCCCACGCCTGGTCCCTGCTGTCACCCGGGCTTGGGGACATCGGTACTCACCAGCCAGCTCCAGCAGGCAGAGGATGCAGAGGAGCTGCCTGCACTCCATGGTTCTGGGAATTCCCAAACAGCGTTCCCTGCTCCCGGGGATCCGGCCGGGACAGCCCGGGCTGCTCAGTCCCGCAGCAGCTCTGAGCTCATGCAGCTTGGTTGGAGTTCAAGCCTTTGAGATCACTCACTGCTGGGGTGGGTTTCTCTTCAGGGGTTGTGCTTGTGCTCCAGGACTGCGAGGTGGAGTTTCTGGGCTTTGATTTCCCCAGTTTTATATAGTTCGTGGCAAGCTCGCTATCACTTAGGTAATTTTCTCCTCCCCGCTTTCCTGCCAGCAGCTTCAAAACAAACAGGAGATCGGCCCTCTCCCCAGCAAAGGATCCCAAAGGCTCGCTGGGATTAACTCTTTCCTGAGAGCTGCTGCTTTCCTGTCCAAGGAGGGCAGGACACAGCCTGGTGCAGCTGGATGCAGGCACACAGCCCAGCCAAAGCAAACCCAGCCCCGGGAGAGCAGAGCTGGGGGGAAACCCAGATCCAGCCCAGAGAGCCCCAAGCGTGGTCCTGGTGCTGTGGAAAACAGGGGAATGCTGCAAAATGGGCTTCAGAATCAGAAATTTTCTCGGCAAATTAAGCGGGGAACTCAAGGATGTGAAATCATCGCTGAGCTGGGGAGAAGTAACTCCATTAGCTGCACTAAATTAAACAGGGAGCGCGAGTGAGACGGGTTAGGGAAGGTCTGGGGCAGAGAAAAACCCACAGGCAAAAAGCTTTGACACTAAAGCTGGAGCAGGAGCAGGATGGGAGAGCAGGAACTTCCCTGAGCTCCTTAGGAATGCTTTGTGGGAGCCCTGGGAGCAGCACGGAGCTCTGGCTGCGGTTTTTTATTGCCAGCTGAGCCTCACCAAGTGGGAAACTTGGCTCTGCTTCTGCACTGCAGGCACACGTGGGAGCAGCTCAGGAAGAGCAGGATGAGGGATGCTCCGTGTCCTCACAGGGATGTCCGTCCCTGGAATGTTCCAGGCCAGCTTGGATGGGATTTGGAGCAGCCTGGGATAGGGGAAGGTGTCCCTGCCCATGGCAGGGGGTGGAATGAGAGGATCCCTAATATCCCTTCCAATCCAAACCAGTCTGGGAGTCAAATTATGGCCTTTGGGTATTAAAAAAATAAGAGATGAACGCTTGGGAAACAACTCCAGTTCAGGATTAATTCAATCTTTTTTTTATAGCTGGATGATGAGGTGACTAAAGGAGTCATTGGGAACAGGAAATTGAAAAATGAGGTGGACAGGAAAGAAAGCTGTGGAAAGAAGGATGAGGAAGCTCTTACTCAATGTATTCTCTTTTCCTGGATGCTCCTGTAACACTTCTACAGTCACAGAGTCACAGAAACTCCTCTGGGTTTTAAGGGACCCAAAAACTCATTGTAAACCCCTGCTCTGGGCAGGAATGGCCATCATTTCACTGCAGCCAGAAAAGGATTAAAGAACACACAAAAAGAACAGGATGGTGTTACCTACAAAGAAATCCTCAAATAGTATTTCCACATTTATTGTAGGACAAAATTCCAGTAGCTTTTGCTTTTAGCATAGTACAGGAGCTGGATGAGATGACGTTTAAATGTCCCTTCCAACTCAAAGCCTTCTCTGATTCTGTGGCAGGAAAATGTTTCTTGGAAGGAAACATCTGTGGCTCAGCAAAGGGCTCCAACATCTATATAAAGATTTCTATTATGTTCAGTAATCTATTACTGACTGACAGAGACACACAGCTCTGCGAAAGGCCAAAATATCCCGATAAAATGTGGTCTAAAACCTGAGTGTGGGCACAGCCCTGCTGACTCCAGCAGCTCCCACCAAGAATTTTCCCTTTTTTTCCCTTTTTCCTCCCTCAAACACACACGCACACACATTGGGAAGCGCCTGACTCAGTGTGTAACCAGGTTTTACATTGCATGTCAGCCCAGAAAATGAATTCAGAGATGAAATGTGAAAGGCAGAGCGAGACGAGAGTCTTATTTAAATAACAGATATGTTTTTGTCTATGAGAGTGAGGATTTGGGTGGAATAACAAGACTGAAAATCAGAGTGGTAGATCCACAGAGGAGTTTGGGTTGGAAAGGACATTAAAGGCCATCCCACTGCACCCCTGCTGTGGACAGGGACACTTTCCACAGCCCAGGCTGCTCCTGGGTAAAGAAACCAACGGGATCATCCGGGTTTGGCTGCTGGGTTTGTTTCACCTTTCAAAAGCAGCCCAGAAATAGAGAGCTGGACTAAAAATAGGCTGTGGCCGGGCCTGGCAGCCACCGTGCCGGGGAAGCTCGTGGGTTTGGTTTCCAGTGGAAGCTGCTTTGGGTTGGAAGGACATTCCCTGTGTCAGGGATGTGGGATTTCATTCCTGTTTATGCACTGCCCGTGTCAGAACATCCCACAGAACTCCTTTTGGGAGGGTGGCTCAGCTAAGCACAGGGAAATCCAGCGTTTCCTCAAAGGAAGAGCCACAAACCCACAGAAAAAGGGATTTATTAAGATTATTCTTTAACTGGAAGCACTGTCCTCAGAGCATTCCTGTGGGCAGATCTATGCTGGCCATTCCTGTGGCACAGGAATTGCTGTGCTGGGCACACGGGGTGGTGGCACTGGGACCCTGCTCCCCCCTCAGCTGACAAAAATCTGACCCAGCCTAGCACAGAGCAGGCCAGGCTTTGCTTGTGGATGTTCCTGTGCACAGGGCTCTGAGCATATCCCAAATATCCCAAATATCCAGCTGTGAGCAGGCCCTCCAGTTATTTCTGTTGATTCCATGAGTGGGAGGCACCTTTTCTCATGGCTACAACTTGAGCGTGTTGAGGGCAAATCCTGCAGAGTTATTTCCTTTCTCTCAGAGCCCCAACACGTTTTTATAGGCAGAAATTGCCTGCCCACCATAAGGAACACGGCCTTGAATTATCTCACTCAGCACTCAGCATCAGCTGTATCAGGTTAGCAACGCCTGAGCCAATTCCAGCCCAACATTTAGGGGATCAAGTGTCCAAATTTTGTGCAGCACGGCGATGAAGGCTCGCTCACACGGGCTGGGATTTTGTCCAAGCGTTTAAGGGTGATTTAATTTGATTGTGAATGATGCAATAGACATATGGCTGGGAAGCTATATGCCAGGAAACATGTTTTCTATAAGTATTTTAGCAGGCAGATGGCACACAATGGTTTTGGTGCAGTCATTTCCTCACCTCTTAAAAGTTACTATTTCGGACAGATGAAACAATCCCATTCCCACCATCCTCCCAAGGCAGCAGCACTGCTGACCCAGGGGGTGTGCAGTGTTTGAGGGCTATTCCTGTGCAGGAGCACATCAAATAAATCAGCCTTGCACCCACCTCCGGGTTCCAAAGCATTTTAATAACTTTCCCACTTCAAGTGGAGCGAGCAGAGCTCCCCACAGCACTTCCAGAGGCACCTGGAGGCTCTTGGAGCAGGGCCACGCCACGAGAAAACCCCAAAAGACACAAGGTCTGCATCCCAACACCCAACCCCATTCCCAGACAGAGCAGCTCCTTCTGGAAATGTCCCTGTCCCACATCCAGCACACTCAGCCCAAAACTGCTGATGGAAGGGGAGGAGAGGCTGCAGGAGGAGATCCAGCTTCTGGGAATGGTGGGCAGGCCCAGCAGAGCATGGAGCTGCAAATAAAATGGGATTTAGTGCACTTTGGGTTGTTTCTCCTAGGAAAATGCTCTTGGGATCACATCTGCTTTGGTGCAGCACCAAATCCTGGTCCTTTGGTTCCTGGGACCTTTGGTTCTCTGCAGGAGAACACAAACTCTGCCCTGAGCAGGAATTCCTGAGGGATGGACTGATGGGATCCAGTTCTGAGGGATGAACTGATGGGATTCGCTTCCTGAGGGATGGACTGATGGGATCCAGTTCTGAGGGATGGACTGATGGGATTCACCTAAAAAGGGGCAAAGAGCCCCAAATCTGCCCTGACAGCATCACCCTTGTTGAGATTTCCTTCAAATCTTGTCACCCGTTGGTTTTATGGTGCTGGGATTTGCATGGTGGTGTAATTTCTACACGAGGCTGTCCTGAGGAGCCCTGGCAGTGCCCTCCTGCCCAGGAGGGTGCTGGGGAGACTGGGAGGTGCTAAAAGTTCTCCCTGAATCCTTCTTTTTTGCATTACCAGGACTCCAGTGAGAGCCATTCCCCCCAGAGCACCAAAAGCACCATTTGAGGGTTTTTTTGGGTGAGTTTCAGGGCTGTTGATGGATTTCCTTGTCCCCTCAGCTGCGCTTCTGCCGTGCTGATGAGGAGATATCATCTCCACGGATGGACCTCCTCCTTCCCGTCTCAAACCCAGGAGGGATTCCATCCCAGGACAACAAAGGGCTTTATTTAGCCCTGGAGCTGGGGCAGCCTGGCTGGTTTCCTGCCTCTGCTGCTCCAACTGTTTCCAGGTCACTGCAGCGAGCATCTCCCGGCTCATCCTGTGCCAGAATTCCATTTTTTCCCACCCAAACCCCTTTTCCTGTGGCTGGGAAAAGCATCCCCTCCCTGCAGGCTGCAGGGTTTGCCCCTTCTCACCTTGTTTTTGGGGGAAATTCCTCCTGGCTCACTCCCCCTCCTGTGCTGCTGCAGGAGGATGTTCCTCTGAGGAAGATTTCATGGAAAAACGCTCAAGTGTCTTGATTTCCATCACAGCCTGCTCCTTCCAGGGGTTAAAGAGCTGGGAATGGCCCGTGTGAAAAACACCAATCACTTGTTTTAAAATTTTAAAAAGTTTAATAATAATAAAATTTTTATAAAAATAGCAATACACATTAGAGTAATAAGAATTTGGACAATCAGAATTAGGACAATTAAAAAGCAAAGGATTATGAATGTTTGGGTGCTTTCCTCTTGAAAGTGTGGTTAACAAAATATTAACCTGTAAAAGTAATAGCCTGTTGCATATTCATACATCTCATACATTATGTATGCATTATTTTTAAACTAGAGATTTTTTTGATTATTGTTAATTTCCCCCCCTCATCTTGTAAATCAGTTGTCTTGTCTTGGTCCCTCGAAGTGTGGTCCTTCCCAGTAAGGAGGTAATAATTCTTAGTTTGGGATTTTGGTGTCTTGTTGCTGTTACCTCTGTGAAGAATTTCTTGATTATCTTATCCATCCCTTGAGCTGGTTAGAAAAGTATCTTACACTGCATAGTTCCTATTTTAATATTATCTTAGAACTTAAAACGATATTTAATGCACTGTTTAAAAGGATTCATGCAGTATAACGTTCTAACACAGCACATATAATATTCATTTTAATATTTGCAAAAAGCCAATCATAAAACACACA